TTGCATCAAGATTGCGCTCGTCGCCGAATACGAACGTGACTATGACCCAGATGGGTATTTTAATGTATTTTTTGATCTTCCATTCTTCCACATTCTTCCATATTCTTCCATATTCTTCCATCCTAAAAATTGGAATCATCCGAAGTGTACCTAAGATGTTTCTACCATGGGCGGCTTAACCACCAGGCTGGAGCCATTGCAGAAGCGATGCAGCAGGATGACGCCACTGAACCTGGTGTCACGGAGGCGAAGTCGAGTGAAGAATCTCACAGCTTCTAAGCCGTTTTTTACGAGCATTTTTAGCATGATTTATGCTGCTTGGGGTTCAACTCTGTATATATGTACATATGGCTGTGAGTCAAAACGTTTTGGTATTGAACAGGTACTCGTGGATATCCCGTTCAATACCCCGTTCAATACCCTATTGAACAGATGGGTCCCCATCGTTCAATACCCCCCGTTCAATACCCCGTTCAATACCCTGTTCAATACCCTTGTTCAATACCCTTGTTCAATACCCTTGTTCAATAAATATCCTGTTTCAATTCTAAGTACCTTTTAGATTCTTCCCAAATTGTTTCTTTCGAATTTGTTCCGTGTAACCTTGTTCAAGTAAATTGTGGTTAACAAGTGCACATTAAACGCATAATAAATAGATATATTTGAGTTGTTTGCTGCAGAATTAGTCCACTTTGACCGTCGGTGTGCCAATGGGATTTCCACCTGGCGGAAGATTGTTGATGTCTGGCGTAAGCGGTGTGCCATTCGGCTGGCGCAAGTTCTAGTAAATGGCGTAGGATCACGCCAGAACTCGTACTCGTAGTGATTTCCCGAGTGGCAGAGAACAGCATAGAAGCAAAGAGAATGATTGGCAAAATCCAAAATGACCTTTTCCATTTGCTTGCATACTCCACTCATACAGTCATATTGTCGGCTACCGGTTCGGCTGCCGGTTTTTTGAGGTAGTTCGTTCAATACCCCGTTCAATACCCGTTCAATACCCGTTCAATACCTGTTCAATACCTCACTATAGGCTTTCCAGCTCCGTTGCCCAGCTATGCCTCCAAAGTCGGTGCCATTTTGTCACTCCTCACACACACTCACACACCACACACACCACACACACAGGCACACGCACACGCACAAATGTCAACTTCGATCCATTGGTCACGTGGGATGTTAGTTTAGAAAATGCCCTCCGTTCAATACCCCCCGTTATCCCCCCGTTCAATACCTCCCGTTCAATACCCCCGTTCAATACCCTATTGAACAGAAGGCTGCCGCATATCCACCGGGGACCGGGGGTTTTGACACATACCCATATAAGTACATAATTATATATATATGTATATACACATACTGTTAACAGTTTGGTTGGACTGTTGGACATATGTTTAAATATATAACTTCAGATTCAAACAGGTTCTTTGTGCATTTCGGTGGCACTGGTCCTTGGGATTTTGGAGATGTTTGAGACTCACAGATCCACATCTTCACGATTTTAAACCCCAATCATGTTGAAAAACATATGTTCAGCTCAATTCCACATTAAATTGCGGCTTAAACAGGCAAATCATCGTCCAAAACCTCAGTTGTGTTTTTTGCTGAAACAAGTCAAGATGTGTCCGAAAATAGGTGACCACCAATGGGTAGTTCATCATTTTCCCAACTGTTTGATGGCCACAAATGGGGGTGTGGGGTATCCCACATTTTTCCAGCGTAGTGGCCAGGGGGCTAGCAACTTGGACACTGCGCGCTCTGCAGCGTCCGCAGGGAAACCCGCTGTGCATGGAGTCCGGCTTGGTTTTTGAACGGTTGGAAGGGTTAGAAGTATGGAAACTGTGGGTCTGAAGGACCCAAACATTTGGGATATTAGATTGTTGGGATTTTGACTTAGTATGTTAATAGGATTTAATGGGAATTAAAATTGGGACAGCAGATAAATGGGATTGAACATGGGGATGGTGGTTCTTGAACCACTCATTCAACTGGCTACAACCATATCCCGTAATGGCTTATACTCATTGGTTTGAAAGTTCCTGTCAGTTGATGGCTTTTGTCCATCAACAAGTTCTGATCTAACCACCAAAAAATGCGATTTAGGCTGCAACAAAGTGGATACAATCCAGATATGATGGTTGGTTGATGAAACACTGTGTTTTTTTTTAGCTTCCCCAAATTGGTGGTTTCGGAGGCGATACACCACCCAAACGTACGAGTTCAAGCTGGCAAAAATGGTGGTTGGACCACCAGAACAGGATGAAACCGCTGTAACCCTTGATCCTGCCTGAAACACTTTCAATTCAAAAACTTTATCCAATTCTTTGGTAAGTTTCAGCAGTTTGGAAGAACTCCGCGTCATGTCCCAATTGCTTCTGATCCCCTTATTTCATTGACAATTCTCTGGCAACCTAGGTGAATCCCACCTTTTTTTTAAAGTAATTTTTACATGATGCCAGAAGTACAAGCTTGAAGTCATGTTAAATTCCTCTTCTTGGATTCCACAAATAGATGGAACGACTATGGTCCCAAACTTCTTCACGATCTTCTGGCTTTGTCTGAGAGAAATGGGTGCCCCAACAATGATGGTGCATCATCCCTACTGTATGAATCAGAACATGGATTATTTCAAATTATTTCCCCCCAAAAACGCCCCTTGTTTAGCATGTGTTAACAAAAAAAACACATCTTTCCGATCTTTCCCTACAATTCCGTGGTCTCAAACCATCTTAAACCTCCATTTACGTGGTCCTAAACCATCTTAAACCTCCATTTATAGATGAACATCGATGATTTTTCAGTGGCATCCCATGAAACCTCGGCCTCTGAGGTGAACTCAATGTCGCCAGAGGAGAAGGAGATGACTCGATGATTTAGCGATCCATAAGGATTCAATCATTAAAAGAAAGGTTTGAATGTGTCTTAGCCATCAATAAATATGGGATAATATGGGATAATATGGGATAATATGGAATAATATGGGATAATATGGGATAATATGGGATAATATGGGATAATATGGGATAATATGGGATAATATGTATGTATATGTATGTATGGCACCATTTCAGTATGAAGAATGGGGATTGACCAGCAAAATTACGGGGTTTGCGGTTTTGTTTAAGCATCAATATATGGGGAGATATGTTCGCAATATAGATGGGGGTAAACATGGTATTCTAATGGGAATATGGCGGTACATCGGGGATATGATGAAACTTGGGGGGCAAAACCAACAGAATCTGGAAGAGGTCTTCCAAATACCTGGGTCACAACTGGGATTGCAACCATCAAAAATGCGGTCTGACCACCATATTAGCCACCTCTTCCTAGGTAGAGTCTGTTTGAATGATGACAGGGGATATTCACAGCCCTTCACGCGGGCGCTGCCAGAGCAACCTTGGCCGTTCAGGGTTCGATCTGCTCGAGGCTTCGGTTTATAATGGTCATGGGTATGAGTCCTGAGTGTGTCTGGTGGTTTAGGTGTGGGCATAGTAACACGTGGGACAAGGTCAAGGGCCAACCCAACCCGATCCTGTGGTAGGTTCGGCGTATCTCCAGGTTTTTGCGGTTTGAGGAGGAGGTTGTACCTGTTTTATGGGGAGATCGGGAGTGTGCGACTCCCGTCCTGTCTGGTTAGTGGGAGGTTCAACCTGGGTGGGGGGATACATCAACGGCCCACACCCACACGTTGTTTGTGTAACTGGGAGGATGGCTACTTAGGGATGTTTAGGGCCCAGAGGTGTCATCCCAAAGGGAGACTCCAGGTTTGGATGTGCCTTTCGCCACAGGTTGGAGACAGTATGTAGGGATACCAGAGGTAGAGCCAGTGGCGGGACGGCCATGCAACGGTGACTGATTGTAGTGAGACTATTGCGCATGTGTTCGAGTTCATGCACACTGTTTAAGCCTCGCATTTGATTGTAATGACAGTGGTTAAGAGCGTCTACGATCTTAGGGATGATCGGTGCCATGCATTGATCTCTTTCGGTCTTGCCTTTTCCGGAGCGTCTGTTACGGCTACATTCACCGCGACGACGACGAGGATGATGGTGGTGATGATGAGGATGATGGTGATGATGGTGATGATATAGCCCATCTTTGACAAACCAATGTGACACCATGTGAATATCCCCACTCGTCATCATCATCATCATCGTCGTCGTCGTCGTCGTCATCATCGTCATCATCACCAAGTTCCCGAGTGAAAATGCAACTTTGGCTTATGGATTATGCCATGGTATACAAAGTTTTTGGCAAACCCAAATGGTTTCATGCATGTACTGGAAATCAAAGCCACACACATATGGACATGGATATGGTGGCCATATGGCAGACTGCATTGGACACATATTATATATATATATCTATCGCCAAAACCAATATGGGGATATTAATCAATGATGACTTGGATGGTGGTTTCAAGTATTGCCTATTCCAACCAAACAAATGGTAACGTGTTTGAATCTTTTCGGTCTTGCAACCAAGACCCCGTTGATCATTTGTATCATGAAAACATCCACTTTGGGGGTTTCTAGATTTGAACATTATTCTTTGCCACCATCTGTAAAACAGAGCTGTCACAAATGCTGGCGCTTTCCGCAGCCCCGCCACTTCGCACTACCCGCGCGGAGTAGGTTTATGAGATCATGACAGGACCACACTCGCCACACTCACAGCGAAAAAAACACATCTCGAACTGCCAGAAGTGTCTGCAGATTTCTCTGACATTTTATTGGGAGATCCAAAAAACCATGCAGGACTCTTGAGAATAATTCATGTAGCTCTTGTGCAGTCTGAGAGAGCAGCCAATGATATCTTAGAACCTTTCAGAAACACAGGAAGCATGACACAGATCAGAGAATCCGGTGCCAGTTAAACTGTCATTGAGCGGCCCCATTTGGAGCAATCACATTTTGAACATGTTCGGCACATTTCAGCCACACCACCTCACAGTCATCGCAACAACACCCTCCAACACTCGCCCGAAAACACCAAAGCTCGTTCGGCAGTTCGGCTGCGATCGGCCTACGCAGCCGTAGCTTTCAAAGTAGTGTTTCAGGCGTCCCTTGACTGCAGCTACCGGGTCCTGGAGTCCTGGATGGTGAAATTTGGGATAACCAGGTCCGACTGGCACAATGATGGGAATTCTATGGGCGAGAAAATCGCCGTTCCACTGATTTTAGTGGCTTCCTCTGGACTTGGATCACTTATGGCATTGCATGACCTCCCCCTGTTGCGATGGAATTTGTCCTGCGCTTTCTCCGAGCAAGGCCTTTGGGTAGCCTTAGTAGCACTTGTTAATCACCATGTTCGCTACAAAGATGGTGATAACAGTAAGTAAATCCCCCATTTTTAGACACATCCAAATATCATATTGTTGTTGACATCTCCCATGATATCCCCATCATATCACAATTTTCCCCCAGTGAAAAATCACCGTTGTTAGATGGTAAATCCCAGCAGAAATATCCAACATTCTCTAGTTTGCAGCCATCACCACTTGAGGCGTGAACCGATGGACTCCAAAATGGAGGACAATCTGAAGGTGGAAAGCGGAAGCTGACTTCACGGGGGAGTTTTCTGCCAGGGTTGTCTATGGGAGCAACATTTTCACCCAATCTTCGATTAAGAAATACTGGGGCCGAGAGCGCGATGGAAAAGTAGACCTGCTTTGTGAATTTGGAGAATCTTGGAGTTTTCTGGGCTGGTTCCCCTCTGGTAATCAAACATGGATTGCTGGAAAATCCACTATTTAGTATTATTTAGTTACATCAATTTAGGATGATTTTCTGAGTCTGAAAGCCCAAAAAGTGTCACGAGGGTTTTGAATTGCCATCTTTGATTACCAAAGGGTACGAAAAAAAAAAGATTCAATTCGATGATGACATGACATGGGGAGCATTTTTGCAGCGGACCCTTGCTGCATAGGCGACGGAATGGGATCGACACACCCTGATGAAAGCGCGATGGTTGGTGGGATGTCAGGAGCCGTCGATATCGATATCGCATGGGGGTTCGGTTGGTGGCAAGGTACCCAATGGCAATCAAACATGGCAACTGAAAATCCTCCAGTTCGATGGTGTTTTTTTCAGGGAAAATCATCGAAGTAAATGGTGGATTTTCCAGGTTTCAAGCCATGTTTGATTACCAGATGCTAAACGATAGCCACCTTTAGGGGGAGAGATCGGTGAGTTTCGCTCTACCCAATGATTGTCCCCCTCGTATCTGGGGTGCTGGGAGTAGCCCTGAGATGAGTCTCAGTGGAAGTTTCGACTGATTTTTGAAGATATGTCTGGCTGTTGTCCATGAAATCCAGGAAAGTTGGGCAGATCAGTCTTTTTGATGATGTTTGTTGGCAAATCCATGCAAATCCTAGTCCTAGTATGTCCTAGTTTTGTTTCTCCTTAGTTTTGTTTCTGAAGTCCATGGACATCCCAGGCTAAGTCATCCAATTTCCGAAGGTCAACTGGGTGTCGTTTTCCACGGTCTTTTCATGTCTTTTCCTGGCTACGCCCTGGTAGCCAGGAGGCAAAGGAAGGGATAGTTCGCAAGTCCCTCATCCGACAAATTGTGATTCCAGGTGGGGAGATGGCTGGGGGCAGTGATGCATGGCACCGTGAGCATCCAACTTTATGGCATTAAAACAACGACAATGCTTTTTATGTCCCCCAATAGTCTTTTGGTCGGACAACTTGAGGGGACTTACATGTTTCTGTGAACATTCGAGGCGCCATCTTTCATCGGCGTTAAATTTCGGGGTGTACCAACCAGGACTATCAACTATTCCCGCAATGCGATGAACCGTTTGATCACTGATGGAGCGATCCTCACAGATGGGATGGTCATCCCTGTTCGGGACGGTTTGGGATATACAAATGGTGTCCCATAAAGGGTCTGAGAATGGAGACCGCGGTATAGCGAATATTGGCCCCAATTTCATGGCAGTTTGAGTGGGGAAAATGGCGATTTGCCATGAAGCATATGAAATCTGATAAATCATATAAATCTGGTCTACCCTGCCAGATGAGTGGTTGGCTGAAGACTACGAGTCACGGAACTCAGTGGTGTGAGATGGGTACGCAAGGGCCCCTATGATGATGGGGTATACCCTTTGGTAACGTAAGACAGCCATAATTCATGAGAATGATCCATTTGATTCGTGATTTACCCACCAGTTTGCAATCAACTCTTAGATTTTCATCAAGGGCTTTGTCTCAACATTACACTTGGCATGTCAAGAGGTTTAACGGCTATCCAGTTTGCCAGTGGCTGATTGTAAATCTGAATTATACCGACCTCACATCGCGATGTCACTGCAAAAGATTCTTAGTTTGGGGGAACTATCCCAACATGTCCATATTGCAGGTTTGTGAACTATTCTTATTATCCAGATCTATCCAACTTGCAAATGCCTTCTCATACACTGTAGAGTTCACAAGCATTTAGCATCATTTAGCTGGAAATCTTTTCACAACAGATGCACATCCTGCTAATCGGCACTAATTTCCCCTAAGGTTTTAGCAATATAGGAACAAGCGCCAGTCACCCTGGTCATCATTAAAACACCCTCTTGGGCAATCAATTGGGGATTTACATGGATTTACACATATTTGGGACCATCTAAGGGGGTGTTTAATACTATGGGTATGAGAACATTGGGCATGCACTAAGCCAACTTCTTCTTTGTTCAAGGAATGATGGTTCCATTATTCCAATGGTTCGTCCCTGTTCACCAAATTTTGTTCTCTCCAAGTCTCTTGATGGAGAACCCCACATTCGACGGTCATAGTCCCCATGTTTTGCTGAGTCAACCAGCTTTTGGAAGCTGCTTGGGTGATTTATACACCCCCGCCCCGCACACATGGCCTAGGCCTGAGAACCAAAACCGGCATGGCAACGGCACCAAGGCGAGGTTTGCGCGATACACCCCATTTTTTTTTTAGTAGGGGGGTTACCAATTTTGATAGTAATAGTAATATAGTTATATCATAGTTATCACTATTTTCGGTGTAATCGCCGAATTAATACTTGGATTATCTTGGATTTATTGGTTTTGAGGTTGACATTCTATGCAATCATAGAATTGTAGAAGATCAGGGAGGCTTCTGCAACATCCAATGCCGCGATTCATCATGACATGACTTACCAAGGTCTTGACCGCCATAGTTTTGATGCGTTTTGTGTCCCAAGATGGTGCCGCAAATCCAAGGGTTTTGTCATCAGGGTCCAGTGACATTTCAATGTTTTGGATACGGTTTTTTTCTTCGGTTTCAGATCATTTTCCCTGGGATGGCCCAAGAATTGTACCCCCCCACTTGGGTTTTAGTAGTCATCAAATCTTCGTTGTACACCCCTTGCCATTTTTTTTCTGGGGGTGGGGGCAGACTTCATTTTCAGACACGCCCAACTATCATTTGTTTGTGAAAAGTCCCCATAATATCATCATTTTTCTCCAGTTAAACTGATATTTTTGGTGGTAAATCATCCCAGTGTCAGTGGTCACATATATATATATATATATATATATCAAATATCATCGCATGATATCGCATTATTAATCTACATCCCAATAAAAATCCACAAAATCCCAAGAAACATCCATTAAATCCCAAAAAAAAAACAATGGGACTTTCTCCCCTTTTCTGGGCGCCAGGAACTCCGAAGTTCTCGTGGTAACGGAGCCGCAGGGTGCACTCAGTCCTGGTTGCAGATGGGTTGCCTTCGGTGTCATCAAACATGGCTGGGAAATCTCCAAACTGAATGGAGGTGTTGTATAATTGGAAAATCACCCATAAATGGACCCACACACACAGATATATATATATAATTATATAATTATATATATAACTATCATTATATATAATTATATATATAATTATATATATACTATATATAAATGGGTGATTTTTCCAGGCCATGTATCTACCGGAGGGTAATTCAAACAAACTTATCGGATTTGAGGCCCATGAAACCACAGTCGATCGGCACTCCCAGTTCGTAGTTTTTGTTTCGCATGGGAAAGACAGGGAATTGAACATCCTGATGGTTGTGATACATATGTATTATATATTTACGCGTTGTAGATTATATATACATATGTCATGGACGGAGCACTCTTGAAGTATGACCAAGTCAGTTTGTATCGGGATTGATTCTCTTGGTTGTTCCTGCAAACAAGCAAGATCAATTTGCAGTCTTGAAAACGGACCAATCTGATTCAACGCCAAAAGAAGATTTTGCACAGCATCCAACCTGTACTGAGATCTATAGGTTACAGGATGGATATTTCACTCCAGTCAGGCCACATCACCTAGAAGCCAAATAGTCAGATTTCCAGCACGTTTTTACATTTTTTTTAAAAATGGCTCTGCCATACGCATCCCACAAAAAAGTCCTATTTCAGTGAAACTGATGGCTTTTTTTCCAGTTGCCCAATAAGTTTCACCCATCTATGGATCACCTGTACCCTCTGGTAATTCAACGTAGCTATGGAAAATCCACCATTTTTCATGGGAAAACTCATTATGTCAATGGCCATGTTCAATAGCTTTTTGTTAAATTACCAGATGGTATCTTCCATGAATATCCCATTGAATCACAAAAAAAAATCCCATGGAAAATCACCAGAAATGACCATTTTCCATCATTTTCCAATGGCTAAATCCACCCATCAATGGGCCATCTATGGATCACCTGGGATCTTCCATAGACCCCCCACCGTTCGCCACGGCCGCTGTTCGCACAACGTAACGCGCCGAGGCGCCGGAGAAGGCCGCGGTGCCTGCGCATCCTGCGCCTCCGCCGGCTCCCGAGCCGCAGCCGGTGGTGCCGCCTCCGGCACCCGCCAAAGCCACTGGAGGCCATGGTGGATTTGTTGGGAAAAATGGGTGATTTCATGGGTTAAAATCCCACTATAAATGGTGGATCTATGGTGATTTACCCATGGCTACCCTCTGGGAATATCATAAAATTGCCAATTTATGGGTGGATTTAGCCGGAAAATGGTCATTGATTGTGATTTTTCATGGGATTTTATAGTGATTCAATGGGATATTCATGGGATATACCATCTGGTAAACATACAAAAAGCTATTGAACATGGCCCAGTCGAAATAGTTCATTTACCCATTAATAGCATGGTGATTTTCCATATGTAAACGTTTACCAGAGGGTAAGCATGACTGGTATTAACCAATGTGATGATCATTGTGGGTTAAACGGTTAAACTAATGATTTAATCATGAGTTTAATGTGATGAATACCATAATATGGATCAACATGGATCAACTGAACTGAACCTTGTCAATCCTTGTCATTAAAAAAAGGTGATTGAACATAGCAAGCACTATTTTTTGGGCGGTGGTCAATGGGCCGGGTCATTTCACCAGCAACAAACCGCTGGATTTCCTTGGGTCCAACAGTTGCATCATTCACATTTTCCGAGCTGGAGAATCCCAGGGTCACGAACAACAAATGGATATATGTCCCAATATATGGGATATATTAGATGGTTACCAATATATGGTATATTATAATTATATCTCAATATAATGGGACATTATCCCATTATTGGGATATTATTGGGATTTTCCAACAAACCATGTGACTGATTACCAGAGGCTAAACGAGTCGTTTTTTTTTTTTGAGTGTGTTTTTTAGCACTCTTGACGAACGCACCCACAAGGCCAAAAATTAGGAGGCGGGTCACACATATTGAAGTGGTTTTTGGTCAAAACTTTGAACCCCCTCTGGGCATCGATCAGGGATGATTTGTTTTTGGGCATCGCATTCAATTGTTTGACTGGTCAATTGTTGGCCTTATAAGGCGATGTTTTAAACAAACCATTTGGGGGAATATATGGGAAGATCATGATGGTGATGTCTAAAAATTGATATTCTTTCAGACTGTCGAAGGTTAGCCATGATGAGCAACATAAACATCTTTCTAGATTTTGAAGTATTTACTGATCATAGGAGCGTCCCAAATCCTATTGTCATTAAGGTTCCATGTTGCATTCCAAGGAGTTGAGTATGGTATATCCTGAGTCTGAATCCAGGGTGCTTTGAGAACCAATTCTTCCGTGTTTCTTCGCTGGTGTCTCAAACACCCACTGATCACTGCTTCTTTTCAATGTTTCTGGCAAAAATTGGATGTGTCGGAACTTGGGGACTTTACCTCGCCATTCTTCCTTCATTGGGGTCCAAATGAGGTTTCAATCCAGTTTCCAGTGGATTCGTTTGCCCAAAATTCGTTAGGTACCCTCTGGTAAACTAACATACTATGGAAAATCACCATTTTTAATGGGAATACCCTCTGGTAAACTAACATAGCTATGGAAAATCACAATTTTTAATGGGAAAATCCACTATTAATGGCCCATTTTCAATAGCTACGTTAAATTACCAGGCCGGGTACATCAAAACACAAAGGGATGTGCGGCTCCAGGTGATGGAAACTCTGGTCCAAAGGATCCAAAGGCGCCAGCAGAATTCCCGAGACTTACACCGTGCGGTGTCATCATGGCTATCATGGCTTGCCGGAGAATCACCCATTGAGTTCGATGATTTTCCCAGCAAGAAACCTCCATGGCTAGTCTTGGGGATTTCCCAGTTAGCCATGTTTGATTACCAGAGGGGGACCCCAAGTTGCAGATTCGGAATCTTCAAAGACTGACGAATTTATTTTGGAGAAAGTGTTAGTCATGGCTCAGTTTGGTCAGAAGATTATAGTGTTTTTTTTTTTATATTGGGGGTTTACCCTCTGGTAAACTAACATCACTATGGACAATCACCATTTTTCATGGGTAAATCCACTATTTCTATGGCCATTTTCAATAGCTTTTTGTATGTTTACCAGAGGGTACCCGGTATACCCTATTTGGGATGATGACTATTGGGTCTACCACACTACTATTTAGTCGTGGCCAACTACAGGATCCCACAGCGCAAGGGCGATGCCTTCTTTTGGTCCCGGATTGAATCATATGGGCTATACAACGGTGCATGCATATATACACTGCACAATTAGTATGATGTATATACTTATATATACATGTACATATTTAGATGAGATGAGATCAGGTCAGGTCAGACTAGAGCTGACTTTTTTTCAGCGATTAGATAGATATTAGATCAGACTATATATATATAGATAGTCAGATCAGACATGATCAGACATGATCAGACATGATCAGACATGATCAGACATGATCAGACTATAGCAACAAGATAGAAACCCAAAAAAAAGATAAGAACCTTGTTTTCAGATGATGTTTACTCCTTGGTTCCCAGGTTTCCTCCTCGTTCTTTTAAATCTATCTGCAAGGCCAGGGTGAAAGCCGGCGATGAAAACGGATCGTGGGGGCCCTGGCCCCTGGGAGGAGGATAGTCAGATTTCCCATCCTACTAGGTGGAAGTGGGATGATGATCCCCAATGACTAATACTAGTATATTATACGTGAAAAGGGGCTTGAAGCAACCAACCAGTTATCCATTATGAATCATTTTTTCATCATTTTCAATATCGAAAGTATTCAAAAGTCAATTTCTCAACATTTCTCAACAGTCCAAATTCTGAGTTGATTCTCTTGAAGGTGGAGCCCCTCCACCACGGAATCCGCCTTCCTAAGGCCTGGCGCAAAGCACAGCGATGGCAGCCACTCGCCAACATTTCGCTGGGTTTTTCCAGGAAACCATGGTGCTATACATAATTATGATTAGGTATATGTACATATATAGTTATATATATATAATATAGAGGTATATATATATATATATATCTAGGTATATATATATATAGGTATATATATAGAGGTATATATATATATATCTATTTATATCACACTTCAACTGGATTATCGTCCCAACGGACATTTTCCGCAGGGTTTGTGTCCACTTTTTGCAGGGTTTTCTCCCGAGGCACTGGCGCTGGAAGCCCCTTCGACACCAGCAGCAACAGCAGCAAGGAATCCAGCCCGGTGGATGTGGCCAAGGGCCGGAGTCCGGAGCCAAGGACATGGAGCGATGGAGATGGAAGCAAGTGCCATTATTTTCATGGGAAAATATGAGGTGTTCAAGTAGTGTAAGAAAGCATGAAATGACATGAAATGTATGTATTTACCCATCATTTTTCAGTAGAAATCCGAAGATGGGGATTTTACCATGAGTAAAGAATGAACATTTATGCTACCCATGGAGACTTGCCGTGACTTTCCATCTGGATGTTGGATGAACATCTTTCTACACGCTAGTTGTGGGGACGGCAAGGCCAATTACATCCGATTGCTAAGTCACAGGTATGCAGGAGTGGGATTGATGTGGTTTACTGACACTGAAAACCCCTAATTGTACGTAGACCTTCTAACTCACCGCCTAATTACTGTAATAATTGGGGTTTATAACAAAATCAACACCGATTGCGAAGCCTTATTTCAGCCCAGTGGGGTCATCAAACAAAGTTGGATGTGGATGATGTGGGAATTGTTTTCGGCGGAACACACACGGACAGATGACTCGTAGGATTACTCCATCTATGAGTCATCCGCCAACAGATTTTCTCCAGATTCGACCAATCAACAGGGGATCCGGAAGATGGTTTACCATGGTTGACCTGTCCAGAGAAGGCCGCAGTTCTCCCGCATCTCCAATGCCACGCATCAAACTGGTCGCTCTGTGCTTTCAAATACCCTCTGGTAAACTAACATAACTATGGAAAATCACCATTTTTAATGGGAAAATTCACTATAAATGGCCATTTTCAATAGCTATGTTAAATTACCAGAGGGTACTCTGTTGTAGCAAACTAAAACGATCGAACAACAAATTCGAAGCAAAATTGTGGTAAATGTATGTAAATGTTGGTGAATACTCCTGTGTATCTCAATTGCACACAGATCGTATGCGTGGCTCGACCGCCATCCAAGTCGTGTTGGCAAAAATATTCATTTCGACAGCTGAAATCTTCATTTTTGATCATTTTTGGTGATTTATATCTCAGTGTTTGATCTGACAATCCATATTCCAATTGGTTAAATTACAGTTTGGGCTGCTGAATCACACTTTTTTTCGTCCTGGAGTGAATAGAATATCACTGGTTCAGTTTTTTGATCGTTCTATTCTGTCTAGTCGAAGATGGTCAGTATTACTTGGATACTCCAGGTACTTCTTCCAACCCACCTTCTTTTAGGGTCAAAAATTCAAAAGCCTTGAAGAACACAGATTCGGGCATCATTTTTTGGTATCAAACATCCACATTTTGGCAGACAACCAAGACCCTGCAAACCACTGATTTGATCAGACAAAAATCATATTGTTTGGTATTAAATATTAAATATCTTTAAGTATTAAACATGCACATTTTGGGCAATATTGGGCAATTTTTGGGCAACTTTTGGGTACTGTTTTTTCCGGATCCCAAGGCGGTTCAAGCTCTCGCAACGTCATCAACATCAGCAGCTGCATCACAGGCGACCGCGGTCGCGACCTCAGCGGAACTAGGTGATAGTGATCCTGTTTTAGACGCCAGATGCATGTTATTTAAATTAAGAAATATGATATAATATGATCAAATTTAAGCATCATTATATAATCACTATTAGCCACTGAAAAAACCAGTATTAACCATTATTGATCACCATTATGTAACATGAAGTGTATTATGTCATTATTATGTACAGTATGTATAAATACACATACATCTAGCCGACACTAATATGGGATACATCGGATATATCTCTCAAGGCAGTGGATGAAATTTCCGGGTGTAGGAGGACCTGGTCCACTGGTCGGTGGTCAGGGAAGAGGCGGAAAAGCGCCAAAAATCCATTGATTCATCATCATTTTCCAATTCTCCATAGGCCATTTAAGGGTGATTTTTTTCATGATTAAAAAAAAATCAGACACCCCGTATCTCTGTCACATGAAGGCTTGGGGGTTTCAACTGTTAGAAATTCTGTCAACCATAGGGATGATGATGATGATGATGATGATGATGATGATGATGATGATGAAGATGATCACCATTGATTCCTATTTAGGGGGTTGAAACATGTTGAAACCACCAAAGAGATATGTTGTGGGTCAAAACGAACATGGCATATATTGGGTAGATGACGCTAGATGGACTTCCTTTTCTCATATCCACCCTGGTCATGGATTGCGGATCACCGGGCTACTGCAGTGAAATCACCAGTGAATTCTCTTGTTGAAAGGCTCCGTGGAATATCCGAAGCACAGGATTTTAAGTGGGTAGTACACATAGATCTCAAATGATCTTAGGCTACAAACCAATTAGAAGCTGGAGGTTCCATGCGGAAAGAACTCGCACATACTTTCCGACTGATTTTGGGTATCTCATTACTTGGGCAAGAAGGCTGACATTGCCATCACAAAGTTGGGTTATCACATCAGAAATCATGGTGATTTCGGACCAGTCATTGAACCAGGCTATCCTAAGGTTTGATATCACCATCATAAACTTCCAAATTTTCCTGGATGATTGCTGAAGACACCCCCCAAGAGTTCCATTTTGCAATGGATCAAGCACATACATATGTATATACACACATATCTATATCTATATATACTGTATAATGCTCTATGAGTATGTATATTTCATACAGATTCATACAGTATAATACACATTATATATATATACATAATACATAAATCGCCGGAAATAGATGCTATTTCCCATTCACCATAGGCATCTGCCTCACCATCGAGGCAAGACCATTAGCCTCGATGCCAGCATCACGCAGCGAAACCGAGCTCCTACCGTTCCTTGGAGGAAAGGGTTGCTGGATGGGTCGCATGGTGAAGTTGGTTGCTCAGTTCCATCCTCAGGGGATCTAAAGCTATTAGAAACAGTTGATTTGGGATGAGCAGTAAAATTTGTCAACTATTTTGATGTGAACGTTTTGAGGGGGTTTTGACACGTCCCCATAATAGCGGTTGGCTGTACCCCAAAGTTTGTTGCATAGTTTCACAACGTTTCACAGTTTTCCAACGTTTTGTCGCTGAATTTGCCTATTGTTGTAAAATTAAGGCCGAAGAAGAAGCGACCGCGGCGCTGTCAGCGATGCTGGGCCTCGGAAAGCCGAAGGCTGGGGGACCTCACAGGGCTGGAAGGGCGGAAAAACCATGGAAAAACAAGTTGAAATTTTGAGAGAAACCAGTGGAAATGAGGAATCTTGGTCTACAAATATCAAACAATCAGGTGGAAAACCCAATAACATAAACCATCATTCATCAACCATATATAGGAAGTCAGGAAATACCTGATCCCATGGCTGATCTTGACGTAGCCAGCATTTAGTGGAACAATCGTTGGACCGCGAGTGAACAACAGAATGGATGACACACCTATTACGTACCAACAAGAATGAGAATATGATGTAAACAGCAAGAAGCAGCAATATCCTTCCTTCATAAACACAACCGGCTCTCACACAGACAGACAGCGAAAAAACGCCATTGGCAATGGGAATTTCAGCACAACAGATTTTTTCACATTATTCATAGAAACAGACGTCAAAGAAATGAACACAACAGACATACCCTCTGGTGAACTGTCACATAGCAATGGAAAGATCCACCATGTTGAATGGGAAAATCCACTATAAATAGCCCTTTATAGTGGATTTTCCCATGAAAAATGGTGATTTTCCATAGCTATGTTAGTTTACCAGAGGGTAGCTATTGAAAACTGCCGATTTGTAGAAAAAAAGCAGCCTATGCAGCCTATGCAATCCATGGTGATTTTCTCTAGCTATGTTCCAGAGGGTACCATTTGGTTATTTAACATAGCCATAGAAAATCACCATTTGTAATAGGTAAACCATCTATTTCTATGGGCCATCTATACCATGGCTATGTTAGTCATAACCAGAGGGTGCCCGCTTTCCACCAGTTGAATCAGCTAATATCATCCACCCAGCCGCCTGACAGACTCCAGCTCAATCAGGACGTAACTTTTCCTGAGACGTGGAGACCTATGGTTGTAAAAAGAATTACATCTTCTAGCCTTGTAATTTTTTTGCGTGCAGTACCATCTGGTAAAATAACAAAGATATGGAAATCCATAGAGTTCCCGTTCGGAAAACAAAAGGATCTAGAAATGGTTGATTTTCCGTATCTACCAAAATTTTTACTGGAGGTTACATCGTTTGGAGCACATCCCATGGATTTGTGACCCGGAAATCACGGTTCGATGTGGCTATGGCGGCTATGGGTTCGAAAGGAATCATCTCATTTCCCGCGAAACGCGTAGGTAAACATCCCAATCAAGACTATCAGGTTTGGGTCAGTGTACCAAATGATGCAAACAGAAGGGATGTGATACCATATTTTGAGGAACAGCCAAATGTTGCTGTGAACTACAGAGTACAGGGTGAACCAAAACTGACCCGTAGACATGTGAACAGTTCTCCAAAATAGTGTGATGGTGAAAAACAATGAAACACATGTTTGTACCTTTTGTATCTCTATCTGCCAAAATTGGATGAAGGAAGTATGATGAAAGTGATGACCATTTGCAGGAAAGGCCTACGGGAATCTGGTACATTTCATTGAATTTCCATATTGACATCCCCATGTTCAGTGATTTTAGTGGATATACCATGGGTATATATATATATTATATACATATATACACCTCATATTTCTACTTAAACACTGTGGTTTCCTCTAGATTTTCCCTTGGCTAAACCGCCAGTGCTGGGCAGGTGGCTTTGAAGCCAACACCACCTCCAAGGACTCATGTGCCGTGGAGCATGAGGCCGGGTGCATTAAGCATGTGAGGATGGATCATGATGGATCAACACCTACAAAACCTACAAATTATACATGTACAATTATACATGTATGTACACACATATGTATATATACACATCATATTTGGATATATGTGAAGGGAATGCCCATCCATTTTCCATGTAAAGGTGAATGGCGTAAGAAAAAAATGGGTGGTATCAGATACCTAGAAATTCACGGATATTCACCAACACAAATCTGGATGCAACTCGTCAAAACATGAACATCATTTGTAGACAGACATGGGGTTGCCAAACATGTGGATTCAACCCTTATGAGTGGGAAATATTCTTGATAGGTAATTTCCGTATGCTTCCGGTTCCAGCCACGCGGTCATCATCCAAGCCGGTCCCGCCTTTTTTTTGTTGGTGTGTTGAGGGAATTTTGGCCATGTTGAAGAGACATGTTTGTAGATACATACCATGCATGGGGCATATGGGTACCTCGAAGTTGCGGTTGCATTGTGTTTGTGCTGGACATCACCGGATGACAGCCACACGTCAAAAACGTGGGTTGTGAAGTGATACAGGGGTGCCTTAAACGGATATTGTGATCATCCCGGTTTGAAGGAAGATCCTACGGTGTGAATTAGCTAAAACAGTATACTACAATACTATATACTGCAGGATTATATATATAAACATCATCAATACAAGTATATGTACATATACAATATTTATTTATACACAAGATCCACTGGCCCCTTGTTCTTCCCAAATAGTTACAACGAGTTCGTTGTTTTCACTCGCCCTCGCCGCCAGTTCAGCGGATTCCTCTGGGTCTGGGGAGCCCAGTTTTGACGCTGGGATTTTCTGGTGGTCCAATCCACAAAAACACGGATGGGCTACACGGATTGGTTCCGATCATTGATGGTCAACATCCACATTTCTGTAGATAGAAATATCATTTCACATATACAGTAAATATATACAGTAAATATATATATATATATATATGTATAATTTCGTCTTGGTTTTCAAAGTATCACCATAGTATCACCATAGTATCACCATTTTGCAGCCCATTGTTGCTTTCCATTCCCCCGAAAGCGGGCGCAGGCAAGAACAGGCTCCTCGTCCAGGTCGGGTTTTTGACTCGATAGCGGCCATTTTGATTGGAGTGAGACTCTGATCAATGGGAATTTCAGGATCCTAAAATGGAGGTACCTACCATATATAAGGCCTATGTAAGGCCTACCATTGATCTGAGATATTTTTCGGAGATAGTTTTGGAGATGGGATTTCTTTAGGGCGAGGAGGACTGGAAGTTTATGGGATTTTTGATGGATTTTTCCAGTGTGGATGGCAGCGGTTTTTTTCCATGTTGGATGATGGATGGGCTCCGCCTCCAGTAATGAACCATCCCATGAACCGACCCTGGTCGTGGGGGTCATGCTAAACATCATCCCAAATAGAGGTTTTATATACCCAATAAACCTCTATTGGGGATGGTGTAAATGGTCGGGGATGTTTTACTATTGGGTTTATATACAGGTAAACCTCATCAAAAATCGGTTGATACTCAGCTCATCTTGGAAAACCCACCACTGGATATTGCAAAAGACCTGCAAGCGCAAGCGCAATTGCATATAATTATATATATATAATTATATATATTTATTTATGCATGTACATGATATTATTTTGTAGTGTGAAAAGCCTGAGTGTGACAACTTCTAGCCCAATGTCTCATCTCATCTGGGTGTGAATCCCCGAACTTCCAACGGATTCCAACGGCAGGCTTGAACCCCAATGCTGCGGAATTTCGCCCCAACATGTGGTCGTGCCTCGCTGCTGGTGATGGCTGGTGGTTGTTTGGTAAGGTGGGTTTGTTTCAAAAAGTTTTGGAGGAAAACACACAAATCCAAATGGTTTATCATCACTTTGCTTTTGAAAAGTAAGCATTTAGGGGTGACAATATGTGGTATTCATTTCATTTACAGTAGTAATTTTCTCATACATTGAGGGTGCGGCCCCTATTGTGGACTAACCCAGGTTTACTTTGGAACGGAATTTTGGGTTTGGAGTGCCTCAATTTTTACAAATATCCAGTGAAACTAGGCAATATCTAAATACCTGCAGCAGATGGAAATATCAGTCACAACATGTAACAAATACCCATCAACATTTGGTGACAGGGAACCATGACCATGGTGATGGTGACGGATTCAGGTCAGTCTTTTATGCAGAAAAACACCTGCTTGGTTGTATAGAAAATCATGGGTAAATCCTCTAAAAATAAGGAATTTTCCACAGCAAACTGCAACAAATTACCCAAGGGTATCAGCTATAGTTTATCCCCATGATATCCGTATTATATCCCATTTTACCATATTTTAGCGCCATTTTTGTTGGTGAAATTCGCATGTTTTATAGATGTTGGGCTCCTATTTTTTGGCACACGAATCCAGCTCGCTGGTGGGTTTTCTTCGGGGTATTTCTAAACGAAATCTTCGGCGGGAACGTGAGAAATAGCCATTTGCAAAAGAACCACTCTATATATTACCTATATATAATTACATATATATATATATATATACACACACGCATACATACATACAGAAAACCATCTAAAACTCCGTTTTTGTTGGTTTCGCATGGTTTCATTGAGTTGACTGTCAAGTTCACAGGTAAAGGCTGCTATGCCCGCAGGTACGACTATGACTACGACTTCGTGCCACCTCCCCCGTGCCCAGAGGCCGGGTTTCCAGCTAATATTCACAACATTTGTTTAGATTATGATTTGTTGGGGATGGTCCAGTTGGGGATGTGTTTCCCTGTTGCTTCAATCCGAGTAATTAATTACATATACATAATATGCTTAAAACACATATACTATGTATGTATATAATATATTATATAATATTATATAATATTATTCTATATTAAATATTATATTATATTATATATTATATTATATTGTATATTATATTATATATTATATTATATTATATATTATATTATATTATATATTATATTATATTATATATTATGTTATATTATATAATATATTAATATATTACATTATATATTATATTATATATTATAATATATTAATATATTACATTATATATTATATTATATATTATATTATATATTATATTATATTATATATTATATTATATTATATATTATATTGTATATTATATTATATATTATATTATATTATGTTATATTATATTATATATCATATTATCTGATATATTATTATATATTTTTGTAATATATTATATTATATATTATATTATATTATATATTATATTATATTAAATATTATATTATAATATATTATATATTATATTATTATATATTATTTTATATATTATATTATATATTACATATTATATATTATATATTATATATTTTAACTATTATATAATATATTATATTATATAATATATTATATAATATATTATATTTTATTATATTATATTATATATTATATTATATATTATATTATATTATATATTATATTATATATTATATTATATATTATATTATATTATATTATATATTATACTATATTATATATTATATTATTATATATTATATTATATATTATATATTATATATTATATATTATATATTATATATTATATATTATATATTATATATTATATATTATATATTATATATATTATATATATATATATTATATATATATTATATATTATATATTATATATTCTATATTCCATATTATATATTATATATCGTATATTATATATTATATATTATATATTATATATTATATATTATATTAAATATTATATTATATATTATATATTATATGATATATTATATGATATATTATATTATATATTATATTATATATTATATGATATATTATATTATATATTATATTATATATTACATTATATATTATATTATATATTATATTATTTTATATACATATATATATTATGTTATATATATATATTATACTATATATATTATATTATATACATACATATATATATATATTATGTTATATATATATATTATACTATATATATATATATATTATACATGTATATACATGTATAGACATACATACATACATACGTACATACATACATACATTACATTACATCACATCACTGTACATTACATTACATTAAATACATACATTACATTACATCACATGACATGACACTACATTACATTACATGACATTACTTTACATTACACTACATTACATTACATCAGATTACATTACACTACATTACTTTACATTACACTACATTACATTACATCAGATTACATTACATTACATTACATTACATTAATACATACATACATACGTACGTACGTACGTACGTACGTACATACGTACGTACATATGTACATATGTACGTATATATATATGTGTATGTATGTACACACCATATATATATAGGTATATATATAGGTATATATATAGGGTATATATATATACATATTTCCTTTGGGACATGTTCAACCCGTTTTCCCAGGACTTTCATACAGATAGGGCATGTTTTTTTGCCTTCCTGCCATGAAGCGGATCTCTTTCATTGTCCAAACCCAAGCAGAAGCTGTTTGTCTTCAAGACTGCTCAAGGGTTGAAACAACCATGTTCTTTCATGGTTTCACATGTGTTCAACCTGCTTTTTTGCAAGAAAAACTCGATTTAGACTGATTTACCCTCCGGTAATCATTCACATGGCTGGAAAATCAAAATCCATTTAGATGATGTTCCAGTTAGAAACCTCCATGGATCGTGGTTTTTCCCATGATTTTCCCATGATTTTGCAGGGCTCCGAGGAGGTGCCCGAGGAGGTGCCAGAAGAGCTGCCAGAGGCATGGATTCCATGGGGAAAGATGGTAGGTTTCATGGATTTGTAGCCGGGAAAATCCATTTTTGATGTTTTTCTGGCACATTTTGGGGACTGAGAAAATCATCGAACTGACCTGGCTGTCATGATATAGACCTGTTATGGCCAGAAAATCCGTTTGAGCTATGGTTCGATGATTTTTTAAGATATTTGTTTAAAACCAATATACCATTCTGGCTATGTGGAAAAAGGGGCTGTTGGTTTGAGAATTGGGGATGTAACGATGATATAACTTGGTATAACCAAAAAACATGGGATCAAACCAACGATGAAACCAACAATTTTTATGGAGACGACTTTGTAGGGATTGAGGATGTAATGGGGATATGATGATATAACCAACAAACCAGGGAATGGAACTAACAGTTTTGCAACTTGTGTTACTAGTTCACCCTAAGATTCTGAATTTTGGCCCGCGTCTGGCATAGGTCAAAATGCGAGAGCTCATAGGTGTCTCACAGATAGACTGATTTCAACACGTTGAGTGGACTCCTAGGTACAAACAACGCAGAGGCAGTGCAGGTCTAATACTGTAAGTGAGCGAACCTCAGGCATTGTTTGATCCGTTCCTACGTCACTTGTGGGAGTTTGTGCAAATCCCTTCTGATGGATGGTTCATTAGGAGTTCAATCATCCAGACGAGGACAAATCTGATATGCAGTCGTGGCACCAACCCTTCAAAACCACTACGTTTTCCGGGTTCTGGAAATGTTAATGTTGCTCAACTGCTGAAGATATCTTAACCTTTTTGCTGACTGATCTTAGGCAACATCCCATTGTGAATGATTTTGAGTGGTTTTACTCTCAGCATTTGGTGCCAGATGAGCAACTTGTTGGGCGTCAACCTCCTGGACGAAATCTGTGGAGGAGCCGAGCTGGTTGGTACCGGTAGTGTTTATGCCCATTGTATTGCCATTTTTAGAGGTTTTTTTCAACACTACCAGGATAGTTCATCACAGATTTAAACAAAATTAATCAGCATTATACCAATGATACCAGGATAGTTAATCACAGATTTAAATCAACAATCACCATTATACCATATTATACCAATGATTGTTATATCAGGATGGTTACACCAATCAACAATCACCATTTTTGGTGGTTAAGTAAAAAATCACCAATTTTGATGGTTGAATCCGTGCGGGCCCTACGCTGTCCGCTGCGAACTGTGGCGGATGCCTTGGCCGCAACTTTGGAAGGCCAGGCAGAAATTGGATGAACATGGATAAAGCACCAATTTTCCAGAGGAACCCAGTGACCATAATCTGGAGATCCAAGTGATTTATATGCTGTATATAATATACGTATATATATATGATTATATATATGATTATATATATATGATTATATATATATATTAATTATATATATATAGTGACGGACAACTACTTAGAACATCTTTTGGAAAAAAAATCGTCACAGCGGGGATGTTCTAAGTATGGGGTTCAAAAAAAGTAGTTAGAACATACCCAAAACCTATACTTAGAACATTTCCAAGCTATACTTAGAACATCCCAGTGGGGAACCAATGGGAACCATACATATATGTATGTTCGAAGTATTTGTCCGTCGCTAATTATATATATACACTATATAATACTATATATAGATATATTTATTTAAGGGCTGCCGCCCCTGCCGCCTAATTTCTGCCGGGGTCGGCGCATATGTATAAACTAATAGGCTAGGGGCAATCTCCAGCATCAGTCTTACATTGATACATCATATTTACTATAATATATATATATATGTGTATGTGTGTGTGTCCTTTCCCAGCCACAATTGCATCCAATCTCTTCTTGGGGACATGCGGATGAACCCTTTGGCTTTTCTGAGAAGGCCACATTGCACCAATTGGTGCCATTCTTTGGGGAAACCACCCGTTGTTTACAAACCAGGGTCGTTCTTGTGGGGAATTGCGATCTTATACATATATATATATAGTAATGGAGCAGGGTGATTTTGAAGTTGTCATAAATATATATATATATATATAGGGAGAAAATTTGGGTACTGTTTGGCGGTGATGTTCTAAGTGCGGTGTTCCCAAGGTAATACATGCCTTCAGGAAATCCCCAGTTGTTCACAAACCAGGGTCGTTGTGGAAGATTTGCCATAGTCTCTCCTTATTTGGAACGTAGTGAAGTCAGAACATGTCATGGATAAATGTATCTATATATGCTGAGACATTTGCTCATTTGAATTTACAAACCTTCAATCTTACAGTATATATATATAGGGATAAAATTAGGGGAATGTTTCGTGGTGATGTTCTAAGTGTGGTGTTCCCCAGGTAATACATGCCTTCAGGAAACTCCCAGTTGTTCCAAACCAGGGTCGTTCATGTGGAAGATTTGTGATCTTATTTGCATATATTATATATATATACCAATCATTTTGGAGCAGTGTGATTTTTAAAGCTGTGACATTTGTATATTATTGTATATTTTCATTTGCTGAGATGTCTTTTGGGGAACGTTTGGTGGTGATGTTCTAAGTGCGGTGTTCCCAAAGTAATACCTGCCGTTCCCAACCAGGGTCGTTCTTTTCGAGTACTTGCGATCTTATAGATATATATATATATACATATCATTTTCGAGCATCGTGATTTTTAAAAATGTCACGTATGCATTCATACGCTGCGATGTTTTTTGATTTTAAATCCCAAACCTTCAATCTTGCAGTATAAACATAAATATATATATATATATACACATTATATATAGGGAGAAAATTGGGGGAATGTTTGGCGGTGATGTTCTAAGTGCGGTGTTCCGAAGGTAATACATGCCTTCAGGAAATCCCCTGTTGTTCCAAGCCAGGGTTGTTCTTTTGGAGGACTTGCAATCTTATATTTTATATATATACATATTTAAATGTATCATTTTGGAGCATGGTGATTTTAATATATATAAATATGTCACGCATGTATTCCTACGCGGAGATTTTTTTTGATTTATATAAAATACCAAACCTTGAATCTTTCAGAATATATATATATATGAAGAAAAATTGGTTACTGTTAGGCGGTGATGTTCTAAGTGCGGTGTTCTCAAGGTAATACATGCCTTCAGGAAACCACCCGTTGTTTACAAACCAGGGTCGTTCTTGTGGGGGAATTGCGATCTTATACATATATATATATCATATATATATATATAGTAATGGAGCAGGGTGATTTTTGAAGTTGTCATAAATATATATAGGGAGAAAATTTGGGTACTGTTTGGCGGTGATGTTCTAAGTGCGGTGTTCTCAAGGTAATACATGCCTTCAGGAAACCACCCGTTGTTTACAAACCAGGGTCGTTCTTGTGGGGGAATTGCGATCTTATACATATATATCATATATATATATATATAGTAATGGAGCAGGGTGATTTTTGAAGTTGTCATAAATATATATAGGGAGAAAATTTGGGTACTGTTTGGCGGTGATGTTCTAAGTGCGGTGTTCCCAAGGTAATACATGCCTTCAGGAAATCCCCAGTTATTCACAACCAGGGTCGTTCATGTGGAAGATTTGCCATAGTCTATCCTTATTTGGAACCTAGTGAAGCCAGAACATGTCATGGATAAATGTATATATATGTGCTGAGACATTTGCTCATTTGAATTTACAAACCTTCAATCTTACAGTGTATATATATAGGGATAAAATTAGGGGAATGTTTCGTGGTGATGTTCTAAGTGTGGTGTTCCCCAGGTAATACATGCCTTCAGGAAACTCCCAGTTGTTGGAAGATTTGTGATCTTATTTGCATATATTAAATACATATATATACATATCATTTTGGAGCAGGGTGACTTTTAAAGCTGTGACATATGTATATTATTGTATATTTTCATTTGCTGAGATGTCTTTTCATTTAAAATCCACAACCTTCAATTTGGGGAACGTTTGGTGGTGATGTTCTAAGTGCGGTGTTCCCAAAGTAATACCTGCTGTTCCCAACCAGGGTCGTTCTTTTCGAGTACTTGCGATCTTATAGATATATATATATACATATCATTTTCGAGCATCGTGATTTTTAAAAATGTCACGTATGCATTCATACGCTGCGATGTTTTTTGATTTTAAATCCCAAACCTTCAATCTTGCAGTATAAACATAAATAAATATATATATATATAATATACACATTATATATAGGGAGAAAATTGGGGGAATGTTTGGCGGTGATGTTCTAAGTGCGGTGTTCCGAAGGTAATACATGCCTTCAGGAAATCCCCTGTTGTTCCAAGCCAGGGTTGTTCTTTTGGAGGACTTGCAATCTTATATTTTATATATATACATATTTAAATGTATCATTTTGGAGCATGGTGATTTTAATATATATATATAGATATGTCACGCATGTATTCCTACGCGGAGATTTTTTTTGATTTATATAAAATACCAAACCTTGAATCTTTCAGAATATATATATATATATGAAGAAAATTTGGTTACTGTTAGGCGGTGATGTTCTAAGTGCGGTGTTCTCAAGGTAATACATGCCTTCAGGAAACCACCCGTTGTTTACAAACCAGGGTCGTTCTTGTGGGGGAATTGCGATCTTATACATATATATCATATATATATATAGTAATGGAGCAGGGTGATTTTTGAAGTTGTCATAAATATATATAGGGAGAAAACATGGGTACTGTTTGGCGGTGATGTTCTAAGTGCGGTGTTCTCAAGGTAATACATGCCTTCAGGAAACCACCCGTTGTTTACAAACCAGGGTCGTTCTTGTGGGGGAATTGCGATCTTATACATATATATCATATATATATATAGTAATGGAGCAGGGTGATTTTTGAAGTTGTCATAAATATATATAGGGAGAAAATTTGGGTACTGTTTGGCGGTGATGTTCTAAGTGCGGTGTTTCCAAGGTAATACATGCCTTCAGGAAATCCCCAGTTGTTCACAAACCAGGGTCGTTCATGTGGAAGATTTGCCATCTATATATATATGTCTATCCTTATTTGGAACGTAGTGAAGCCAGAACATGTCATGGATAAATGTATATATATATATGCTGAGACATTTGCTCATTTGAATTTACAAACCTTCAATCTTACAGTGTATATATATAGGGATAAAATTAGGGGAATGTTTCGTGGTGATGTTCTAAGTGTGGTGTTCCCCAGGTAATACATGCCTTCAGGAAACTCCCAGTTGTTGGAAGATTTGTGATCTTATTTGCATATATTAAATATATATATATATACACATACATTTTGGAGCAGGGTGACTTTTAAAGCTGTGACATATGTATATTATTGTATATTTTCATTTGCTGAGATGTCTCTTCATTTAAAATCCACAACCTTCAATTTGGGGAACGTTTGGTGGTGATGTTCTAAGTGCGGTGTTCCCAAAGTAATACCTGCCGTTCCCAACCAGGGTCGTTCTTTTCGAGTACTTGCGATCTTATAGATATATATATATACATATCATTTTCGAGCATCGTGATTTTTAAAAATGTCACGTATGCATTCATACGCTGCGATGTTTTTTGATTTTAAATCCCAAACCTTCAATCTTGCAGTATACAAATAAATATATATATATAATATACACATTATATATAGGGAGAAAATTGGGGAATGTTTGGCGGTGATGTTCTAAGTGCGGTGTTCCTAAGGTAATACATGCCTTCAGGAAATCCCCTGTTGTTCCAAGCCAGGGTTGTTCTTTTGGAGGACTTGCAATCTTATATTATATATATACATATTTAAATGTATCATTTTGGAGCATGGTGATTTTAATATATATATAAAGATGTCACGTATGTATTCCTACGCGGAGATGTTTTTTGATTTATATAAAATACCAAACCTTTAATCTTTCAGAATATATATATATAGGAAGAAAATGTGGTTACTGTTAGGCGGTGATGTTCTAAGTGCGGTGTTCTCAAGGTAATACATGCCTTCAGGCAACTCCCAGTTGTTCCAAACCAGGGTCGTTCATGTGGAAGATTTGCCATATATATATATATGTCTATCCTTATTTGGAATGTAGTGAAGTCAGAACATGTCATGGATAAATGTGTATATATATATATGTGCTGAGACATTTGCTCATTTGAATTTACAAACCTTCAATCTTACAGTATATATAGGGATAAAATTAGGGGAATGTTTCGTGGTGATGTTCTAAGTGTGGTGTTCCCCAGGTAATACATTCCTTCAGGAAACTCCCAGTTGTTCCAAACCAGGGTCGTTCATGTGGAAGATTTGTGATCTTATTTGCATATATTAAATGTGTATATATATATACACATATCATTTTGGAGCAGGGTGATTTTTAAAGCTGTGACATATGTATGTTTCATTTGCTGAGATGTCTTTTCATTTAAAATCATCAACCTTCAATTTGGGGAATGTTTGGTGGTGATGTTCTAAGTGGTGTGTTCCCAAGGTAACACATACCTTCAGGAAACCCCCAGTTATTCACAAACCAGGACCGTTCTTTTGGAGGACTTGTCATATTATATATATACATACATACATATTTATTTATATATATACATCATTTTGGAGTTTTTTGACTACCCCCTGTAGGAAACCCACAAACTACTAGAGACCTTCCCATTGCAGCGAAGACTGCTTGGGATATTGTTCCCGAAGAAAAGGTATATATAGAATGCTGCAGCAGTGAGGGGGGAAAGTGTTCTAAGTATGGTGTTCACCAAGGTATTTGTGTGTATATAATGTGTATATATCCAGATTTACCAAAGTAACAGGACATGTTCTAAGTATATGTGTGTTTTAATGTTCTAAGTATACAAAAATCAATGGAGATGTTCTAAGTATCTGTTTTTCTGATGTTCTAAGTGCGTACTTAGAAACATTTCTGATGTTCTAAGTAGGGTAATTTTGATGTTCTAAGAAAAGGTTCCGAAATTTTGGAAAAAATTTGATGTTCTACCCTCTGGTGAACTAACATAGCTATTGAAAATGGCCATTTATAGTGGATTTTCCCATTGAAAATGGTGATTTTCCATAGCTACGTTAAATTACCAGAGGGTAAGTAGTTGTCCGGCACTATATATTAATTATATATATATATTAATTATATATATATATATATATTAATTATATATATATATTAATTATATATATATATATTAATTATATATATATATATGTATATATATATATTAATTATATATATATGTATATATATATTAATTATATATATATATTAATTATATATATATATTAATTATATATATATGTATATATATATATTAATTAATTAATTAATTAATTAATTAATTAATTAATTAATTATATATATGTATATATTTGGTGGTATCAACCGTGGAGGGCCATGAATGCCTGTGACTAGAGTTGATGTTGATGTGAACCAATCAAAACCATTCTCTTCACGGACAATCTTGGGAACTCGTGGGGGAAGACACAGCTAACTCTCCAGGGCTGTTGATTTGTCAACATTGATGTGTCTGTGTCCCAGAACGCTCCAATTTTTTTGGGGTGATATACCAAAATGGGTGTGTCTGAAAATAGTGTACCCCTACACCCAATGGTTCATGATCATTATCCCTATTAAATGGCTATAATTGGGAATATACCCTATTTTCAGACAAACCCAAATAGTCTGGTTGATTGATGTTTTCGATGTTAACTAGTTTGTGAGAGTAAACGGTCGACAAGCAAATTTGCCAATGGTATTATACAAGTACAGTACTGTACACCCTTGTTATATCCGAAATACCCAATCTGATTTGTCGTACCCTCATGTCCGCTGCTTCACGCTCATGTTTTAGTGGACATGAGATTTTTTCTCGTTTCTGTATCTCCCCTTCAACATGTTTTCATATGCATACAATCATACATATGTAAATGACTCTACAAATGTATATCATTTTCTGCACTACCGTTTCATTGGGGGTGGGTGTGGGGGTACAATTAATCATCCCGGGTTGCTTGTACTTCCAATCGTGATGAACATGATAAGTACCAATAATAACAACATTAAAAACTGATGATCATATCGGTTATGATTGATAATAGCAAAATTAATGATTATGATATACTATAATGTTAATAATGTTTATTATTATTATTAATTATTTACTGTATTATTTATTATTTATTATTGTGATAACACAGACAGTGATCATCAGGCCAAGTGGTGCCCTCCCAGCTATCAGAAGGTTCAAATATCCACCAACTATACGTAGATATATCATCTACCATGAATTCAAGTGAAATATTATATAGTTATAAGCACTATTCTCTATATGTTGTTACTATCCTTTGTGTATATATATATATATACACGGGGGTTTCCATGGGTTTCCTAAAATGGGGATACCCCTAAATCATCCATTTATAGATGGATTTTTCAGCAGAAAACCATTCATTTTGGGGCACCCCCATATATACACTGTACATTTGGGTTGCATCTTCCATGTCTGTCTAGAAAATCAACATCATTTGCGAGGACCGGCACCGCAAGCGGCAAGGCCAGAGTGGGGATTTTTGGGGCTTAGAAATGGAGGGATTTAAGATGAGTTGATCAACTAAGATTATATCGGCCAAGATAGGCAATTGATATGGTTTAACTATGTTTAACTCATTGAACCTGGTATTTTTTCGCTCATTGAATCCAAATTTCGGGCATCAATTCTCGGTGCGGTCCGTCCTCGCTACCTGCAGGGATGATGATGACGAGGTCGAGAAGTGGGCGCGTTTCCCGGGATTCGAAAAAGTTTAAAGGGGAAGTTTCCGGTCCAAAAAATATTTCGATCTCCATGGGTAATATATGGTGATGCACTACTGGTAGTTTCCATATCAACATATTCATGGGTATCCAAATATTTACCCTCTGGTAAACTAACAGTTTGCGAACTGGAAAATCCACCCATTTTTAAGTTCGGTAAATCAACTATTTCTATGGGCCATGGCTTCAATAGCAAACTGTAACACATTACCAGGCCGGGTAGTTTCCATTAATCATCATTAATCAGCAATAAATCACTTTTTTAACCATGATTAACCACTATTAACCATTATTAACCATGGAAATCCCATTAAAAACCCATTAACCATCATTAACCATTATTAACCAGGCCGGGTAGTTTCCATATAAAAAACAGCTAGATCTCCTAATATTAGAGTCCCATGAGTCGTCCAGGCCGCTGCGGCTTGAGGTGCACTGCAATGGACAGTGTTTGTAGAACATGAATAGCCTATGGTAAAGGTTTACATAGACCCTGATTTTATAAGCCATGTTTAGTGGAAACTCAGATTTTATGAGCCATGTTTAGTGGAAACTCATCTTCCACTATCAGGGTCTATGTTAATTTACTGGAGGGACCAAACTTGAGGGAATTGAGCCATGAAAAAAGACATACTCATGGGGATTTTTCATGGAGATGTACTTACTGGGGGAAAACATTGTAACAAACCACACTATTCACTATGAACTTTGATGATATTTGGATATCTGGTAAACTAACATAGCTATTGAAAATGGCCATTTATAGTGGATTTTCCCATTAAACATGGTGATTTTCCATAGCTATGTTAGTTTACCAGAGGGTAGGGTAAGCCCCAAAATTGCCATCAACTGCCATCAGATAATGGAGAAGATGATGATAAGCCACTGGATTTCCAAACGGTCCAAACGGTTTCCCAACCATTTCGAAACCATCCCAGTGGCTGAAACCAGACATTGGAAGAGCGTAGGTCTCCCATAAACCTTATAGAGGTGGTCCTAGCCTGTTGGAGCCATGAGCTATGGCTGTTGCTTACTATTCCCACTCTATATCTATTATATATGTATATATGTATATATGTATATATGTATATATGTATATATGTATATATGTATATATGTATATATATATGTATATATATGTATGTAATGTAAATGTAAATGTAAGTGTAAATGTAAATGTTAATGTTAATTTAATATAATGTAATGTAGTGTAATTTTTGTATGTACGTAGGTAGGTAGGTAGGTGGGTAGGTAGGTAGGTAGGTATGTAATGTATGTAATGTATGTATGTAATGTATGTAATGTATGGAATGTATGGAATGTATGGAATGTATGTAATGTATGGAATGTATGTAATGTAAATAATAAGATGTATATAATGTGATGTAATGTAATGTAATGTGATGTGATGTGAAGTAATGTAATGTAATTAATGAATGTAATGTAATGTAATGTAATTTAATGTAATGTAATGTAATGTATGTAATGTATGTTTGTAATGTAATGTAATGTAATGCAATGCAATGCAATGCAAATGCAAGTGCAATGCAATGCAATGCAATGCAATGTTATGTTATGTTATGTTATGTTATGTATGTATGTATGTATGTATGTATGTATGTGTGTGTGTATGTGTGTATGTGTGTATGTGTGTATGTGTGTATGTGTGTATGTGTGTATGTGTGTATGTGTGTATGTGTGTATGTGTGTATGTGTGTATGTGGTATGTGTGTATGTGTGTATGTGTGTATGTGTGTATGTGTGTATGTGTGTATGTGTGTATGTGTGTATGCGTGTATGTGTGTATGTGTGTATGTGTGTATGTGTATATATATATACACGTAATATGTATCCATACATCCCCACACTGCGGTGACAGCAGTAGGGGCTGGGAGAGGAACAAAATCTATACATGCTTGTTATATACACCACCATATCCTCATTATATCGCTATTATGCTTATATTATCCCCAGGGCCCCGGTTGAAACCACCGAATGAAGCATGGCCAGAGGCCCCGCGCGTTGCCACGTGACGCGAAAAAAACACGAAGGGCCAAGGAAAGCACCAGCGGCGCAAAAGCCGAAGCACGTGATGTGCTTTGACCGCGGTAGAGGTTTAGCAGAAAAGGAACAGGGAATGTTTAAACCCTGGAGCCAAGGACTTGTCAATCTGAATCGCCTGAAAGAGCTGACAACAGCAACAGCTGCACCATGTGAAGGCTTGAATTCTAAGGGCTGGATGACTATTACCCAAACAAGCAGCAGATCTTTCTCTGGTGGTATGTGATATGGGTTTGGATCAGATGATTCTGGTAGACCACAACATCAACCTGGACCCAAACAGCACACTTTGGAAGACTTGGCCCTTTTCTGCTGACCATTTCCTAGTTCCGTCGTCTTTGTGATTGAGGATGGTTGAAGATGATTGAACCGCATGCACGGCAAGTGAAGTAGCAATCAATTTAAAGGATGCATGTACTAGAGGTAGAAGCTTAGGAGATGAAAGGTCACCAACCATCAAATTCGTCCAATTTCTTGGCCACTTATCAAATTCTTGATGTTCAAGTTTTGAACTTGGAGACAGAGACCAAAATGACCAAAAGATGCGGATGTTGAGAGCAAACCGCTTTCGCATCACCCAGTAACCGGCGGTCGTTCTAGGCCCCAGCCCAGCGACTGCCCCTCCCAAAGCGAGGGAGATGTCCTGAAGTTGGAAACTGACTTTTAGCATAGGAAGATTGGGAAGGACCTGCGAGCTCAGAATATCATTAGAAAGATATAGGTATAGGTGGATGGTGGAGGTATAGGTACAGGCGGTACAGGTATAGTTATAGTATAGTTATAGCCATACCGTCATACATTTTTCGTTGTGTCTGATGAGTCAGTGTAGCCTCCTCTAGCCCTAGTCGGACTGATGGTTGAATTGAGGTGGTCAAGAGGCCACTGCAAGCAATGCTTTGTGCTATCTATCCAGATGGGTGCGTCTGAAAATGGATCAGATGGATGGATTAATCCCATTCATCCCGAATAACATGGTTATTTTAATAGGGAACATGAGGATCCTACACATCTGAATTTTATGTTCCGTGGAATGCATTGAAACCATCCGCAGGGTGTATTGGATACTTGCTTCTTCGAAGAAGATGGTGAAAACGATGGGACATCATTTCTCGTAGCATTTATCTTTTTTGTTATCTGGTTGGTGGTTTCAAACATGAATTGATTATTTTCCATTTCATATTAGGGTTGTCATCCTTCCCATTGACGAACTCATATTTTACCTACATGCATTTTGGGTGGTCTTCCGTAGATCTCAGAACGGCATGATGCACTCAGTGAGGGGATCACCTCCATTTGGACCCTTAGAGGTTATGTCAAAATAGCGCTTCAATAGCCATGGCCCAGTCGAAATAGTGAGTTTTCCCATTAAAAATGGTGATTTTCCATAGTTATGTGGCAGTTTACCAGAGGGTATATCAGATATATCATCATCATATCTACACGAACATCTCATTGTAACAATTGCAGTCTTGCTCCAAGCACAAAAAAAATGTCCTCAGATTTCCAGAGGTTTCAGTGAAGATTCGGTACTAACCTATCTTCTTTGATGGTTAAGCAACCTTGACCCTAACCACATATAGGCACCTGTCAGGAAAACTTCAAGGATCTCCAGGATCTCCAGGTCTTAACCCACTAAAGGTCAGATTCAGAAAAATTTTCAGCGGACAATTCATGCGGCTTGGCGTGAAGGGCTTAGTGATCAGGGTTTTTATGGTGGACAGCTGGTGAAAAGCCATTGTTTTCCTGGTGATTTTCGCGGGGTTTAACATGGCTTCCTGAAATTGGAATACAGTAGCCCAAGAACATATGAAATCCCCCCAAGACTAATCCAATACTAAACCAGAGGATGGGATTGCGACTCGGGGACCGGACCGATTTAAAATCAGGTCCCCAACGATGATGTTTCCAGCTGGATGTCGTATTGTAAGATTCTAATGGGTTCCTGTGGGGTTTCACAATTTTTTCCAGGTGTAGGGATTGATATTCTTCCGCCGTTCCAGGATTCTATGATGATCTAGTCCTCGATTCTACTTGTCCAATTGGAATTGTCCTGCAATCGCCCATGCCGCTGAAACCGCCAATTCGGGATTGTCAAACCATGTCGTGCGCCATCATACTGTCTGTCAGATGCAAGAAGAATCACGAAGTACATGGGTGTGTCTGACATGGGGCAATGGCTTTCAATAAGGCAAATTATGTTTACCCTCTGGTAATTTAACATAGCTATGGAGAATGGCACGTTTATATACGTATATATATATAGAATAATATATATATATATACAATATGATTTACCTATTACATACACATAGCAAGCACGATGGTTTTGCATTGCATAGCTATATTAGTCTACTGGAGGGTAACCAGTGGATTTAGGGGTACCATGGGATCAAGCGAATCCCAGCTACTTCCATGATTTTTGTGCCCACCCAAAGCACTGTAAGAATCCTTAAGGGTGAAAATCCCGTTATAAGTAAGACAAGCCATACTAAGTAACAGGGGTTGGCTCACGTTTTCTTTTTCTAAGCCATGGTTAAACATGGTTATACCCATTTAAGTAACAACGGCAGCCACGCTGTTTTGGGCATGACATGAAGCTGTGACAGAACTCCGCAATCCCGGACACTGAAAAACTGCACGATCCACAAAACGCCGTGGCATCCGTAGTAGGTCCTCGTGGGCCCCTTGCCATTTTGGCACAACCGACGGCTCGCACCAGCAGCAGGGTATAGTAAAAATTACATGCAGCCTTTGGATGATGACGAATGGATGAAATAGATGTGGCTTTCCAAAAAATAGTCTCCATAATTTACGATGATCTATTAATCACTTGAGTAGAAAATAATTATATAAACAGTTGTGATAGTCACTTTAACAGCTTCAGGGGTCGGGCCAGTTGGTTCATGTGTTTTTCGGGGACCCCAATGACCCTTTCCCACAATATGTGCTTTCATGGGTTTCCAGAATTGTGTGGTATATAACATTGAATCATTCCCGTAATACACATTGCCATTTTGGGTATAGCAATTTGGAGATATGGAGATTGGACTTTCACATTTTTCAACTTTTTGAGTTCTAGGAATTAGGCCATATCCATTTAAGTTATGGAACTCTGGTCCGCAACGGATGCCTGGAGAAAAATTGCAATTCAGTCGTCGGCAGCGGAAAGCCCAAGTAGATGATCAAACTTTTTACATGGTGATTTTGAATTTTCCACTTCGCAATGGGTTATATATATTTTTCATATGTTTTCATGGTTTTTCCCATATGTATATATAGTATTATATAGTATATAGTCATTACCAGAGGTTTTTGAACAGCATTTTTTTCGCTTTGACGTCGCTTGAACTTCTTGGGTGAAATCGCAGCTGCCACGAATCTCGTGACATTGGACCTTCCAATGCCCAGATCTCTTCGACATCAAATCCAACTCGGGCTAAACGATTTATGATCAGGATCTAAATAGATTTTTGTAAGCTAGGAAAATCAGGATTTGTGGGTCAAGTACTTTGAATCACATTGTATATTCAACTGAGATTTCGCTACGGCCAACTGAGATTTGTGATGATATTTGTGGGATACACGATGCAGTATATTTCTAATCAGAAAAGACCTTCCCATCGATAGGGCGTGAAAAGCCGAAAAGCCATGAGAAAATAATCATTTTCCCGATTTTCACATGACGATCATTGGGGGTAATCCCCGATTTTCAGACCTAATTATCATATTGTTGACATATCCCCATGGTAATTCCATTTTTTATCCCCCCATGGTAAACAAGGTAAATCCCCCATGGTAAACAAGGCGAGTTTTTCTGGGTGAAAAAAAGGTGATCCCGGTGGACGTTTTTTTTTTTTTTCTGTGAAGAATGAATGGGATTCAGCAAGGATTTTTTCAGATTTGATAGGATTATATAATATGATATCATGGGATTTAACTTGGATATAAACTGGGGTATATATATATATATATACATATTAGGATAAAATGCAACCAACGATATATATATATATATTTCTGAGTCATTATCACTATTATTATTATTATTATTGTGGGGAAACATGGGATGTACTGGGAATATCACATTTGTATATTTGTATATCTATATATATATATACATACATATTGTCAAAAATTGGGATCTAAAGGGGAAATCTGACTAACATGGGGATATAACCAACAATATCCAGTTGGATTTGTTAACCCAGGATTTCAATAGTAACCCCTGGTTTATGAATAATAGGGGGGCATCCATTTTGAGAGTAATGAATTTAGCCCCTCAATTTATAGTCAGGGTTTAACAGTTTATTCATGCGGGGCTGCCACTATCTGCAAAATGAATCGGATGAGCTATTTGAAACCCCACAATTTACTGGACTTCATGAAAGGAAAACCATCGGGAAACTGTCGCTTTGGAAACAACGTGCTGGTCCCGCACCAAGCCTTAAACCAGTTCTGGGAATCATGGCGAAAACCAAAATCATTCGACACAGTGGACAGTGAAATAATTGCAAAGCATCACCAGCCACCAGCCACGTGTGGGTCTCTTGGCACCTCATGTTTCAATATTTTGTTTTACTAATATCAATATGTGTCATGATCAACACACGTTTTTTGTCCATCAAACGACGTGGTCACGAGCTGAATAGTAGGGGTTAACGATGAACATGACCCTTAATAATAAGGAATCCCATTCATGATGGTGGGATGACCAACCGCATTAATCCCACGTTTTGGCCCATAGCTAGCTAAGTTGGTGTACAAGTGGGTTAACTAGGGTTTTGATGGGTTTTGTATATATATATAATATATATATATGTATATATAAATATGTATATTTCATCGTTTCTACAGTTAGATGGGTATGTAAACCAACTTACCCTGCGGTGTCATCAAACGTGGCTTCCTGGAACATTCGCCATTTATAGATGGTTTCCCAGCTAGAAACCTCCATGTATGATAAGGGATTTCGCAGCCAGCCACGTTTGATCACCGGAGGGTATGACTGGCACCAGCTTGTGCAGTACATACTGTGGATGGGCCAGCGAAATCCTGCACCAGTTGGTAAGTGTTACCCTCTGGTAAACTAACATAACTATGGAAAATCCCCATTTTTCATGGGTAAATCCACTATAAATGGCCATTTTCAATAGCTATGTAACAAATTACCAGAGGGTAACTACTCACAATGGCCACTTTTCAAATGATGGGTTTTGAATGGGATGCCTTGGGATGGCTTGCCCACCAAGTAATTTCCAACTGGATCCAATCTGGTGCAGGATTTCGCTGGCTCCAGAGTACCCGGCCTGGGTAAACATACAAAAAGCGACATGGAAAATGGCCATAGAAATAGTGGATTTTCCCATGAAAAATGGGTGGATCTTTCCAGTTCGTTATGGAAATAGTGGATTTTCCCATGAAAAATGGGTGGATCTTTCCAGTTCGTTATGGAAATAGTGGATTTTCCCATGAAAAATGGGTGGATCTTTCCAGTTCGTTATGTAACAAATTACCAGAGGGTATCACATTCACAGATCCAGCGGATCCAGCGGTTTTTCTGGTGATCTCCGGGCTCCGAAGATCCAGCGGAGATTGGCCCAGCGATTGCAGCGCCTGCCGCACAACGGGATGGCTTGAAAATCGAGGTCTCGGAACATGGGAGTTGCAATTCATAACAGAAATATTGGGATTGTACCAACATATAATATAGATTGATGATGATTGATCAACGGATTTTAAGAAACAACATCTACGAAGGCAATTTTTATCCCATACCTGGGGGTTCAAGTGAAAGTTTTCCCTTCCAATTCCATCAAATACTGGAACCATGTTGATGAGAATCCGGAAAGCCTTCCGTCAATACGTAACGTGGATGGTCCGAGCCTCCTGGTTTTCAACACGGGCTAAGAATAGACTTTCGCTTTGAAAGCGCGAATACTTATACATACGTATTATAACATAAACATGAATGTGGGTAAATTATAACGACCTCACTGGAAATCATGGTTTATAAGGGAAATCATCCCCAAATGGCCTTAATTCAGGTTAGTGAAATATTATAATTTACCCAGATGAATGTACAATATCATGGACTGGTACCTTGCCACTGGATTCACTGGATATGATTTGGTATTGCCCAATGCATCATCTCCTAGTACAATGCCCAATGGATACTCCATCAACAACCATCCCACATTGACACTATCCCTCATATCTATCGGATCTATAGTTAGATTCGTAAAAGATTCGTTTGTAGATTATTGTATCTACATTTATTTATTTTTGTATCTATCTACACACACATATATATATATATGTATATATATATATCATACATCTATAAGTATCATATGATATCACGTAATATCATATACTAAATCATCCTATCCTCATGGGTATCCCTCTCTGTGACGGGGATTCGGCTGCACATTGCCACAGCGCCACACGCCCAGCAGGGCGCAAAACGGTCGGAGCGAATGACGACGGATCGACATCTCTGCGAGCACAAAACAGCGCTGGGGGCGTTGACGATCGACTCCGATAACTGGAAGTTGTAAACATGACCCCCTACTATAGTGATGACAATTAACCAGCCTATATAACATCAATTTATCTATTTGTCTAGCTATCTATCTAGTCTGTCTGTCTATCTGTTTGTCTATCTATTTATCTGTCTATCTATCCTTCTATCGATCTATCTGTATTGATGGTGAATTACCAACATTTTTTTCTCTGGGACTGCTATGTTGTCATTCAATCATTTCCCTTCAACGGGATCAAATTTGGACAGAGTAGAGTCAAACATCAAAAGACACCTGTTTCACCTACCACTTTTGAACAAGGAAGATGCTAATTTAGGGGACAATCCTGGGGGTTGCTCTCAACATCTCCAGGAGAGGGAGAAGAGCCGTCTACAGAAGCTGGTGAAGGATTTTGCCAAAGAGGTGCCCGGCAGTCTTTGCCGGTCGACCGGCTGTTAAATGGGAGAAACCATAATCCCAGTCATCATGAACATGTTAAATGGGATATCTATCTATCTGTCTGTCTGTCTCTCTGTCTGTCGATCTGAGTCTATTTGAGTCTAGCTGAGTCTATCTGAGTCTATCTATCTGTCTATCTATCTGCCTATCTGCCTATCTGCCTATCTGCCTATCTATCTATATAATCTAATCTAATCTATTCCAGTCCATTCTATTCCATTCCATTCTATTCTGTTCCATTTCATTCTATTCTATCTTATCTTCTCTTATCTTATCTTATATATCTTATATATCTTATATATCTTATATATCTTATATATCTTATATATCTTATATATCTTATATATCTTATATATCTTATATATCTTATATACATATATATTATATTATATATATATTATATTATATTCATATATATTATAATATATATATATATTATATTATATATTATATAATATATATATATATATATTATATTATATATTATATATATATATATATATTATATCTTATCTTATCTGATCTTTATCTTATCTTATTATCTATCTATGTACACCGTGTCATATTCATAGACTTGAATGTACATATGTAACAAATATATATATATATGTACGCATACACAGTACGCACGTACATATATAATAACATATAGACATATTCAGAGTTATAACGTGGCTTTACACCTGAAACTTACAACGGAAGTCGTTTATACAAGAAGATGATGGGACACACATTTTCCAGTTGCACATTGTTTCAGAAAAGCGTCTGCTAAGGGCCATGAAATCCCCATTTCACAAGGAAAATTGCTAGCGAATCTAAGCGAACTGAGCCAGTACTGACAGTACTTTTCTGTGGGAAAATGGAGGTGTTTAGCCAACATTAAACACACCATCCCGAAGTGGGGTTTATTGGATATGACAAAAACCCCCAAAGTGTTTTAATGATTTCTTGGGATCGTTATTAAAAACAGCGGGGAAATGGCAGGATTTCAATGATGAACTTTCACTTGCGAAGCTGCCTCCTTCAATGGGCTCTAGCTGAACCGAGCTGAATGATTTGGCTGGAGAAAGGTGCTGCTGAAGAGCTGAATGTGCGTAAAAATGGGATCTACCAACATGGTTTACACCATTAACACCAACAATAGCTCTCCCCAGAGTTTTCTCCCACGAAATCACCTTCAAACTTCCAGGTCAAACATGGTAATGACTAACAGTTTGTGAACTGGAAAAGCATCGTTCAAGATAATGGCCAACATCAATCAACATCATCTCATCGTAAATAGCCATTATCTAACCATTAGAATTTAGCCAACATGATGCAATTGGGCCATGGCTTCCATAGCTCCTTGCCATCCCCGCCATCAAAGAGATCCGCCTCGCCATGTCGGACAGCACGGCAGCTGGCGTGGCCAAGGCTCGTCACATTGAGAGCCTGGCGCCTGAAGCCACGCGTAACGTGGCGCAACGTGCTGAGTTTGGAGACGGTTGGCAGTGTTACACAAACTGAGTCAAAGTGATATTTTAAGGTAAAATTGATAGGTTTAAGATAGAGGGGTACTAAATTTGATGGGTTAATATATATATATATATGGGGCAACTCACTAACTGGTTTATTGGGGATTACAGTATGATAACCCATGATAGGAATATTTACTACCAACCAGTATAATGAGGTGGGATAGGGTTATTTTCGGTGGCAACACTGTGTGGGAATGGGTGTTTTCTCACCTCTCTTTTTTGCAATGTTTGGGGGGGATGACCTTGAATTTCGTACCAGGGTTTTGATCCATACCCAGAAATGGCATTGTGGTGATTGTGGTGATTGTGGTGATTGTGGTGATTGTAACATGTTTCCTGCAAGTAGTTATTCTGTTCAACGATCATAGTGAATAGAAGTGGCTGTAAACTGTTGTAATATATCAAAAATGGCTCGAAGGTATGTTCGCAGTACTCATGTCGGGATTTGTCCGCAACATATGTATATATATATATATGCATTATATGTCCATTCTTAATCAGCCGTTTCCCCTTTAGTTGACGACCATTTCTGGACCAACCCATCTGTTGCTGTTTTTTTTTGCGGGATTCCTTTTGTCGCATCCAGGTGGTAAGCTCCCCAGGGTTTCAACCATATATTTTCCCATCAATATTATATATATATATACATACACATATATATATACTATATATATATAATACATATATATATATGATACATACATATATATATATATATGTAAATTATATATAATACATATATATATGATACATACATATATATATGTAAACTATATATATATGTAATATATATATATGTAATATATATATATGTAATATATATAATATATATATATGTAAATAATACATATATATATATATGTAAATAATGTATATATATATATGTAAATAATATATATATATATATAGTTTTTTGGATCACGTCCAAGGATGTCCAACGATGTTCAACGATATTCACCTATGATCAACTGACCTCAGCTAAGGTATCATTGATGATCCCTATGCCCAGTACTTCTACTTTGGTGCAAGCTTGGTGAACCTTGTGGGCCACGGTGCTGGCTTGTGGCTCTTTGACATGCTGATGCCTGGCGCGCACGAGATGTTGATCGCCAGGAGCTGAAGTCCTGGATCCTTTTTTTCAGCGTTTTTCTTGCGTTTTTTTTTGGGGGGGTTCATAGATTCTTAGATATCATCGGAAACACATTATAGTACCTTGATAGTATCTTGATAGTATCTTGATAGTATCTTGATAGTTTCTTAGATGTATATATTGAAATATGGAACATGATCATTTTTTTGTTTAAATATGGAGCTTCATCATCGTTTCATGGGAAAAAATAGAACATATTGGAAATTCATTCATGATAACGGAGGATTTCCCAGTGCCAGGTTTGATTGCCAGATGGTACCTCCCCCAAGCCACAAGCTCTATCTATATACTATATACCTATATATCTGTAATTATATATATATATATATATATGTAATTATATGTGGTCCATTATGGTCCATATGTACCGACAGGAAAACCTGCGAAATGGCAGTACGTACCACGATTGGAGCGGGTAAGGAATAAGGCATGTCTTCCCTGTAAGATTGCAGTGGACATTCACCATTTTTGTTTCGAACCTCCTTTTTGAGTAGGCAGTTTTCAGTTACCAGTTGGCACCACTGATATATCACCATAAACTTTAGTCAACAATCATAAATGGCTGGTTGGTGGTTTGGAACATGAATTTTATGACTTTCCATGGGGAATAATAGCACCAACTGACTAATATTGGAACATGAATTGTATGACTTTCCATATATTGGAAATAATCATCACAACTGACGAAGTCATATTTTTCAGAGGGGTAGGTCAGCCACCAACCAGTTGGGTTTGCCAGGACCCGGTGCATCGACGACCTGGTACAGCAGGAGGTGGAGAATGGTGCCTGCCAGGTGCCAACGGGGCCAACGTGCCCTGCCGGGGGGGGCGTTCTTTTCCAGTGATTTTTAACCAATGGTTTTTGAACATCCAATGTTGGAATAGAATCCTGAGAATTACAGTATGGGTTTAATCAAAAAATGATAAAATGTGATCAACACCCAAAATTGGGATATAGCCCTGATGAACTTTGGGTCATACACACCCTAAGCTGGGCAAAAACGAAGTCGAATTGCACCAGAAAAGGGAGCAAGGCCTTGCAGATGGACAGCAAAAACAAGGGGTGTTGAGGAGTTTTAACCCCAGAGGTGGTTGGTGGTAGTGGGCTTAGTATGGCTTAGTGATGACCATTGATTTAGCAATTGGATTTGTTCCTTGCAGATCACCAAAAAGCTTAGTTCAGCCACTTACAAGCCAACTCGGCGAAGGCAGCACCTTGCATCGAATGTGATCGACATTAGTAAAGTCCACCTGCTGTGAACACCCTAAATTGGAATAGTTGGAATATAAGCCCAGATCTTGATGCTTTATAACATTCTACTTTAACATACTTTAACACTCTGGTAAACTAATATAGCTATTGAAAATGACCATTTATAATGGATTTGATTTACCCATTAAAAATGGTGATTTTCCATAGTTACGTTAGTTTACCAGAGGGTAACACTCTAAGACTCATGTTAGATTCCCAGAGGGTACAATCCAACTCAGGTGGTTCTGCTGGGCGCGGGCTACGACATGCGTGGTGCACGGCTGAACCTGGCAGAGAAAAAGGTGAAAGTCTTTGAGGCGTGGTGACCAATCTCAATGGTCATGGTGAGACTCCCACTTAATTTTTAGTAATCCCCAAATAGATGGAAAAGTAGTCATCACCATCAAATTAGTAGGGATTAAAACATCTTAATTTACTTTTCCATCTATTTGGGGATGACTATGCATTATAGTTCATAGTAGTTGCAAGAACCAATTTGATCATTGGATTGGTTTAGGGGAACCATGGAATCGATCTTCAAAAAATCCTCCAGGGGCTTCCATGGTGTTTTTCCCGGTGTTCCAACCATGGTGTTTTTCCCGGTGTTCCAACCAAAACCAATCCAATGATTCGATGTGAAGCATACCCAATGCTGATATGTATATGTACATATATATATATATTTAATATATAATATAACATTTTTAATATATAATATTTGATATATAATATATAGTATAACATGTATGATATAATATAATATGTAATACAATATACAATAATATAATATGTAATATAATATAATATGATATAATATAGTAGAATATAATACAATATAATATAATATAATATAATTTAATATAATTTAATATAATATAATATATATTATATATATTATATATATTATATATATTATATATATTATATATAATATATATACATAATATATAATTTCTAATATATAATGTTTGATATATAATAATATAATATGTAATACAATATACAATAATATAATATGTAATATAATATAATATGATATAATATAGTAGAATACAATACAATATAGTATAACATATACATTAGAGGCTTATTAAACTGGAGAATCCTCAACTGAGGTTTTTGTTGTTGGATACCCGAAAAAGTGGATAACATTGGACGATTTGCCACCCAGGATCCGCAAATCATGGGTTTTCGGTTTTCGTTTGAGAAAACTGAGAACTCCGGTCGGTTCATATATTGTACCTTTGTAATACATAGGTTTCATTAGATTGATCATGGATTGTGGATATGACTATAATCATTTCTTACTAATATGTATATATATATATACACATCATACAACCTATCATATAAGTATAATGACAACTGTAGGTTGTATCTATTCCACAATAACTTCCCATCTCATATGTCATCATTGTGTGGTTCTTCGGCAGGTGGACCAGCCAGCAGTCCAGAGCAGGAAGCGGGAAAAGGTCAGGGTGTTTTTCAATGAGTCCACGCCCAGGATCTTCCCATGGAACAATGGGATTTCATGTGATTTCTGGTAAACTAACATAACAATGGAAAACCACCATTTTTTATGAGTAAATCAACTAGCTATGTAACAAATGACCAGAGGGTAACCAATTTAATCCGGCAAACCTGGGGGATGATCTCCGGAGTCATCACCCAACCACTGGGCCCTACCAATTGATTCATCCTGGGAGGGTCCAAATGGGTGTGGATATAGGTATGGGTCAACATTATTTCGACCTCATAAGATTCAGAGGCTTTGGTGGTTCCAAATTTTGGCCTAGAGCCTTGTGTTGACCACAGCCTGTCACTGAAATGGCTGTGAGATTACTTGAGGTCGTATCCAAATTGCAGGTGAGTTGGGACTATGAGCGGTATGCTGGTGCTGACGCCTTGGGGTTCTGTAAACTGCAGGGGTTCTTCAGGCCTTTCCAAACTTGGCGCAGTTCAACGCTGACAGGGCTTGGACTACGTGACTACTTGCTTCAAGTTGGATCATGTATAGTCCATTCTGCATGGGTAAATCCTAGCGACCACATGCGACCACACTGCCACCGGGTTCCCACCCGGTTCACCCGCCGGGCTCGGGGGATTGCAGGTGGCAGCCATCCCCAACTTGTCCAATCCGGTTCACTTCGTGCCCGTGGACTTTGCCTGTCAGCGGGTGGATGAAGAGTTGTCGAAGGTGGCGGACTACGATCCCAAGGCACGAGGACGATCTGAGATCGCTGGCCGTTGCCGATGGGTTCCATTTTTTTGTTTGGAGAATTCATTAGACATACTCTACGATTGGGCACATATTAGATGTCTGCATATGTGATCATATGACATGCATATATATATATATATACACATAAAATGATTATATGACAATATATAATAACTATATAAGTGTTTTATATGTAAAGGTTTCTTCCAGAATTTTGGCCTAGATCCACCACGACTCTCTTTCGGGAATTTTCGGTGGGCAGCGGTTGCGCAAGCGGAACATGTCCTGGTGCATCGGCCGTTCTGGTGACAAATTTCAATGGGAGAGTCCGCATGTGTGACGATGCAAAAGGGATGAAAAACACTAAAGCACTGACCCAAAACGAAACAAACAGGTGCACCTAGAAGTTCACATACACATATATAATATATAATTTGAATCGATTCAACTTGTAATGTTGCCTTTGGGTCTAGTGCAAAGCGTGATGATTCTATAAGAGGGATGGTCCGGGATGGTGATCTACACGAGACACCGGATGTTGACATGCGCCGTCAGATGACATGTCGCAAGGGATTTTTATTGGTAAATGACAGCACCATCCCAGTTGACCAAAGGGGGGGTTGTCTCACAATCAGACAACATGTAACATGACTCAAGACTTAATGATACTTCATGATGTTTCCTGTTTCTCATCATCATTTCTCCTGAAACAAAAAATCCTGGACTTTGGCCCATCCGACATCCAGACAGGCCAAGACATTGATCATCCTCGAAGGTGCAGATCAAGAACTCAATGGGGGATTTTCCGGCCATGTTTATATACCATGTTTGATTACCCGAGTACTGGAAACCCTATCAATAGGGCAATAGTTTTGTGGAGCTGTTTTTTTGGGGAGCAGACTTTGATTTCCAATGGGGTCATGAAAGGGAAAGCCGGGTGAACCAGATCCACTTGGCGCATCATAATAACAGTTCATGAACCATATGAATATCATATGAACCATCATTAACACTTAACTGAGCGTTAATAACATGAATTGATTTCCATTAACTAACCATTACCAACATGGATTCACCATATGATTAAGCATCATCAACATCAAAATCAGCCCCTCCCGAAGCACGGTTCCAGGTGTGAGCCAGTACATCCCTGGTGAAGCGATGTTGACCACCTTGAAAGCCATGGACGCCTGGCAGCGGAGAGTGCAGGGATGAGATCACTTGATCGCTTGAGACGGCTTGAGACAGGCGATTTACCAGCGGCCATGGCTAGATATGGAGGATGTAACCATCGGTTTTATGGGGATTCAAGCAGAACACATTGGGATTTTACATGATTTAACCATCAACATATACGAAACATGAGATTCAACGATCAGACATGGGGATTCAACCTGAACTACAATCAACCACCAATGGACCCACAGAATTGGCAATTCGTTGGACATTTCGCCCTGCAATTTGAGAGGCAGTGATTTTGACCTACATCCAGTGTTTTCTTGGGAATTACGCGTGATTTTCGGAAGATACACTCTCAAATGTACCGTATGTATAGTATAATATGATATATATATATATATATGTATGTATGTATAGATAGCAAAAACACATGTATCATGTTGCAGTGGCAAAATCATTCCTTGCGTATGCACTTCTAGTGGCACACGTTCATGAGTCCAACTGATGAAATTCAAAATGGTTAATTATGGTTAATAAATGGTCAATCCCATGGTATTCTTAGTTTTTATCCCACAAGAAATACCATATATTCCCCTAAAATTAACATGTAACCATGGTTCCCAGCATATTCCCCCTAGATTCCCCTATATAAATTTCCCATATATTCCCCATATATTCCCCATATAATTTGACCATGGCACATTGTTGGCAAGGGCCATGTCGTTCAGGACGGTGTCACAGGACCTGGGACCTGCTTCTTTTTTTCGTACGTGGATGAGCGGATTCAGCGAGAAGCCGCGCAACTGGGGGATGCCAAGACAGTGCAGAAGAATCTTGCGCCGTGCGGGGGATGGCAATGGGCAAAATTGGGAGGTTCCCTCTATGGGGATGGTGTAAATGATATTAAGTGATATTAATGTAAATGATATGTGTATGAATTACATGTAGGTGTATATGCATATATATATATACACACTTAATCAACATTATACAGTACTATATATACATATATATAGATATACACATGATATACATTATATACATTGATATACAGTGTATGTATAATATATATATATATATATGTATGATAAATGTAGTGGGTATAAGTAGGTGAGCAAGATGCAAACATATGAACACACACACACACACATCCAGTTCATGAAGAAAAGGTGGGAAAAAGAATGGCAAAGATCCCATTTTGCCCAAATTGGAAGACCTGTGGTAGTGGCAACTTGGTTCTCTTCGACTCTTGCAGTGTGCTTCAAAAACGGCTGGTTGTTTGGCACTTTTTCAGGTCTGACTCGGTCATGCCATCTGTAAGGAAAGGTTGGCCTGTCATGAGCTGGCTATGTCCAAGAGTTGGTCATCCCGAAAAAATCAAACCACCAATCAGTTCACGAATCAATTGCTGGGTCCCACATTCTTGGGCCATACTTGGGGGAGGTATCAGACATCTATAAACTGAGTATGCATGAAAGAGTCTCTCTTTGAATATTTGTTTCAAATTAGGGCATCATCAAGACGGGGATTTTCACCATGTTAGTGTACGTACTTGGTGGCTCATCCCACTTAGTAAGTGGGTTATAACCCCAGTTATAAATGGGATAAGTAGGGTTAATCCACTTATAACTGGGGGGTTATAACCCACTTACTAAGTGGGATGAGCCACCAAGTATGTAATCTATCAGAATGAGGGTTTTCTGAAATTGATATCTGTAAAATCCCGGCATTTCATGGGGAAAAAAAGTGTCCATCGTAACTTTTTTCAAAATTCCCCAAGGGAACTGCTAAAAGAATAGGATTGAGTCCAAAAAAGTATAGGAAAAACATGGGTGGACACACATCATGATTCTTGCATCCTACTCTTGTTTTTCCTATGTTCCTACTTTTCTGGAGGTTTTGGCGATTTTCAACTACTCCAGAAAATTCGGAAAACCATGGAGCAAACCAAACATGACGTCTGAAACTTGGCTAACAATTCTGAAAAAGCGAAACTTTGCAAACACCTTGAAAACTAGAAAGGCATATTAAAACCTGATGACAATAATAGGAACAAATGAGGACACACATAGGAAAACAATGGGACAAAGATAGGAACCAATTGGGAAAACAAATGGAAACACTATAGGACAAATAGGAAACACATAGGATGTAAAAATCACGATGTTTGTCCACTGCGACCACAGCCAGATGGGGCAACCAAAAAGATGTGGAGGTTGAAGCCGTTAAAACCGTTGAAACCACAAGAAATGTATATTTAAACTATAAACGGAAATTTCCTACAATCGGGGTATCCCAAAATGGATTGTTTATAACATGAACATCCTATTTAGATCTATTTAGATGGATGATTTGAGAGTACCCCCATGGATAGGAAACCTCGACATGGCCATGGGGTGCTGGAGTGTTTAACCGTCAAAAACCGTTTCACCAAGGATTATGTCCATGGCGGCCAGTGTGGGAGAACCGTGGATCAATTTCTATGCTCAGAGTGAGGTTCCAGGCAGACCATGACTGCGGAACTGACCAAGAAGTCGACAAAGCTCGGAAATTGATATGGCCCGTCTTCCACGGCTGTTCCCTTATAACTACAATGGTCGATTATATTTTTATATACATTTATCAAATCAGAAGATTATGAACATCATTCTAGAGGAAAGATTACGGCCGTTGTACAAGCCATATGCCATATGATTGATGAATGTGGATGTGTTGATTGACCATTGTCGCCTTTTTGAGGATTTTCCATGACACTGACCGATGAACGAATCATGAAAGTTTGAGGGTGCGCACCCAGCAATGGGGCTTAACTCCCTAATGGGGTTTGATAGTGACTAATAACCCATGAGCAGGGCCATATCTTTTTTTTTTGGGGGGGTTACCTTTGGGGGGATACCATAAAACTTCCATGATCAATGCGGGTACAAGCAACCTATGCCGGGGTACCTGCAAGCCATCATGGTTCGGACGCAACCTGTCATAGAATGACAACCCCACTTTAGTTCTCGACACCTTCCCAGAATGTGATGTCGGTCGGCTTGCTGGTGGTTAAAGTTGGGCAACATTGCGATGATGTTCAATACTATTTGGACATATTACAGCGACCTTACTGGCCGAGCCTCACATATTTTATGATTAGGAGGAGAGTAATCCCAAAAATGGTATACCCTCTGGTAAACTAACATAGCTATTGAAAATGGCCATAGAAATAGTGGATTTTCCCATTAAAAATGACCATTTTCCATAGCTATGTTAGTTTACCAGAGGGTACTTGAGGTTTGAGAGGTATTGAAATTTGCCCAGAGCTGTGACAGATTTTGGGCTGTGGTGTTCTCAGGTGTTTCTATACTTTTTCGTCCACGGGGCTGCGCAGAACCCAACTAGAGCAAAACTCCCGTGGGTAAGAGGCGGCTTGCTCAATGGTCCCCAGTTATCCAGTTTTTTGGTAGTCTAATTTGGAGCTATATGGGGCTATATTATACATATAAATATAATATATAATATATAATATATAATATATAATATATAATATATAACATATAATATATAATATATAATATATAATATATGATACATGATATATAATATATAATATATAACATATAATATATAATATAATATATATATATATTATAATATATATATATACAAATAATACATATGGCTATAGGTCAAAACCCTGCTGGTTTGGTGAACTTCAAAATAACTGGTAATCACATTTGTTCATCCCCCCAAAATTGTATATCATAGGGTTTGATATGTTTTAACCTATCCCCATATGTAACCACGTATACTAAATGATCACCCAAAAGTCGTGGGCTAGATCTTGCGCATGTGACGGGCCAGGCCTATTGGAGGCTTCTTCCAAATTCAGGCGCAAAATTTCAGCTTTTGAGCCATCAATGCGTCCCAGATTTAAACATTACAATGGAGGGTTTAATGGGATATTCATGGGGATATTTCATGGGATATGTACTGTAATATAACCAACTAATTATATGCAATTTGGTTTTGTTTGAGAATGGGTGCATGCCCCAAAATCGCCACTCAAATTGGGAAAAACGATGATCAAACATCAGATTTTGAGTACTTTCTCTATTTTAAGACAAGGCCATTTTGGAACTCCATGAAATATGGCTATGGATCAGTGATGATCAATACCCATGATATCCTATGATATTTTTCTGATTCTTGTCTTTGAGATGAACATCCATAAGCACCAGCTATTTTTGGGTGAACAGAGGGTAGGGCTTTGAGCCATCCCCAAAGTAGGCTCCATGGATGCCATAGCTCGGTGGCCCGTTCAAGAAATCCTGGGAGTTCAACGCAACGTCGTCCATGCAACCCATGCATTCTCTGAAACACATCCCTGAACTAAAAAAAAATCGAGTCAGTATAGCCTACTGGCCTACTGCAAGTCATGATTGTTGATCAGGAGTGATTTTTCAGCATTTCAGTGAGCAGAAAGTCACGACTTTCTGTATCAGTGGATCATTGATGAGTGATATGGGTATGGATCAATACCTATTAATACCATTTTTAGGGGGATGAACATCCATAAATCCCAGCTATTTTGATGTTCACCAGGGGTACAAGGTTTTGACACACTGCCATATCTGGCAGATTCCCTGCGGATTCTGTTGCTACATGTTGCGGATCCACGTCAACTCCGAGCTCCCGGATTTGTTGCTGAAAAATCTCTGTCTTGAAACATTTCCCTTTGAACATTGATCACATCTCAATTTTCATGCGCCAAAACCACTATTTATATATATATATATGTATATATATATGTATATATATATATATGTGTATATATATATGTATATATATATATGTATATATATATATATGTATATATATATATATGTATATATATATGTATATATATGTATATATATATATGTGCAACACTGACAAAAGCATACAAACTCCCAATGTTTTTTGAATTGCATTTTTTCCCAATAGCTTCAATATCCACCTGTTATGACCGAGGGCACCTGGCACCTGTAGCCCCTCCAGGCTGGTGTCGGACGTGTCCGCTGACGAGATCAGCAAAAAGTCCTTCCCTTTGGAGCGGCAGATTCCGCCTGAGAAGCTGCTGGTCATCGAGCGTTATGTGGTGGCCAGGAAGTGAGGGGCCGCTCTGTGGAAATTGCCAGCCTACGCAAGCGAAACATGTGGGGCCAATCGGCGAAAACGAACGGTGTCATCAACATCAAAAAGGATGTGGGAGAAGAGGCGATTTTTCTCAACAGATTGAAACATCGTGAATTCAACTGCCAAAATTCATGGGTAAGGTCAGTTTGACCCGAAACACCGAAAACTGGGCGGGTGAACAGGTGACTGGGACGATCAACAGTGATAGCACCACTGGAATTGGTCCCAATTGATCCCCTCGAAGTCGGCAGGACGGCAGGATTTAGCTCAGGTAGCAGTTTGCGTGCGACGCCCCATGTACAGGGAGGGGCTTGGAGGCAAGCTGCGCATGCTGATGGTACAGCACTGTTTTTGGTCATGCACAGAGATTTTCTTGCGGGCCAAAGCATTGAGCCCCTCAAGTGTCCAGAAAAATCCCTGGAGCCTGCTTGGCACAGACAGATCCAGCAAAGACGGTTTCAGAAGTGCGTTGTTTGATGTTGCTAAATCTATTCCAGTGGTCCTTGATGCAAACTGGTTGGCGATTTCAAAATGCTTCAAAGATCATATACATACTTTTTTATCTTCTATTTTCCATCCTACGTGGGATGATGATCCCAATTCCCTGACATTTTTGGGATCCATACCACCAACCAGACATGTTGGCCGGAAATCAAGACATTGTCTCTTTGTAGACACTGTAATTATCTGTAAAGATGTTCCCAACTGCCCTGGCCACCTGAAATTTTGCCACCTGAAATATCTAGTCAGTCCGAAAATAGAACCTTCCAACTTATTCTCGTGGGCTGCTCTACATCTGAAGGGAGTGCAATGTGACGAGACACTATAGTCATATAGTCAGTAGACCAACAGTACACAAGTGTGTCTTCACTGCAAAGCTGTGTCCCAAGTGGTGCGATGACATGTCCGATTTCGACCAGTGCTGGGTACTCACAAAATGCATGGATTCAGTCTTCAGTCATGACGGGAGGTATTGTAGATGGGGAACATGTGCCATGGATATCCATGGATCGACGTACGTCCTGCCCCAGTTCTGCTGAAACAGATGACTCCGCTGAAGGGTACAGAAGAACTGGAAGCGCTTCCAGTTTTTTAAAAAGTCCTGCGGGATGGCCCAAACGGTCCCTAGATCTTCGCAGCTTTAAGTCTTGGGACTTGCGCCCCGCTGGTGTACAGTTCCGCTGATTGAGCATACCTGTCATGGTGGAGTATCATCTCGAAGTTGAGCAATGGAATGGATTACAACCTCGATAACCTGCCGACAAACAAGCAATCATCAGTTCAATTCAATTACAATAGAGATTCGTAATGTCTACATTTCAAAGCTTTTGAGGAAGATGCTCTGACCAATTGGCAGGGATGGGTTTGGCGCGTGAGATAGAAAAGCATCCAGCTGTGCACGACCAGGGCTGTGGACATTCGTGCAGCTGTTTAAGACTACTTGTGGATGGGCTAAGCTTTAAGGGTGAGCGGGTCAAACTTAACCAGAGATGCAGGTGGTCGTAGATTTTGCAGCCAAATTTGGCCCAGACCTAGAACTAGTGGAAGGGAAACGACGTACAGGATCACCCAAAGACATCCAAAGACAAGCTTTCGGAAGAACCTATGGTTTCCACCAACAATTTTCCCGCCTGAACCAAACCCGTTGAAAAATCGAATCCACACATCATCTTGGTGCTTATATAAAGACAAATCATTTTCCAGGCCCATTAAATCCCGGGTGTTCGTTCGGTGCGGCTGTTTCAGGTGGTGAGTGGCATCCTTGTGAACTTGGTCAACCCGGCCACGGGCAGCCAATCGCCGCATTTCTTTCAGGTCGCCGTCGGGACCTGACGACCAAGGAGACATCGGGGAGATTATTATGGGAGGGGCGATGTTTTTGGTGGCAGAAAGTCAAGACATCTGGGGTGAAAAAAGCATGTGTTTTCAGCATGTAAAAGAATTAAAAGATGTATTTCTGCACGAAATGATAATTTCAATGCGAAATATGACAACCAAAGCACCGGATGTTGGCCTCTGTGCCATGAGTCTTCAAAGCGCAAGCCATTTCCAGCTGGTCGCTGGCCATCCCTGGGATTCGCAGAGAGCTGGTTCAGGTCGCTAGGCGCTGGTTCATCGAATTCGGGGTCCATAGACCCTGGTAGATAGGGGTTGGAAGATTAGTTTCCTCCAAACAATGGTGATTTTCAGGGTCTATGTTAATTTACCAGAGGGTATAACCCCAGATATTTACGGGACCAAGCCTACTGAAGCCTACTTAGGTCACTGGGCTTGTATATCCCACTTCCGATTCATGGGGTGAACCACCGCATATTTGGCATCATGGACCCAGCAGGGTTGAAACTTGAAACCACCAGCTAGATGAAAGTCTCCGTAAGTTTCATCCCAAAAAACCATTGTTTTCTTGCACGACAACTCCCCAAAAAAGCTCGGATAATTTTCCCACCCCACAGATCAAAAAATATCCACCGCTCTTGGATTTCACCGCGAAGTGATCCCATTACCAAAATGGAAGTAATTTTTAAAACATGTCAAAACGATGAATCTACCAGCAAGCTGCGAGTCGATTTTTTCACTTTTTTTTTCGCAACATGTTACAATCAATTTACAATCAATTGATCAGCCATTTCCATCCATGTCCAATTTCCAAGCGATTCTTTTGTTGGTACCTCCCTTAAGCCCAAAAAACCAGTGCCGTTGCCGCCGTTGCCGTCGTCGTGAGCGGAGCGCGGTCGCAGATGGATCGGCATCTCACGGTCTTTTCGCTGAAGCCCAAGGATGGAGCCACTGCGGTTGCGGTCCAGGTGCTGGGGGCGATGCTGGGGGGATGGCTTTAGTGATCAATGGGTCAATACCTATAGATACTGTTTATTAGGGGATGAACATCCATGAATCCCAGCTATGACTTGGGGTGAACAAAAGGTACCAGGGTTTTGACCCATCTCAGGACTTGGGGATTCACCAGTTGGTGGGTCCAGGGTCCAGTGGAACAAAGAGGTGATTTTTGCCAACTTTTTGCATGCTATTTGTATGTATCTAGATGGGCTGAATCACTGAATCAGCAAGACACAGGATTTACCAACTTTGGGTTTTTTCAATCGGATCAAGTTGGAGGAGCTTTTGACAATTTCTCGAGGAAAAAAGAGGCTAAAGAACATGGAACAAAAAGCTGAAGACATGAAGAAATACGGGAATGAGGAAGAAATGGATGGAAATAAATACTCATGAAACACGGAGGGAATCAAATGGATGGAAATAGATGGACATGGAAGGGACACAGGTGGTGGTTTGGTTTTCATTTTGTCGCTGGTTTCCCAGCAACAGAATCTATAATTACTCTTCATTGCATCCATCACACAGTTGACTGGTTGGTGGTTTCAAACATTTTTTATTTTCCATAATATATGGGATAATCCTTCCCATTGACTACAGTAATATTTTTCAGAGGGGTGGCTCAACCACCAACCAGTTGATTTCTTCAATGTTTGAGGCAGTCCGTGAACAGCTGGGGGAACATGGCAAGTTCCATGGTCGTGGCTTAAAAATGCGGCACTCACGGGAGCACCATGCACCCACAGCATCAGTCAATTTTAGTGCAAAACCATCAATTTACGGGGTTGATACCTTTGTGAGCCATACCCCAAGTAGCATCACAGAGCCATAATTGTAGGGATAATACCATTCCAGCTGCCAATTTTGAGCCATAGATAGGGGCCTATCCCAACTTCCAGGGGTGAAACGTCCCATAGTTCTACCATTTTTTTGTCACCCCAACTTCCAAGTGCCATGAAAATTTGCAGCCGTGGTTTGTCAACCTTGTAGGATTACAGTGTGAAAGACCTCACGAAGATTTACAAGGGTCCAGAGGTCCTAATGAACTGTCCCAGCCTTGGTGCGAGACCCAGGGACAGCACGTACTGGACGAGTGATTGGGGGCAGGATACAGGATTTTGCTGGAGTGTTAGCTGCTTTGGAATGGATCATTGGGTTGAGTTGAGGGAAAGTCTTCAGTGGAACACCAGGGTTTGGACCCGCCAAATTGATTGGGGGTTCGTGTCAATTTTCCAATGAGGTGCAGCATGAAAATTAATCAACATTCAATGGCTGTGGGGTTGGCTGGCAGGTGTCACTTTCATCACTTGTCAAAGACTTTCGGAATTGACAGCCTGTGGCCTGTGTATTATATGTTCCGACAAGGGCAACACTTCACCAAGAAGAGAAGATTGAACGTGCTTTTAGTAGTTGCAGGTACCGTCTGGTAATCAAACCTTCTATGGAAAATCCACTACTAATGGTGTGGCAAGGGTTTTGGTTTGAACATGTCCAAAAGATGGAATTCCAGTGAATTCCTAGTCGTATCCCCCATTGAAGAGAATTTATCCAGAATTGAATTGGAACACTTTACAATGCAACCCCAGATTTTATAAAAAGGCATGCTCTCCTATAGATTTTCCCTTAAAACAACCTATATAACCCATTAACAGAAAAACACATAGAATCTTGCTGATATTATACATCACCATTTATATCTCGTTGGTATCCCCATAAAGTGGTTGCTATTCCCTTAAAAAAACAGGGTCCATTTTTCAAGTCACAGGTGTCTTGGCGCAGCATTGTGTGGCCTTCGACACCAACCGGGTGACCGGTCAAAGCGGTGGTACCCTGGGGTAAACACACAAAAAGATGTGTCAATGGATTGGTTTCAGGGAAAATTTACAGGAAACCCCCATATATCATGGGAAAATCCAGGATTTCCTGTAGATTTTCCCAACAAAACCAATCCATTGAATGTGGAAAAGCCATAGGGAACCCCCTTCGGAACATGATCTTGAACATAGTGGCTTCTCCACATGTAAGGGGATGGCTTGTTATTGGGTTATGGGGACACAAACGGAATATACAGGAGGGTACTTAATTATAAAACTTAAGGGTGAACAAAGCCATGACCTCACTTGTCGACGAAAACTACAGATCGACGAGAACTACAGATGATGATTCGGACAAGGGTAACTCATGGTAAGTCCCCAAAATATCAATATTTCGGCTTGATAAATTATGGTCATTCAGCCAGCCCCAAACAGTGGATTCTGTCTACCTAAAGATCCTGTCGATGGTAGAATGGTCAGAAGCATTTAAGTGGCTTAACCTTGTTTAAGCCATAAAAAAAAACTTTTCTTACCTTTTCTGCAGGTTTTTCTGCAGGTCCGAGGTCTAATATATTGACCTCCAAACCATATTAGCATGGTAGATATGGGCTGGGAGGCTCTGAGGGTTGTCTGGATTTCCAGCCATAGTATTTCAGGGGTCACGATATGGGTGTGTATTGTCATGTATTGTCAAGATTTTTGACTGATGCTCCACGAGTAGGCCTGAAGGATTTGATATGAACATTATGTATATATATATATATATTATATACATACATAATTATATATATATATATGCATATGCCATAGCCAAAGCTGGTGGATGACCATAGCCCGTTGATCCCATGTTGGGAAAAAACATCCCGATGACGCCTCCCCGGGTAAACCCTTTGGTAAACCAACGTAGCTATAAAAAAATGGCCCATTCATAGATGATTTACCTATTAACAATGGTGATTTTCCTTAGTGATGTTAGTAAAAACTGGAGGGTATATCTAAATGATGATATCCCCATAATGTTGTTGGTGAAAACAGCCCAAAACATCAAGCTTTCCCGAGCTTTCCCGCAGGCGGACCGTCGCCTCATCTTTGTCTTCGACGAGTCTTGGTCAAGTTCCATGGTTTGTTTCCCCATAAGCGGGATGGTCATGAAGCCAATACCTCAAACAAATCCAAAAAATGCATTGTGGATGTTAGACAATAACCTTTTCATACCTTTTCCAATCTGTGGCTCTCCGACTTGGGCACTTGGGCACATGTTGACTTGACGCAAATCTATGCTATATTGAGGACCCCAAACTAGGGATCCAGTTTCAGAAGACCCTTGTCAGAGCCGTTCTTCAGCCATGGCTGCGGCATGCTGCGGCACATTTTTTTAACGACCATGCCCTGTTCGCGCCAAAGGAAGCTTTGGAGCGAGACAAGTTCTACACTTGTCTGAAGATCCTGCGAATGTCTGCGGGGAGACCCGGGGACTTCAGTACATTTCGAAACAGAATCGATGGGTTGCTGCTGCAATCTGTGATCCTAATTCTGTTCATCCCTTGCTTGATCAAATAATATAAATATAGCACAATATAAGATAGTACAATGACATTATACAACTGGTTGGTGGTTTCAAGCATTTTCTATTTCCCATAATATATGGGATAATCCTTCCCATTGACTACTGTAATATTTTTCAAGATGGTTAAAACCACCAACCAGACAATATATAGTATCGCTTTATATCATTATACTTCATCATATCATATGATGCAATGCACTATAGTATCATAGAATATTACACACTATTTAATACACACAGTGATGTTCTATGATACCATCCGGATCATGTGTATTATAATATTAATAGCCACTATTTAATACACACATGGCCATCCGGAAATCAAACATGGTGCGCGCCGGAGAATTCCCCCAAAAAGGGATCCATTTAGTTCGCTGATGTTCCCAGCTGACCTCCATTGAAAAAAACGTTCGGGATTATTCGCAGCTTCCCACGTTTGATTCCGAGGGTACACATGTATGACTGCATATATATATATAGATATGCATAGGTATATATATATACACACTGTATATCGATATATAGATATAGACAGATATAGATATATATATAGATTGTATAACGATTATATTGAAACATATTGAGCTATAAAACCGAGCGATTCTGATGGATACTTCCCCAGATGCATCTCACTAGCGCCGCGATGGCTGAAGGTGGATATCACTCAGCCCAGGCTCTGCGTTAAGTGTCTAAAAATGAGGGATTAAGCCCCAGATTTATGGCTATTTCAATGGGAAAAATGAGAATTCACCGGAGGATTTTGGTGATTTGCAACTTGGGGAGTGAAGGAATCAGGGAATTTGAATTGTTGGGCATGATGCACACCGACGCCTGGAAGTTTGGGTTTTGGCCTCTGTCAAGTCATCTACCACCCTTTTACCAGTCAATTACCACCGATTTGGGTTTGTCTGAAGATAGAGTACATACCCCAAAATTTGATCGTTGATCATCATTTTCCCTATAGAAATGTTTATTTTAAGGGTATACCACATTTTCAGACAGGCCCATTTACCAAGAGAATTGCCAGCTTCAATGGGCCACTTCGCTATGGGCTCCGCTTTGGCCAGGTGAATCAACGGGCGTCGCACGTTTCACCGCTGAGTCTGGGGCGATGTGTTTCCGTGGCAGCTCCGAACGCTGCGGATGTGCACGGCACTTGTATCCATGTCCAACGCCATATAGTATACATAGCAGAACCTACAGCTATACGTATAGATGTCTATGTATATACGTAGTATTTATTTATTGTTATATATACATATCTATGGTATGGTATGGCATGGCATGGCATGGTATGGGTATGTCTGTGTGTGTGTGTCTATGGGTGAAACATGGTGAAACTAACGTCTTGTCTACTGGCATGCACATAGTAACTTAGTAGACACAGGGGTCAAACTCTGTGGTCCTGACCGGTCTCAAAGCTTGATTACCCATAGTATCTCATAGTGAACAAAGGTGTGACCAAAGGTGTGACCAGAGGGGGTTCCAAGATTTTGCAATGAAATTGGAAGGTTGGGCTTGGTTGGACCTCATGGTTTCTTGACCAAACTGGTTCTTTTGAAGTAGAAGTTCCACGGTTCCAAGCCCTCGCACGCAGCGAAATTGACCTTGGCAGCCGCTGGGTCGCCCTTCGAAAGAAGCAAGAAGAGCTTTGATTCGAAGGAGAAGCGGTTGGCGGTTTCATCAATTTTTTTGGTGACCAACATATAGTAGAAACTTTAACCGTTATGAAACAGATGGGGATATTGACGATTGACAAATGATGGTTTTGAAGATTTTTGCTGCTCCATCCCCCAAAAACATCCATAAAAAGAGGGAATAGTTTACTTGACAAGCAGAGTTTTTGGCTGAAACAACCAACCGTTTGTCAAGTAGTGCTTTTTCGATTTGAGTTGACCAAAATGATCCAATGTGGCGCAAACTTCAGTTTGTTGGCCCTTTCCAAGTCCCCTCGGAACGCCTTTTTGGTGACCTATGGTGCATGGGGCCCCACCACAGATGTTTCTTCAGATCTTGTGGGACTCGGATCAGCGTCCAATCTGCGGATCACGGCACTTTTTTGCCCCCCAGACTTTTCGACCCCAAAGGGTTTCTGCCAGTGTGGCGTTGCGAGGACAAATGCTGGAGGGGCCTGCGGGATGGCATTTGCTTAAGCTGAAAAACATCTCAGAACTCGGTTCCCAGTGATGTGGTTCCTTTCTGTACACGTGCACAGATTGATTCCTTGCCCGAATCCCCGGGTCGATGCTTTCAATGGGGCCCGGCTTGGCCGGTCTCAGGTGTCTTGGGATGTCTTGGCCGAAAAGTTCGGCTTCCGCAATCCCAAATTTTTGCATGTTTACGATATGATGCCTTTTTGAAACCGCAAATTCTTCCTATTTCCACGTCGACTTCCCTCCTGTGGTTCCTCTCAGGGCAGATTTTCGATGTCGCGCAGTTCGTCCAACGTTTTGAATACGAACGTGGCTGATCAACCGATCCTCACTCATTGACATATCATGAAATATCCTCTGGGGCAAATGTCCGCACAATGAATGTTCATACTCCCATTGCGGTTGTTTCAAACATCCAGGCTGGTGGATGTTTCACAATTAATCCAGCACCTAGCCAAAATTGGAAGGCCCTCCAGTTCTGTTTGTTGGTTTTGAACAACCCCATCAACATCCATCAACTAGTTTGATATATCTATCAAAAAGCTTAGTTAGTCTACTGAACTAAACTAAGCGGAAGGTGGGTCACAACATCCCAAGATAGTGATTCACAAATACATGCAGTCTCATGCAGTGACAATTTCCTGATGGGCTTAACACCCGATGGATTTCACATCTCGGCTCAGGAGCTACCTGAGGATTTCGGGCTTGTTTTAAGAGGTGAAGCTCCAGGAAAGGTGGAGATGCAAGTTGCACACAAATCATCATCTATGACATTCTATGGCAAATAGGATTCCAAAGTGAGATGAGTTGTTTCATATGACCAGATCGATTTCACTCCATCATTGAGACAGGCTCTGGGTTCATGAAGCTCTAACCACCTCCTCAAATGCTTCCGAAGTCTGGAGTCATTTTGTAATTCATCATCAGACCTGTTCAACCACGCTGTTTTCCAACGCTTCTTGTGAAAGGCATCTCGCAATCTAGATTTGGTCAGGCAACTTTCACCCTGTTTCACATCAAGACCCATCCCTGCGGAAGGCAGCACTTCAACCAACACGGCTCGACAGTCCATCATTTCAATTCATTTTACATCATGTCAAATTCTATAGATCATGATTGAGCAAAAACATCTGATTTTTCCCCTTTGACATGCGCTTTGGATTTTTGTAAAATCTCATCGCAGCCTGGAGAATTTCCCCCAAGATGCACTTGGCACCCAGCCATGGTTCCTGCCTGGCAGCTCTTCGCAGCCCCTCCGCGCCCTCAGCGACTCCACGACGGCAGCGCACGCCTCCGCGCGTGGCCACGCGTGCGGCGGGTCTCTGCGCGCTGGTGGTGGGCGGCACAGGGCGGGTGGGCGGAAGCAGCACCCGATGGCTCAAGAAATTGGCCAAGGAGAACCAGATGGAGTTGGAGCTGAGTGTTGGAGGTATGGGATGACATGGGGATATGATGGATATCTGGTTGGCTTTTGGAACAGTTTTTACATAATATATGGGATAATCCTTCCCATTGACTACTATTGTTCAGAGGGGTTGAAACCACCAACATCCACCAACCAGATATGTGGTTGATGTAATTATGGCGTATTAGTAGGATAATTATAGTATAATTCATAATCCGCCATGAAAAGGAATCAGATCGCCGGGGAATATGTTGCTTGGCAGATCTATGTTGGTTTACCCCAGAGTTGAACATCGGGATTCGCTGGTGAAAAAAATGGAGGTGGAAATAAATTGGGCGCCCAAAAGTGTGATTGTTGTTCAATGTACCAAGCCAAATCAGACACCAATTTGTAGATGATTGAGGGGTATTTCCCACTGGGTCAAAGTGCTTTTGGGTAGTGAACATTCACGTTGATAGAGTCTGATAGCATGCACAAATGGAACCCGCGTTGGGCATTTTGGTGAAGGTTCATAAAGGTGGGTAGATGATTGCAAGTGATACAAGCTATTACAAGGAATTTGGGTGTCGAAACGGGAACGGCATTACATCCCAAGGTATTTTCCCGGCCCAGCCCAACAGTCGTTTTCCAAAATTTTGCTGGCGCTGTCCTCGATCATCCTATTAATGTAAGCGTCTTTGGTTCTTCACGCGGTCTGACGGTCATCCCGATAATGAATGATATCCAATGATACAATATAAATAAATAAATAAATAAAGAAATAAATAAATACATAGAGAAACATATATATATATATAAATGGATAAACAAGAATCATCCCAAACACTAGTTCTTGGTTCTTGACTATTGAGTGACTCTTGGCTTTCGCGACCCGTGTCACCCGTGTCACATCCACCTTTGGAGGTCGACGGCGGGAGAACTACGAGAGCTTCAAGGAGCGCTGGACGGAAGGCGCCGACGTGCCCAACTTCGTGGAGATTGACCACAGCAACGAGTGCCTTTGAGCGGATGATGTCCTCATGGCGGAAGGGCGGAAGATCATATCCCATATTAGTTTTTTTGTCATTTGAATGGGGAAAAGGATCATGAACCAGCCTGATGATTTGGGATTTACCGTCCAAGACACCACTATTATATCTATTCTATATATGATATATATATATAGATAATATTATATATAATATATAAATGGCAGTTGTGACCAGTTAGACGTTGATTGTTGTTGGTGGATCTTCCCCTTCTTAGTGGTTCTCTCCATGAATTGCATTCCATTGATCCAATTTTCAACAACAATATCTCCATGATGTTTCATCAGCAGTAAAGGACCTTGTCTTAATATCCTCCTATTATACTCATCTGTTGCATCTGTTGCATCTAGCATATTGTAGTTTAATAGATTCCATATGATTCCATACATGATTCACCATAGATTAATCAGATTCCAATGGATCTATTACCCATAGGATATTTTTTTTAAACCATAGCTGTGCACTACCCCTATATCCATTATATCCCCCATGTTAACATCACCCGAGTCCCAGGGCTTCCATCAACAGGGCCCTGACGATGAAGCCTTGGAATCTCATTCTTCACACCGCTGGACCTTTCCAACGGGTCAAGGCGCCCTTGGCTCGGTGGAGCAAAAAAACAAACCTCCTACCCTGGGGATTTAGGAGAAAAATGCGGTTGCACCCCCGGGGAAAAACCATATATATATATATTATATATAATTATATATATATAATTATATATATAATTATATATATAATTATATATATACGACCGACATGAATAATTTCCTGATGTGTCTATACAAAAAAATCTCCTTTTTTTTAGGTAGTAAGATCCATAGTAAACTCCTATACTTGATGGGAAAAACCCTGTGGTTTCTGAAGCGAATAAACTCAGCGAGCTTTGGAGCCTTGAAATTGGACGAGAACGTGCCCTTCTAGCAATGCATTACACTGGATGAATTACAATGACCTCATTGTCACTGGAATGAATGTATATATAATATATATATATATATAATGTGAATCATCCCCAAAATGGCCGCGAGTTTCCAGCTATTTTCAGGCTTCCAGGTATTTTTTTTTAAAATATAATTCAGCCAGTAATTACAGTATCTTCATGACTTGTCCAGAAGTAACATCCTCTTTTCCAGATGCCATCTTTGCCAACGGGAAACCCCCTGACGAACTCAGGAGCCCAGAATCCTCAAGGAAGCGCTACGCTTGAGACTGCCATATGTGGATGTGTGTAACTGAGACAAAATGGATGGTTTGTAATGGAAAATCTCATTCAACTGGATGATTTGGGGGTACCCGGGGTACCCCGTTTTAGGAAACCTCCTTAAATGGTCTGGAATGACTTGGCTGCTTTTTTTCCTCTCTTTGGTGCTGTCTTTGGTCCCCAACTTCCTCTCCTTCTCTTCTTTCTCGCCAGCTGCGGATGCGGTGGAGTGTGCCTCGACCTGAGTGTCATATCGCGAGATCAGGAGGCTGTGGAGTGTGCCTCCAGATGGTATGTCCGAAACTATGTCAGAATGGTGTTTGTATCACTGTGCGTGAGGGTGATCGTGAGCGTGTATGCAGCATTGCAGCTGCTGTTGCTGGTTCCGTTGTTGATGCATTACGATCACGATGATGGTGATGATGATGATGACGACGACGACGACGACGATGGTGACGATGGTGATGATGATGACGATGGTGATGATGATGGTGATGATGATGATCATGACGACCCGGGACCCGCATTATTGCTAATGATTAAGGATATCAATCTCAAAGAATATTATTGATGTGGTTTTAGATTCAAAAAAAGGTTTCCTGGCACGCGCGCGCGCAGTGTCTTGGTGAATTCTGCTGGTGATGAGAGTTCAGCGGCGTGATGTGTAGTGAGTGCTTTTCATAGGGTGTCTGCCACAGAAGTCAGGTGCCTTTTGCGGCCGGAAACCATTACAACTATTAACTAAATTAGTGTACCTACAAGTCATGTGATATTGATGTTGCTATTGTTGCACTTGTTATATCTTGTTATTGTTATCGTCAATTCCTGCAATTATATAATAATCAGTACTATCAGCACCACTGTCATATATCGCTATATTACCAGTATCAAGCTATTACCACCAATGTTCCTGCATTGCTATCATACTACTACGAATATTCCTGTCATCAATCATCGAACTATATATTGTTATTGATGTTACATAAATTGAAATAGTTGTAGAGTAATGATCATCATATCCCATGGCTTGGAGGTTTCCAAGCCATGGGCGTACCAAATCATACAAGTCATGGTGACGTCGGGGAGCCCGCAGTTCAAGACACCTTCATGTTCTTGGGTTGTCAATCATTAAACTATATATTTGGAAATAAGTACTGTATTAGTTATATAAACAGCTACTATAATAGTAGATGGAATAGTTGTAGACACATAGTAGTATGCCAATTTGTATACCTGTGGAATAATTGGATATAACCTCCACTTTGAATTTCCGGTTTTTCTTTGGTAAATCCCATATTGTTGCTCTTATCATTAAGCTGCCATATATTAACAATTAGTAATAAAAACAACTACTATAATAGTAGATGTAATAGCTATACACACACATCGATCATCGTACTATGCCAAATTGGGATATAATATCCAGTTTGTATTTTCCTATGGTAAATCCCCCATGTTTTGTTGCTATTATCATTAAGCTGCTATATGCTCTTTTAGTACATAGTATAAACAGCTACTACAATCGTTGCTTGGTTGGTTCAAAGTCCGAAGGAGCCAAAACGGGGGACCCTTACCTCGGTGCCCAAACAGCTAAGAATAGTAGTTATACCAGTATTAAACCTATAGTCATGAAACTTTGTATACTATAATAGTTATACCGTTATAGTATGTTATAGTTAAAATAGGCATAAACCAGGAGTTATACCAGATTATACCAGTATAATAGTAGTATACCAGTTATGATCGCCAATTTTCTTACTATCATGAAACTGCTGCAGTTGAGGCGATGACACCGACCTCTGCAAAGTGGCCAAATGCCTGGCTGAGTCAGCGGCTTCCGATGGAGTGCCAGCAGTGGTCTCTGCTGGGATCTGGCCGGGGGTTCCGTGTCGAAAGGGGCGTGGGAACCATGTTGGATTTACCAACATGGGGCGAAATTTTGGAGATAGGAGATTTAGAATGTGATTGATGTTAGCAAAATTGGTTTATTTCACTAACATCACGATTGGATGATAAATGCCGTGCAAATAGCATGTTTTTTTGATGTACAGTTCATGGGAATGATTGACCAACAACATGAATTTGGTGGGCACCTTGTTTTTTGTTGCGAGGGTTGACCAGTTGAGGGAAAATCAACATGCACTTTTCGCGAGTCAATTTCGTATCAATTTGAGGGTGAAACTTTAGATCAATTTCAATTACATTGTGTAATTGTATGTAGCCTTCATTTCATGATGAATTTTTGATGATTTTAAAGGCGCGGTCCCTTTTTTCGGAGAAACCTGGACTTCAAAGCCTGGTGTTTTTTTTGGGATGTGGTTGTTGGAAGACCAATCAGGCCCGTCCCACCTTGGGCGATGCATTGAGCCGTGTCCCAGCTTGTTTGAAACCATGGTGATGGCAAATGGCCAATCAACTGGGATTTATCATGATTTATCATGATTTATCATGATTTATTTATCACGTTCCATATTTTTATCCCATTTCAAACGGTCGCAAACGTACACTTTCGCAGCTACACTTACGGGGATGGTCATTTGCAGAAGGACCCAATGGATCCAAATGAGTGTTCCCAAAGATGGATAAAGATGGGACAAACAATCTTCATGACTCATCATGATAGGGGGACCATGCGCAATCATGCCCCCATTGTCACTCTCCGAAATGTGCTTGGGCATTACAGTCAAATGGTTCATTGAGGGAATAACAACATTGGTTCCAGTTGGTCTAGTAGTCAGTTTTTCGCCATCCTAACAAAATGATACACAATGAAAACTAACAACAGTTTTATCATCAAGATGTTAGTTTGTCGGTTTGATTATTATTCCACTTAGGTCTATGTTCGTATTTTGTTGTTCGCCAGGAATAGAACTAGGCCAATGGTTTTGAACCGCAAGATCCCAAGCTGCAAGTGGGCATGGGTATGGAATTTTAGACTTTAGGGATCTAGGCACCACATGTTTCAGATGATGCTTTGATGTTTGCGTTATTTCATATTCACCATTCTTTCATCACCCCATTTTTTGGTGTCCCCTAAAAATTTGGCGCATTCCCAACGACAGCCCGGATCATAATAGATGACCCACCACAACTCCCAGGTTTCAGCACTCATGGCTTGCGAAGCCCATGAACGTCTTGGTGACATCGAGGAGTGTTGGGTGATGTTGGGTGTCATTTGATGGAAGGTGCCGGTGACTTGGAAACTGCTTCCAGTGGTTGATGCTTAATTTCTTTGATGCCTGGGGCCCCGGGGCTAGCGGACTGGGTCGATGAAATTGGACTTTCGTAGGTAACCTAGTATAGGCCCACAATTGATTTCCCGTTTCATTGGATTAGGACTATTTCGTTTTGTGGTGATTGATGGGCTGACCAGTGCATTGTTCATTTGTTTTCGCAGCTAGCACTGGCATGAGTTGAAATCAACCAGTAGTCTTTGCTCAAATCAGCTGGGGATGGAAATCTGACACATGGAAGGGATTAAACGACAGGAACATACAGCATTTTTTCCCGAAAGTACCTGAGGTTTGCCATCCATACTATCTGAGCTCACCGTGATTTATTTAAATTTGGTGAACTGGGGTTTGGCCACCGATAGGATCTGACCATGTCCTTCTACACCTCTGGAACCGGCGGTGCTGGACCAACCATCGTTGCTCAGCGTCACTGATTGGGGTTACAAGTCTGTAGCTTGGTCGGAATTGATGGTCATTTTCTGGTTTTTCTTTCCGTGAGCCACCACAACAACTCCGGCAATCGGAAACATGTTTCTGGGACGGTTACCTGGTTTTTCAGAAATTGGGACCTTGCCTGACCTCGCGATACCTCGCATCTTTGAAGGTTATGTCATAGCGTCAGACTGCACATGTTAATAACTGCTTGGTGGTGACTGGAACATGGCTTAAAACAAAATCCATGGGGAATGCCATGATCCCAATTGACGAACTCATATTTTTCAGAGGGGTAGGTCAACCACCAACCAGATAACTTTACTTTAAGCATCTTTAAGCTATACTACCGCCAAATTTGCCATACATCATTTTTGTACAAATGCGTGGTAAGCGATGGGAGCTTCCCGTATTACCCTCTGGTAATCAAGCATGGCAATGGAGAATCTCCCATTTATAAATAGATGATTTTCCCATTTAAACCTCCATTTAGTGAGCCAGAAACGTTTGATTTACCGTAGGGTAGACCCCCAAAACGGATGGTTCTCTACTTAAAATTACCAATTCTGTGGGTTTGTGGCGATCACATCTTCGAGCCATAGCTGGAGCCTGGTGGGTCTGTTTGGAGACCGAGATTCGGCTGGAGTGAACATCCTTTTTCGGTGATTAAGATGGGCGCTTATAAGCGCCCCCATTTTGGTGATGTTAAAGAGGACACATACAAAAACTGGTTGGTGGTGACTGGAACATGGCGCCATTATGTTTCCATACATTGGGAATGTCATCATCCCAACTGACGAACCCATATTTTTCAGAGGGGTAGGTCAACCACCAACCAGAAAAGGATGCATTTTTACATTGCAACTTCCAAACAGAGAGATTTGTTGGACTGGAATTGATGGAGGAAACATCATCCTGGCCTAAACATCCTGGCCACATCAATCGGCACTGAGGTCAGTGCCACATTTTTGCTTCTGGCAGAGCCTCCTTTGAATTACAAGGTACGGGGATATGGTCCTGGTTTTTCACCGGGGATTTCTAGTCATTAAGAGGATCATCATGGGATCATCTTCATCACATAGTGCCCATTTTGAACATTTGGGCAGAGATCAAAATGTTTGGTTCCACAAAATTGGTTGGATAGTAGTGCAAGGTGCCAATTTGGTGTTCATTGCCTAGCAATTCATTTTTTCAGAAACCCAAATTGTTCAAAATGCTTAGACGTGGTTTGCCAAAGTCTTAGGTAGTGAGCGCTTTTACCACAGGGAGTTGCAGGACCCATGACGAGAGTTTTATCCTTTGAGACGCGCGAACGACAGGTTTCCTAAACGAAGCACCATTAAGGTTGGTTTACAGATGTACAGTTATGCGGTAAGCCCAACAACAAAGACATACATACTATTTGGGTATGAATTGAGTCGCAGCTATGTATTTTGTCATTTTGGTATGGTCTGTTCTTGGACTTTCCACATTACTAATGATCAGGAGCAACTCAAGTGCATCAACTGCCTCAACGGGCCAGGATGGCCATGCGGTGCGCGCTGAAGCCTGGGGAAATCGACGCAAGGTGTGGATTGGGTTTCCCGGGTGGGGATGCAACTGGCCCACACATCAAATGTCATAGTTTTCCATCGGGCAAGTTTGGATAGATTTGGGGTGTAGTCTATGTTTATGAATGTTTGGACAGCAACCAACTCTTTCAACTCTTTTAGAGCTCCAGACATCGCGTTGTTTCTGTGGGGTTCCAGATGGTTCTATGAGTTCTATATGGGTTTGTCTGAACATAATGTACCCCCCATCCGCAAATTGGAAAACATCTCATGTTCCCCATCAAAATAGATCCATTTCGGAGAGATATACCCCATTTCGAGATCATGCGCCCGATGCGAATTTTCAGAGGAATTCCCCAATTCCCAAGGTCCAGTAGGATCCAAGGAAAGGGGAGCTCAGGTGGACTTTGGGGCTGGGGTTGGAGAGCAGCCGGTGCATTTGCTAGATGAGCCGGAGGCAGGAGATGGATGGGAGATAGGCCAGTTATCGATTCTGTGGAAGTATATAATATGATTAATATGTATATAATGATATATCTAATATCCAAATATATCCAGTATATATATATAGTATCTATATATTATCTATATATCTATGTATATTTTTATGTGCACGTTTATATGTATAAAACATATTAATTTAAATATAAATAAGTATACAGTACGTATAAAATACACATATTTATGACTGGTAATGGTCCTGTGTTTGCTGACAAGAGTGTAGACCCAATGAACAACCCATCATGTCCCATTGTGATATTGATCAACTCCTGATGGGACTTGGGCTTCGGTGCAGGTCTATACCTGCCACGAGCACCTTCAAATTCCCAACGCCTTTTGGCATGAAACTTGGGGCAGTTTGGATGCCAGTGTTGCCTCTAGACGTTGATTTTTAATTACTGACGCCTAGTGTTCCCTTTGCAGGAGTGAATCGTGACTCTGAAAACTAAGGCAGCCCCGGTGGTATCGATCAAGCCACTCTTTGATGTTGAGCTGAGACACATTTTTTTCAGCGCGTATATAGTTTTACATCGGAGTTCTTTGTAAACAGCGTAAGAACTACTGCGTCATGGCAGCTTTTGGAATCGATATGTCTTGAACTTGGCATAGTCCCTGAATTTTCCATTAAATCGACCATGTTATTTTAGTGGATCTCTCAGGAACAAGTGGCTTCCCCATTTGAAGCAGCCACTTGGGAGCATGACTAGAGCAGCTAGAGCCAGTGGCTGCCACAGTCTTGAGGGTCATCCATTCACACCGCGGACCTCGTGTTTCTCACAACATATCCCCTTCGTTAAGATGCTGTCATACTGTTCAATTTCTGCTTGACCCCTGGGCTCACCCACCATGCTCCACCTTGCTTAGTTCACCACTTCATATCATCCACGTTTCTCCATGGTCCATGCTGGTCTATCTCAGAGCTGCTGAACCCACAAAGCAGGGACTGGGGCGATCACCACGGTAGTATATTCCCATTTGATTGCCATATTACTCTGGTAATTAACCACTTTCTAAGTTGCTTTATAACATTTTATAACTCACATTAGGGAGTTCGACATATCTACCATAAATATCCATGAATCCGAATGTGACACGTTTGTGAAAGAAACCAACTTAACCAACTAAATCCCATGAAAATCCATCAAATCCTATTCAAATCCATTAAATCCCATTAAAGTCCAACCAAATTCACAAAAAAGAATCCAGTCAATTTCCCAGAAACTCAATGAATTACCATTTTTGCCGCAACATTTGGCTAGATCCTCCCCAAACCCCCAAACAGCCGGATCCCAAGGTCTCGAGCAGCTTCGGCACCGCGCCGGACATCTGGAACTGGATGTTTGCCGCCTGTGCCAAGGCCCTCCCTGCGGAGATCCTGGCGTGGCTGGGACAGGATTTTTCGGGAAATGGGGGAACTATTAGTGGTTAATGTGGGTTAATGATGGTTAATAGTGGTTAATAGTGGGTAATAGTGGTTAATAGTGGTTAATCATCACCATTAACCAAAAAATAGTGAGTTCATGTGGCTAAAACAATGCCATAAACGCACCATCCCCCAGTAAAAGTACCATTTTTTATAGGTGGGATGGTTAACATTCCCAGTCATGGGTGGTTTATGATATTGTTTTACCCACATTAGTAAAAATACCGTGATTGATGAGTTATCATAGGGACTTAAAGCATCTTGAAACTATGGAGGGTACCCCCAAATATCCCAAAATTATTTAACCTAAACACTTATTAAAGGTTTCTGTGAAGCACTTAAAACACGTTTTTTTCTGTGAGTCAGCGTTTTGTTTAGTAGGAAGATGCGCTTTTACACAGCGTAAACCAGGGTTTGAATTTAAACCGAAGCAGCGTGTGAACCAAGGTTTTTGGAAAAGGCCAAACATAGAAAGGTTGCGCGTGTAAATGGTGTTTGCACAAAAGCAAGTGGATTGACAGGCCACCTGTGTGAGGTATAGGAACGTAGAAGGTGTAAGAATGACAGAGCAAACCGATCGCGAGCACCACAGTGGAAATGGGAGCAGAAAAAAGAACATGCGCATGTTGCGCGAGGCGTGGTCAGAGTCGAACCCAGCGCATTGCAACGAAAGACGCAGAGGAAAAACACGAAGAGGAGACACAAAACGTGGGTTTTGCGTAAACCGGGGTTTGAGTTGAAACCGAATCATGTCTGTAAACAAAGGTTGAAACAAAAGATGAAAAGCGTGACGCGGATGATGAAGGGGGAGAGGGGAGGGGGGGGGAGTTAGACGAGGCAAAAATCCGCGCCAAGGGGAAAGTCTAGACAAAGACCAAAGACAAAACAAACAGTACAACTACGAACAAGCAAGATCCACAAGACACGCCGGCAGGCCGGCGGATTCAATGGTCTAATAGCATCCATACCTAATATATTTTCCCCAATTAGTGTAGAAGTAATTGGGGAAATATATGAGCTATGGATAGCTATGGTTCTTATTTTACCCTATAGGGACTTTTCTCGGTGACTATTTTTGTTGGGAAAATGGGGAAACTAATTATAGGGACTATTTTTGGGGGAACATAGCCATTAAAAAGACCCTGGCTGTTGGGGGTTATTATGGTGACTTATGCTAGCTAATATATTGAGGATGATGATAATCCATAGTACTGAAACCGATCAACCAACTAGTATATATAATGAGATGGGATAGGGGTATTTTAAATGAGGGTTTGTATATTCATTTTCAGGATTCCTATTTTACGGATGGGCCGTAGACCATACACTGTGTTTTGACCCTAACACAATTTTGAGCACATGGGAAAATGCCATGGATGGGAGAGATTTTTCTTTAGGGATATCATTGATATCTGATGTTCGTAGATGATTTTTGATTGCCAAATTTGAGGACTGGAGGTTAGGGGAGGGGGACCGCACTCCTGAGGATCCCGAGAATGGAGATGCCATGAAAAGTGAACTTGGAATCTATGGGAAACCCGCAATTTTAACAGTCGGTGTCTGTAAATGCAAACAAGGCAATTTTAACAGTCTGGTTTGCCGAGGAATCGGTCGCTGATGCAGAATGCCAGATGGCCCAGTGAAGTGGAAAGGGACTGTCAGCCGAAACCGGCCATGGCTTTGAGAGCTTTTGGTTATAGTACAGCGGCATGTATTGTCCTGAAGAAATTTATTTATGGCACTTATATATATATTAAAGGGGACGGACATCCATCTGTCAGTAGGGATTGTAGAATGACCATTTCTCAATATTTTAGATCCCACGAAATCAAATGACATGGTCACTGGGTTGTGGATGAAGTCCCCATCATTGTTGACACTATGTCCATAATTGTTGGTTCAATTCGATTTCTTCAATTGCATTTTCTTGGCTTAGGATTAAGCATTAAACCGTTTAAACATCAGCCATTTTAAACACCTTTGAAGCTCGGGTCCATATGTTTAAACAGTTTGGACATGGCAATGAAGCAGTCGGATCTTGTGACATTGCTTTGACGTTTAAACATGTTGTCCGCAAACTTAACGTTCGCCCAGACTCATCATTGTGACATAACAGAGACAATTCTGTGTTGATGGGAAGTTGCGAATCCAAGCAAGGCCAAGGGGGAAAATTAGGCCACGGTGGCATGTGAAAGATACCTTGAATACAGTTATCTTCATGATCAAAACATATCACCTGACCATCATGAGGGATCAAAAACCGCCACCGCCTATGACCAATATGCTGAACAGGCTAACAACACGCCACCCTCTATGGCCAATGTTGAATCTTGTAATTACATCAACATTATCTTCATGAGGGAACAACGTCCGCCACCCCCTATGACCAATATGCTGAACGGGCTAACAACATCAACTTTATCTTCATGAGGGATCAAAATTTACCACCTCCTCAGGACAATATTTTGGTTGGGGAAATAACATCAACTTTATCATCATGAGGGATCAAAATTAGCCACCCCCTCTGAACAATACGTTGGTTGCGGGACATCAACTCCCGGCAAACGTCCAGGTTGCAGCGAAGATGTTTTAAGGCATCTCTCCCAAACAAATAAACTATTTGAAGGAAGTTTAGAAGTCAAACTTCCGACACTTTGGACAGATGGAAAAGCAGAGGTGGGAAGAGTCAGAGAAGAGAAAAAATCAGTAGAAAGAAGATGCAGGTGCGCGAAAAGGTAGAAAAGTCGCAAAACACTGTTTTACAATGTTTTGTGGCTCCGGAGGGTCGAAAAGTACGCTCGCTAAATTGTACGCCGTTGTGGCACGAAGCACATGTGACGTCAGGAGCACTTCTGGAAGTTCAGATTCAGATGTCGAAAAAGTGCACACCGCTGTGGCGCGAAGCATGTTTCCAAGTCAACATGCGCAAAAAACACCATATTCGGAGCACTTTTGGAAGTTGAAATGTCCAAAATCTACACGTGGTTGCGGCGCGAAGCACATTTCGAAGTCAAAATGTGAAAAACAAATCGGAGCACTTTTGGAAGTTGCGATGCTCAAAAAGTGCACGTCGTTGTGGCGCGAAGCACATTTCGAAGTGAAAATGCGCAAAGCGCCTCAGGCCTCAGGGCACTTTTCAAAGTTCAGATGTCGAAAAAGTGCACGCCGTTTTGGCACGAAGCACACTCGCAGGTCAAAAGTGTTAAAAACTGGCGGTCTCGGAGCACTTTTTGAAGTTAAGATGTCGAAAAAGTGCACGCTATTGCGGCGCGAAGCACATGCCGAAATCAAAATATGAAAAGCACACCACGTTCGGACCACTTTCGGACGTTCAACCGCACCTTCGAGACACCCAGCCTCGGTTAACTGAGATCTAAGGCGAGACTGGGACATACTGGGACTGGTAAGACCAGATTACATCAGATTACTTGGTTTGGCTATGAAACGCAAATATATATATATATATGTATATATTTATTCCCCACCTGCCAGGTGAGGGTTGTTAGATGTTATCACAGCTGTTCCGGCTCCTCCTCCTTCTCCACCTCCTCCTCGTCCTCCTCCTTCTCCTCCACCACCTGTGCCTCCGCTTCCACGCCCACTTCCGCCTTGCCAACTCTTCGCCAATCTCTTCGCCAACTTCCGCGCGCAGTGGGCACTGCTGGACCTCAACTGCCGGCTTCCGATCTGAGTGGGCACGGCTGGGCCTCAACTGCAAGGTTCTGAGCGCAGTGGGCACCGCTGGACCTCAACCAGGGACCTTCCGAGCGCAGTGGGCACCGCTGGACCTCAACCTGGGACCTTCCGAGCTCAGTGGGCACCGCTGGACCTCAGCGGCCAGATGGAGTGCCAGAATATATGCCAGAAAGACTGCCAGAATATATGCCAGATAGACTGCCAGAATATATGCCACATAGAATGCCAAAATATATACTGTACAGGACAAAATGCTAGAAGATATGCCAGATAGAATATCAGAATAGATGTCAGATAGAATGTTAGGTAAAATGTAAAAATATATGTCAGAATATATGATTTGTAATGCCAGGGCGGGGACCACTCGAAGTAAAGTATTTTTTTAGATTAATTACTATATACATATACATCTTGTGTACGGGGGATATCAATTATCACCACTTCATTCCTGACAATTGCAATGGGCCCGGGCCGGACACAGAACCGTTGGTCGGTAATGGTGAACCCTGCGGGTTTGGGCTATGGCATCTATGGCTACACCGATCTTGAGCAACACCTATAATCACCTATATATATATATGTTGGTGGTTTAGAACATGTTTTATTTTTCCATGTATTGGGAATAATCATCCCAACTGACGAACTCATATTTTTCAGAGGGGTAGGTCAACCACCAACCAGATAATATATAATACAATGTCCAATAAGACTATACGAGATGTTTCAGCAGCAGAATCTGAGCTTTGCTGTCACCCGAACTCTGGCTATTGGACCGACCGTCATGCTTTGGCTCGTGCGCGGCCGGTAGTTCCAGATAGTTCCAGAGCATTTTGAGGAGAAAGAAGCGAGACAAGCGTGCCACGGCTGGGCCTGACCTCTGGTCATGGTGAGTGCCCCTTCATGGGATCGTCGGATAGTCCTTTAGTCCTTTGGGATGCCAGTGCTACCGTGCTCCCAGCCATAGAATCAACACAAAATTATCTGAAACTGCTCGACAAATGATACGATTGCGAGTTTCCTTGGGCCTCTCTATCTCTCTCCCTGTCCAAAACCGCATAATGTTCACATCCATTTGCGAAAAATGAAAACCAAAGTGCCCAACTCCAACTCACAACATGTTTGTCAGTTTCTCGACTCTACAGCAAATTATTCCAGAAAGCATTCTTGTTTACTGACAATTGGTCACTTGCTGAGAGTCATTCGTTTCAGGATGCGATGGCATTTTCAGATGGTGAGTGTTTCAAATAGCTATGGGCACCAATGGGCCCACAGATTTCATTATTTTTAGATTCTTGTCTATTCTTGTAAATATTCACACCCCAAACATCCTTCGATCCTTCATCTTTGATCATGTTTAGTGTACAACTATCCGCTTTTTGTGGCAATCAATTCATGTCGAGCCATTCCCAAGGTAATTCTTGATGTCCGAAGCTAGTCGTTCAGTGGTGGATCCGGACCGAAGCGAATCAACTTCATCAGCTTCTACATTCACAGGCGAGGGGTGAGAGATATGTAATGATGCAAACATGGGAAGTACCCTTCAGCAATCAAACATGGTAATTGGAATCCCCTAAAAATGAAGGTTTTTATAGGAACATCAAGGAACTAAATGGTGGATTTGTTATCGGAGGGTATCAGAGACTCTTAGGTGGTCGTAAGCATTTGACTTTCGATCCTCGCTGCGGTGATCATCACTACTTATATTTTACTTCTTTTGTGGGTGATGACTCTGGGGGTTACCCATAGGTTTCCATGATCATGTGGATTCCTTACCAAATAATCAGAGGTCACAAAGATTTTTGGCACCTGCAAGTTAGTCTGCTTTTTTGGGTATGGAAATTTGGTCAAAACGTCAAAAGCATGGATCCTCAGTATCTCTATTACACCAATGGCTACGTCCACCTCAATTTTTGGGATGATTCTCCCCCAGTGATTCATTTATTACGAATGGCTTGGCTTGACAAGTCAGTGGGCCCGGCTGTAGGAAGTTTCCGGCAGAAACCTCACCAGAAGATTTATGATGACAAGATATGACAAGTACTGCAACGGGAAAGCCACAAAATCATGATTCGCAAGAGACATTGGGCATAAAAGAACTGAATTCATAATACCTGAAATCATTGATGAATTTGGATCCTAGATTCAGGTTAATGAAACATCATAATTCAGCAAGATTGGATATTGCTCGCTGTCAGTCCTGGAGGATGGGTCCTACGTGTGAACGAGAGTCTTCGGGATCTCTCATCCGAGAGGGAATCCATGCAGTCGTCGGGGCAGTCTGGACACTCTGGATCAGATGAGGAGAAGAAACCTGTGATTCAGGAGGACCTTCCAGATTCAACCCCTCAGGAGGTTGCTGATCAAGATTATCATCAAGATGTTGAAGATCACAAAGATTTTCCGTGCCTCTTCCATTCGTACCTCACCAGATGTGCTAAGGGCCAGTTCTGCAATTTCTCTCACTCCATCCATGCGGATCAGGTGAGAGTTCCGTCCGCGAAGACGCGCCGTGGCACGGCACGCAAGCGCATCCAGAGACGCCTGGAGCAGCATTTCAATGCAGCAAATCTCTATCAAGTGCACGAGCATCTTCAGAAGGAGGCACAGCGGGACCATTATGCCCGAGAGCTGATCAGCATCTGGGAGCTAACTTCAGGGAGGAATGGAATGGGACCATTGGAGCCATTGGACATGATGGACATGGACATCGGAAGACATCCACATCCCAGCATTTCAAATATGTTCAAATATTTGAATATGTTGTATCCTGATTAATTAGTTTCTAGGTTCGCTATTGTGCCAAAAACAAATCCAAATTATTCTGAACCCATGCATTGTTTGGTAGGTTCGCTATTGTGGCAAGAAATTTTGGGAGACCATATTTTTGTCCAACAAATGTTCGTTTAAAAACATCTGAACACTCTTTCTGGAAAAAATCTTGCTTGTCTCCCTGTCCCAAAGGAATTAGACCGCCTATTAAGCTCTTAATTAAAGAACAGTTTTTCCACAAATTTCGAAGGCACTGGGCCATGAGAGAGTCCAATTTACTTTAGTAGGTTTGATCTCAGGGTTCACAATTGCAGCAAACTTTTTCAGAGCTGATCCTGGAGCCAAGAGAAGAAAGAAACGCCTTTTACAAAAGCACCCTTTTCTTTCTCTTCTCTTTCTCTTTCTCTTTTCCTTCTCTTTCTTTTTCTTTTTCTTTTCCTCTCTCTCTCTCTCTGTCTCTGTTCCTCTTAATCTTCCTCTTAATCTTCCTCTTCCTCTTCTTTTTCCTCTTCCTCTCTCTCTCTCTCTTTCTCTCGTTCCCTTGCTCTTTTTCTTTCTCTTCCTCTTACTACTTTTTCGTTAAAACAAAACTTATGGTGGAAAAAGTAACGCAATCAACATGCTGAACCCCACTCACTAAAAGTACTACAAGTACTACAAATATCAAAAGTTCATCAACCAAAAAAACGTTTTATATAATGTGATTTCAATTTTAGCCACTTGAAATCCTTGAGTGCGGTTCTTTTTTCTGGGTAACAACTTTTTGGCACCCAACTTTAAAGAGGGTATAGCTATGGTTTTGGGGAGGGGGGGACACACAAATCAGGACGACACATTAAATTGTTTCGATCTTTCTGTTGAGTGTACTGCAATATGATGCAACAATATGCAACAACTATACCCTCTCTTAAAGAAATATGGCATGCTGGAAGTTTTCCCGTGTACATGTAATGATTCTGTTTCCAACTTCCATGTTGCGATCCAAAATCGGTTTGTTGTCTCCGTTATATCCGTTTAAGTTTTGTTGGGCAAATTTCAATTTGTCTTTAACCAATCTGGTTGGTGGTTTGGAACAGCCACGGGCTCAACACCTCCCAGCGGGTGTGGCTGGGCTGGCAAAGCGTTGAGCGCTCTGTTCCCCAGGTCTAGCCATGGATCCGTTCATGGATATCGGTGCCACTGACAGTGGTGGGTTTGTCTCCGTGGTGGTGGATGTCGAGGTGTTGGATCCTCTCTATGAGAGGCACCTGGTGCGGATCCTTCCCTCAGGTGCGCATGCTTATGTGCGTGGCCTGGTGGAAGGGACGTCTGCTCGACTGACGCTGATTGAAGCCGTGGTGGTCAAACAGTTCCCGATCCCTGAGATTGAAATTGGACCGAATACGGAGGTGATGTACCATACTCGTCACTCTTGGGCTGATTTCTTCAAGCTTGTGGATGCATGCTCTGAGATTGGAGTTGTCTCGCATGGAGCTTTGTCTGTTGGTCTGCACACACTGATGTCGGTGGATAGCCATGGGAGGATGTCCAATTTGCATAAGGTTCCTTCAAGTAGTGAGACGGTGACTGGAGATGATGGTCATTCCCAGGTCATTCATGAGTTGTGGCGCCAGTCTGAGCATGCAGCCATGGTGTGTGATGGATATGCGTGCCAGCCATACTCCCAGCTTGGTGATAGACGGGGAGCCATGGATCCTCGTGCACAGTGCCTGCAGAGTGTCTGTCGAGCTGCATTGTTGTTCCAGGTTTGTGGTGTGGTGCTTGCATGGGTTACTCCTGCACGTTGTGATCACTTTGTGGCTCAACACCTGGAACGGTTTGCTCAGATTGGTGGTTTCTGCATTGAGGCAGTCAACATTGATCTGCAGACTGTGTGGACATGCTGCAGACACAGAGCGTGGTGGGTGTTGGATGACTCCTGCTTGGACAAAATTGGCTTAGCTGAATGGTTGCCTATGGGTGGATGGCCGAGGACTCAATGGCTCCTCCCTTACACTTGTAGGTGGGACCCCAGCGATGAGCCTGCTCTTCAGCGGGACCAACGTGAATGCCAGGCGTTTGGAGTGGAGGATGGCACATATCCCAAGCACATGATGACAGCCAATGGTATTGGCCCCACTGCTTTGCATGAGGGGAAGTTCCAGGATTACAGTGCACACCAGACCCAACAGGTGTCGAACTTACAATCTCGGATCCAGACACAGTCCCAGCAGTTACATGGCCGGATTGAATCCCAGAACCAGAGTAACCAGGCCATGTTTGAAAACCAGCTGTCGCATATCCGTGGTCTTTTGTCCAAACGGCCACGCGGGGTTGGTGAGTGATGGTATGGGCAGGGGTCCAACGCACCCAAGTGCACGTGTGTCGTGCGATGCTTTGGCAGCTTGTTGGTCGGGACCCTGATGCCCGTTTTACAGTTTTGTTTCATGGGGTATGCAGCCACAGTGAAGCATGTGCGAGCATCGTGCCCAAAGCCAGGGCCTAGGGTGGTGCTGTTGCTTGTTTTCAGTGTGTTTCGGGTTGGGCCTCTCGCCCTGGCCCTGCTGCTGATGATGACACATTTGTTTTGGGGATTGCCAACCCACATGGGTTGCGTGGTAAAGCTCCTTTCCGTTGCCAGACTAAGGAGAGGGACTGGTTACCGGTGCCGCAATAGGTAGGTGTACACAGCCAAGGCGCTGGTTTCGACGACTAAACCAGCGTGCAGAGCAAAGAGGTACAAAGTGGTGGTTTGGAACATTTTTTCCCATATATTGGGAATAGTAATCCCAACTGACCAATATTTTTTCAGAGGGGTCGAAACCACCAACCGGTGCATAGGTTTGTTGGTCAGATTCCTATGGTGTGATCTGTTTGATCACCAGACGACTCTTCGCAGGAAAGCATTTGACTGCGATAGCGACTTCCCCCACAGAGCAACTTCGGTTGGTAGGCAACGGCAACTAATCAATGTCGGCCGCAAAGGTTGCTAGTTACGCTCGTTCCTGCCGCATGGCTACGGGCTACGGGTCGAAATTATGATGAATATGATCCCACCAAAGGAACGGTATCATACTAAAAGTTGATCAGTATTTTGTGGGTCATTGGAGATCTAATTCTGACCCTTGCCACAATGATGGCCTATCAACGGCCAATGGCGGGTGGTTAAGTAGAACCAAAGTTCGACATGCATCAACACATGAGTACCCAGGGATCCCAGGGTAAACTACCAATAAGCCAATAACTTACATAGATTTTGAAAATTGCACATTTATGGGTGGATGATCTTTCAAAATGGCGATTTCCACATCTATGTTAGTTTGCCCCGGGGTGTATATATGTAATTATATATAATTATATATAATTACATATATATATATATGCATGTGTAGAGTTGTTTATGTACACATGTTATATAGTGATTTACAAAGAATTTCATCCCAGTCTTTCAAACATATTGTAATATGATGCAATCTATTGGTTTTCGCGTATCTGTCCTGAGATGTTGACTGACAGATATGGATCAAAACTGGGTTTACTGGGTACAAAGTCGAACAAAGAGAGAGAGAGAGAGAGAGTCGTCACCACCCAGCCACCCAGTCACGTAATTCGCAACCTAAAAAGATATCAGAATTCATCAACCTGTGTCTGCCATAGTCGGGACTGATCAGCACTCTCAATGCGCAGAGAGGACTGGTGCCACTTCTTCTGTGGTTGGAAGAAGTGCCTACGAACCACTGCCAATTGCACTTCTAGTAAGTGTATATTTATGTATTATATATAAATAATTATAAATGTTATAGTAAAACACAATAATATTCAGTATATATATATTATGATGTTACATAATTCAATATAATTGAATATAATTTAATATAATATAACTTAATTTTATATAACATAATATAACTAAATATAATATATATATATATATATTGATATATTTATTCTTCATGTATATAATGTAATATATTATCTATATAATAGCTGCATATGTTAATAAATAAATAAATATATATATATATATATACATACTTGAGTTTGCAGAATCATGGATGTTTGCTGGCTAGCTGGATAGCATTGGCAATTACTAGAGAACCGTCCAACAGCACTGACGGGCAGCATCTTTGGAGAAGTGTCAATTTTCAATAGATGAATCAGCCTTATAACTGTGACATGTTTAAGTTCCATGCTCAAGGCCTTACGCGATCGTGTGGATTATAGGTGACGGCCCCAAGCAACTACAAACTGGATGTTGCTGAAAGACAAACCATGCTGGACCCAATTTAGGTGCCGAACTGCCTCATGTGCGGTAAACATTTGAATCACAGATGTCCTTTCCCCACCAATAGAGGGGTTAGTTTTCATTTTGAGGAACAACTGGCTATATAGGAGAACCACCGCCACAAAGTTCGTGCTTTCTTGGCGGAGTCATCAACGGTGGCGCAATTCAAGCTTTAGGATTCCTCCAATCTTGAGTCAAACATTTGGCGTAGTGGAACATGGGAGGAAACCCATCGATTTGATTGAGTTTATAAATCGATGTAACTTGCGTATGTTTAAACAACAAACTTTTTGTTTTTGCCGCAACCAACTTCCACAATTCTGTATATTCTGGTGCTCCGGTAGGTTCACTTCTTCCAGTCCCCTCGTTCCCTGCAAAGCACAGTCTGTTGCATTGCCGGTGTTGAAGCGAGTGAGCTTTCGTGTGAGCTCAATACCTTATTCTATTATGTTCATGGTCTACTGCCCAGCAATCTGACGGCAGTTGTGATTTTATCGGGTCTTGTTGTGACGCCTGACACGGAGCCTTCGCGTCATACCTGAGCTATGTCGCTGGCAGTCAAGCAGCACCTTTAATGTTGCGAAAAGCCTGCAGACATTTGTTCGCCAAGTTGCAAGTGTCCTCAAGATCTTGCAACAGTTTGCAGCTGTGATCAGCTGTCCAGCATCACAGGGGCCTTCCCTCTACTCACTTTCATCAGGAAAGGATTTCACCATCCAAAATCGGGACTTAAACCGAACTTGAGGAATTCACTGGTGATTTCAAAGAATTTCAAAGAAACATCACCAAGCTTCAAGCAGCAAGAGTGTGTATCAGAGGGAAGGCGCTATAGCTGACTGCTGGGGCGCCGTAGAGTTAGAGATGATGTTGATGTTGACACGGAAAGGAGTTCCAGCCTGTGTTGACAATTTCCTGGTGACACTTGGCCAAGGAATCCCCATTTTCATTGGAAACTCCTGGGAACATCACCTCCAAAACATTCTGATCTTCCACTGCCAAGTTGCCAGGGGAATCCATGGAAAAGACACTTTCAGTACAGCTTCAGTCCAGCAGTTCCACTTGTGAAACCACCGCGTACCAAGAGATGTGCAAAAATTAAAGACGGCTGTGTGCCTGAACATGGGGCATTCCCCCCAAAAATGCCCATTGCATCCCATTACGGCACTGTGAATATGTTGATCCACACTAGATTTGGGGCATACATATATACCCTCTGTGGCCAAGGTGTCTCCCCCAAGTAGTTTGAAGATGTTGTCCGCAACCTTAACGTTCGCCCAGACTCATCATTGTGACATAACAGAGACAATTCTGTGTTGCTGGGAAGTTGCGAATCCAAGCAAGGCCAAGGGGGAAAATTAGGTTACGGTGGTATGTGAAAGATACCTTGAATACAGTTATCTTCATGATCAAAACATATCATCTGACCATCATGAGGGATCAAAATCCGCCACCGCCTATGACCAATATGCTGAACAGGCTAACAACACGCCACCCTCTATGGCCAATGTTGAATCTTGTAATTACATCAACATTATCTTCATGAGGGAAAAACATCCGCCACCCCCTATGACCAATATGCTGAACGGGCTAACAACATCAACTTTATCTTCATGAGGGATCAAACATAGCCACCCACTCTGAACAATAAATACGTTGATTGCGGGACATCAACTCCGGGCAAACGTCCAGGTTGCAGCGAACATGTTTAAACATTTGATTAAACATGTTTAAACAAATTCACTAGGATCCACTGCTATCCTGCATTGGTTTAAACGTTTTCGGTTTAAGCATTGTTTGAGCAAAACAAGGTTTACACCGGTTAAACCAACCCAGGAATCTTTTAAAACGGGAGATCCCACAAAATCACATGACATAGTCACTGGGTTGTGGATGAAGTCCCCAATGTTGTTGACACTATACCCATCATTGTTGGTTCAATCCCATTTTTTAAATGGCGTTTTCCTGGCTTAAGCACCATGCATGGATGGGCTGAAGGTTGGGGCGTCATGATGCACAGATTCACTGTTCATTTTCATGGGCCGGTACCATGTTCCATCATGTGTGTATATTTGCATATATTCAATATATGATAGTATAGACGCTATATATACGTACATGTGCATGTGTAGAATCATGTAGAATCTATGTCTGTGCCTCAGCTACTAACATTTACTAACCATATTAAATTCTATTTCAAACATCCCTAACCTCACATTTCGTTGCTATATATATATATATCCCGAATCCCAATATAATTTCTAGCGTCATAATTTCAAACAGCTTGTGGATCCTGATGTCTGTAGGTTATAAACAACATTTTGGTTCCACTATACTTATATCTCAGTTGGATTATTGCTCCTAACCAAGTCAGACTAAGTCTTAGAAATTATTAGGTTTTTCACGCCGCATTTTCTGTTCGAACTCACTAAGATAATCCAACCAAATTGACTAAGACTTAGATATGGCTTCACCCCAGTATCAACTCACTCAGTAGAATTTGGATATTCTTTCTTACATGGTGGTTAAGCCATCAAACGAATCAAACATGTCAACCCTTGAGATTACAATAGAGTTTTTTTTTGGGGTCTTAACACAAAGGCATCCCAGGTAGCTTCAGAAGCCGCAGGTTTTGTTTGACTTCTTGGGAGTTTCACCATCTCTGAGATATTTTCAAAAATCATCCGAGGAAAACACCCAGATTTCATGGGTTTACAACCTTCATTGAAGCAAATAACATCAAATACCCTCTGGTAATTTAACATAGCTATTGAACATGACCATTTATAGTGGATTTTCCCATTAAAAATGGTGATTTTCCAGTTCGCTATGTTAAATTACCAGAGGGTAACATATTAACCAAGTCGACTTTTATGTTCTTTTTAATAGCCATCAGATCGATATTTCTACAGATGAAACAGGTGGCTCAGATGTTCTAAGCATGCTTCAATGGTTCTAAAAGGAACCTAAGATTCCCATATCATTCACCATTCTTACCCTCTGGTAATTTGTTACATAGCGAACTGGAAAATCACCATTTTTAATGGGAAAATCCACTATTTCTATGGTCATTTTCAATAGCTATTTTGTTAAATTACCAGAGGGTAACGATGATTATTGCTGGTAAACCATCATCCCAATGGGTAAACCAAGAAAACTATCGCCATGAAAAAAAAACAATGATAAATGGGGCAAAATTTCACGATTTTTTTCCATGAATTTAGTTGGGTTGTTAAAAATGATTTCACGAAAAATAATCATACTTAACTAAGAGGAAATTTCATGACATATTACAAAGACAAATACAAATTCATACTAAGAATAGTTGGGTTTTCAATGGATTGACCTATCCCAGTTATGTTTGTTGGTTTATACACGCCCATCTAAATATAACTTAACTATTTGCGTATCATACACTATTCTTATTCTAGTTATACACCAACTTAGCGATTCCGAACTGGGGCCCAATCCTGTTATGTTCGTTTACCAGAGGGCATATCCCATTAATAATATTAATATCCCATTGAATCACTATAAAGTCCCATAATAAAAATCGTTATAAATCCCATTTCCTGGCTTTCCTCAGGTGGCTGTCTTCTCGATGCCCATCATCACCGCCGTTGACCGCCTGGTGGGCTCCAAGAACGCCATGCGCATCGACGCCAGGAGCCGCAGCGGCGAAGAGGTGACGTTGCGGGTGACGCACGAAGATTTGGAGGATGGGCTTGGTGAAATCCTGGTGCAATCATGGTTTTATGTGGGGTTAGAAACCATGGACATGTTTCACCATGTAACATTCTAAAATGAAATTTAATTGGTTAAAGCATATGACACATTGATGTTGCATTGATGTAATTTTTCACATTGAGGTTATCAACAATACGACATCAGATTGATGTTACATTGATAAGCAAAAACCATTGATGTCACCAGGTTACCAATACACAACTTGTGGCATTTTTCCATCAATCTATGTAACCAATACAGTGGATGAACATGATCAACCGAATCAACCCCAGCAGCAGTTGGTAACTCAACTGGTAACTAGGAGACATTTTTTCAATACTGGGATAACGAGATAAACTTCAGCTCTCAACTGGAGGATTTCGCAACGATCCACAGTATGTCACAATAATCTTGGTGCAAAGGTGGGATTTTATGTGGGTTGCTGCTGGTATTTTGAGCAAAAGTGTGGAATTAACATGATTTAACTAGCCCAACCATAATCTTGGGGCGAAACTTAAACACACATTATGATTATTAATCATTGTTACTTTTGTTGTTATCATTGTTACTCTGTTTATTTGTTTATTCTTATTGTTGTCTTAGTTTTCAGTATTATTGTTATTATTGTCCATAGTGTTATTATTACCATGTCAATTGCTATATTTTTCCCTGTATCAATGTTATCAGTTTCACTACAGTACAGTTTTATCCCATTGAATGTGGTTCATCTTCAGTAGAACAGATACAGCGGGGCTGCAATAACGTTTGATACATGAGCCCTGCTGAAAGTTCATTAGCCATACATGATGCTAAGCTGCAGGATCTACACTAGAATTTCGATACATACTCGGTGCTACGCTACTCAATATTCGGTAGCATTTGTGCACCAGTGTTTTCTACTAAGTACTGTACTTTTTCCCGGGGAATGTCTAGTGACCCATATGTGAATGCCACGGAAAAGAGATTCGGTCACACGTTGTCATATTCTGTCAGTGAAATGGTGGACCAGCCTGCTTTCTCCAAACCCATTGCCTGACAAAAGCGCCACGGCCATCTATTAGTCACCCCAGTTTGCACCCCATAGCCACATAGATAGATTGCCAGCCACAAAGATAGCTTCAGTTTACTCTTGCCCAGATTTTGACCAAAGTTCTTGCCCTTGCACACGGTGGGTGTTCAGCATCCAGAGGATGGTGGTTTGATCGAAGTCCTCCCAGCATTTTTACATATGATCCTACTATGAGTTTGTCATGGGGTATATCGGTATATCCTCCTTACATGGTTATATTTGGTTATATTTCAGAGGGGGAACCTTTTTTTGTTCATAACCATTGGGTTTTCGGGTCCCCAAATCTCAGACAGACTCATAGCTGGTTGGTGGTGACTGTAACATGGCTTTTATTTTCCATTTCATATATGGGATGTATATATATATACATATGGGATATATATAATAATATATAGTATATGGATACATATGGGATGTCATCCTTCCCATTGACTTTCTCATATTTTTCAAGATGGGCACAGCCAGCACCAGCAGATAGTTTCGAGCCAGCCAGGACTGTGTGGGCTTGGCTACGGCTGCCTTTAGCCTGGAGGTTCTGGAGGGCCATGTCGCGCCGGGTGTGTGGTTTCCCGTGGTCTTTCGGAGCAACGGGGGGCGTGGCCCGAAGAAATCCCCCAGGGTTGTTGGACAGTGCAGAGGAACACCATGGAACACCTTACCCTCTGGTTATGACGAACAGTTCGCCATGGTTTTTCGATGGCCCTATTCGAAATAGATGGTTTACCGTTCTTAAAAATGGGTGGATTTTCCATGGCTATGTTAAATTACCAGATGGTAGATGTTGCAGTGGTGAGTATTATCTTGGGATGAGGAAGCAAGGCAGTGAGAGTTCACCACCCTGATTTTTGAAACATGTTTGAAGCAAAGATCATAGACATGGAAGTGACAGTTCCAGCCCTGATTTGTGCTTTGGAAAATGGTGCGGGGATTTTCACCAACCCTTTCAATTGGTATGCTAGGATTGTTGGAAGATCTTCGATAATTCAGGTTGGGCGGACCTGATGCTCTGCCATCAACACCTCTTTTGACACCCTGTAACAATGATAAACCCCAGTTGAGAAGTTGTTTCAAGATCTGTTAGTTTTCTATCCCCTCCTGTGGGATTTGCCGGATAGTTCAAGGAACGATCCTCTTCAGGGCATCACCCCAAGCGGACTTTAAATCATATTGACACATGGAACGGCCCTGTCTCCGTGATGATCAGAACGGTCCACTAAGTGGAAAACTCCACACATTGGCATTGGGCGAAGATAATGGCATGCTTTTGTGATTTACTTTGTTCCATCAAGGACCTCATGACCCCCTGCCATGGCCATGGCCGAGGAAATGGCTGCGAATCGCGCCAAGATCTTTGAGCGAGTGAAGCATGGTAGTGTCTTTTGGGACATGTAGGCTGCATCGCTGCATCGGGCCACGAGTTGCCCATTGATTGCGAAGAACATTTCGAAGAAAAACATGGCAGCAGCAAGACGAGGACCAGTCAGACCAGTCCCAAAAGCCGTATACACCAACTTTGGTGTGACGGGTGGACATCAAACATGGATATACTGTATGAATATATAAATGGATGTTTGAACTGCTCACGTGCTGCATATATCCATTCCTTCGCAAACTGTTGTGGGCACCAAACAAAAGCCTTGGAATGTCATTGCAGAGGGCTCAATACTATCAACGTACTGTTGCTGAACATCAATCAATGACAGCAATGCCGGCAATACCTGTGAAATGAATTATGTTAGGCATGGATACGTAGGGCAGCGGTCGTGTGTTTTCTTTTACGCTCCGTGGATGTGACCCTTCGTGTAGCTGCAATAGCGACGAAGCACAAGACGAAGAGTTTGAGGATAAGTCTTCTCAAGCATCCACATCACTGCCACTCAGCAGAGTCAAAGCATCAATTGTGGCTGCAAGATTTTGTGTGCCAAGGAATTCCAAAGCGAGACTTCTATGAGTTCAGAACAAGTGTAGGTGAAACTGGTGAAACAAGAGGATTTTCCTGCCATAATTCCGAATGGAATTTGCCAACCATTCAGAGCTATCAGCGCCATGGAGCTGACATTTTTACCAAGGCATTCAGTGGGTGCAAGGGCCATTGGTGGTTTGGGCTTTGGGGTGTAACCACCGTTTGGATAGCGGGGATGGGATGCCGTTTCCTGGAGGATGGATCCAACATCCAATGAATATCCAATGAATGGCTGGTTTATATCAGCTCCAAAGCAGCGTTTGGGTTTACCAAACCTTGGTTCACACCTGAATAGCGTTTGGGGTCTCCTTTTGGTGATGTTGGCACTGGAGATTTGATGACATGGTTGACATGTCAGAGTAACGGTTATACGGTTATACACAGTGATCACTGGGTGGGTGGACATCAGCATCCGAAGACGGCAATCCATGGAATATGTCGAGCAAAAAATCACACGAAAAATCACACAAAAAAGCCAACTTGATGTCCTTTCACCCCTGTTTGCTTTGTGTATTGACTCCTCTGGTAAACTATAACATAACTATGGAAAATCACCATTTTCAATGGGTAAATCCACTATAAATGGGCCATGTTCAATAGCTATGTTAAATTACCAGAGGGTATGTAAAAAGATGTCACTTCTCCGTTGGGGAGGATGATCATGACATGTCGAGAGGGCGACCAGCAATGACGCACTTGCAGGCCTATTGCTGTGCCAGTCGGGGTCCAAGACGGCGCAGGGCCTTCAATGCTGTTGAATCATCATTTTCCCTATGAAAAATTCTCATTTTTGGCATGTCCCGTTTTTCAGACCCTCCAATCTTTGGCAAAAGATGTTTACATCGACACATGTTGGACTGCAGCGACTACGAGGGCAGTGCAATTGGGTCTGCTGTGACCAGAGTTCGCCGATCTGGAGTTTCATCAGAAGTACGTGTGCCTACAGTGACACTGTATTTGAGAGTGTCCGTGTTTTTTCCCCAAAAATATAACAAGTTCACCCTATAGCTACTGGTTGGTGGTTTGGAACATGGCTTTTATTTTTCATATTTTTCCCATCATATTGGGGTCATGTCATCATCCCAACTGACGAACTCACTCCATCATTTTTCAGAGGGGTAGGTCAACCAGCAACCTGGAGATGTGACGCAGATGACGAAGATCCAGCTCTGGCTCCAAGACTCAGCAAGATAAAGAATAGGAACACTATTTATTGTAGCTTTAAACAGCATCAAATGATATGATGTAGCTGCTACATTTCCTTGATCCACCCCATCCCCAAACCATTTCATCCTTCCTTTTTGGGGGGTTGTTACATGTTTCTTTTGGCATTTTCCATAGATTTTCATAAACTTTCTATAGATTTCCAAGATTTTCATAGGTTTTCCAGAGGTTTTCGAGTCCGTCAGACGGTCTTTTTGGTGCCATGGCCAGCCACGCGGCTGTGACACAGATCCTGGCCGCCAGAGGCCACGCGGCCACGCTGCAACTGACTCCAGGGAAGCCTCGTTATGCGCTGGAGGAACTGAGGAAACAGTACCGGAAGCGGCTTGGATTTTTTCACCGGATGACTGCGTCGGGTATAGCCTAAACTGGTAAACTAAGAGTTAGGTTTGGAAAATCACCATCTTGAAGTTCGGTAAATCAACTATTTCGATTAGGGCCATTTTCATCCATTTTCAATAATTAGCTATGTTAAATTACCAGAGGGTAACTACAGCATATAGTGGGATTCTGATGGATTCTGATGGAATATTGGGCTTATAACAGTGGGATAACTGGGAGGATTATTGGGATCAGGGGATGATTGTTGGGATTGTTGGGATTGTAAACACAAACACTTACCCTCTGGTAAATTGGATGGTTAATGATGGTTAATAGTGGTTAATGGTGGTTAATGGATATTATTACCCTCTGGTAAATAAACAGTTGGACCCTGAAAATCACCAATTTTTAATGGAAACTAGTCTTCCAACCCCGATGACTGCCAGGGTCTATGTTAAATTACCAGAGGGTAAGACTTCTATTATTTGACGATTCTTGAGGATTATTATTGGGATAATGATGTGGTATAATGCACACTATTGGGATCTATCATGATCTATCGGGATTAATAGCTAATGGGATCATTATTCAGATATGGGACCTATGGGATCAATGATGCCTATTGGAAAATTATCCCATGATCCCATATTCCGTAAATTTACTCTTGGGATCATTGGGATCCCATGTTTTTTTAAATGGAACAATGCCAATATGCCATGAATATGGGATCATGGGACCCCTGGGATCCGTTATTTGCGATGAATATGTGGTGTAACATGGTGAAACTATTGGGATTCCTGGGATGATTTGGTCTCATGTGAAGCTCGTTTTTTTTTTTTTAAGGGTCCACCAGTTCGATGAGGAAAATTGAAGAAACACCTCATTGAGGGTTTTTTTTGGGATTGATTACCCTCTGGTGAACTAACATAGCAATGGAAAATGGCCATTTATAGTGGATTTTCCCATGAAAAATGGTGATTTTCCATTGCTATGTTAGTTCACCAGAGGGTATTCATTGAGGAGTTTTTTTAGATCCACCAGTTTTATGAGGATTATTGATTGACTTTCATGATTATTTAATAGGGATCAACTATGATCAACCATTATTTGTTTTTTTTGCACCATCGTGGGGATGTGGATGAGGTTCCCAATCGCAACTTGATTATACCCTCCAGGAATCAACCATGGCAATGGAACATGGCCTATGATTCCTATGAAAGTAGATGTTTTTCATGGTTTAATGGGTATTCAAATATTATTAAACCATGATTTAACCACCATCATTTATAGGATGCATGTTTTTTTTTCACTTTTCACGTGCTAACACCACCAAAAGTATCAGTACGGGGATATGGATTTTCACCCGCCAGCAACCAACCATGACACTGGAATGGCCCAATGAAAGTAGATTATCAGAATATATCAGAATGTTTATAAGCTATTCAAAATGGTGATTTTCCATAGCTAAGTGAAATGACCAGAGTAGGTGTGTCTCCAGAAAGCCTGCCATCATGGAAGCCAAGGGAGATCCTTCCCATGGCTTAAGGTTGGCTCTCCTGGTTCATCCTGACAAGTGCAGTGAGATTCCTGAAGCAAAGGCGTGGCTAGATGTGGGTATGATCAGCAGGCGCATACAGTAGCAGTAGCAACAAACACCATGGGTGTTTTGTTGTTGTTTTTTTCTTTTTTAAAGGGAGGATGCTTGACTTGAGGGGATTTTCCTGGTCGCAATCAACACCTTTGACTGACTTTGAGTTCTCTTGAGTGTTGTATCACAGAGATTCGGCATTTTTTCATGTCCTAGATCTGGGTCCCTGCCACCAGGAGATACCTACTATAGAGTCATGGCTGTGCAATTCCAGCCAACTTGGCAGCCAACTTGGCGCAGGCCGCTTTCCAAAAGCTCAGCGAAGCCTTCGAGCAGCTCAGCGCCGCCGCCCCAACGGCAGCGGCGCAGGCGGCAGCGGCGCGGCCGGCCAAGCGAAAGCGAGAGAAACCCTGGTGGGATGTGCCCACCTGGGAGGAGATCTGGATGGAGCTGAAATTGGATGGTTTGTGAAATTTGGGATATTTTTTTTGGGGGAAACTGTGACAGAAGTGTTCTGCCAACTAATATCAAATAATTAGGGACTCGGATTTGTTGGTGAGTTTGATGGTGCTAAAATGTGCTAAAAACTTGAGCTTCACTATTCAGTCACATCCCATCATGCCACCTGTGTCACCGGCTGTATTATGTAGCATGTAGTTACATGTTACGGTAAAGAGATGTACCCTCTGGTAATTTAACATAGCTATTGAAAATGACCATTTATAGTGAGTTTTCCCACTAAAAATGGGGATTTTCCATAGTTATGTTAGTTTACCAGAGGGTATTGAGTATTTTCAATATGCAATGCTGTATCCATCTGTATCCGAAATATGCAGATCCATTCAGGGCCGATCTTTGGCAGGAGTTCGAGCGCAAATTCCGAGAGCAAAACGTGCCGCGAGCCCCTGCGGATGCAGACTTGCCCCCGGGCAGCAAGGGTGGGGTTGGGAGGGTGACAGACCTCAAATGCGCCCGGAACCTCCAAAAATCAAAAAAATAAGAGATGTGGATCAGTTCAGCTATGGTTCAATGATGATTTCTCGAAGTTGGTCAAGTTTCAATGGCACCGACTGGTTGTTTCTCAGAGTAGTCCCCTCCAGTACACATTTCTGGACTATAGATGATATAGTCTCCATCTTCAAGAGGATGACTTTGGAACCCTTACATAAACCATCTTAGTTAACATCCTAATTCAATTACAAATGCAATCTAAGACACAAATTACAGACATGTACCCTCTGGTAAACTAACATAACTATGGAAAATCACCATTTTTAATGGGAAAATCCACTATAAATGGCCATTTTCAATAGCTATTTTGACATAACCAGAGGGTATCATAGTGTATCTTAGTGTGATTTTCCCCCCTGGTCATCCCAGGAAAACTCAGTCCTTGCGAGATCTACAGCAACAGATCTCTGACGCCCACGGGGCGCTGGAGCACTGCAGCGCTCAGCTGGGACTGTCACGTCCGCCGCCGTGTCAGGAGGGGTTGCCAGGGTCAGATGAAGGATCTTGGAACATTTAGTGTGTTTTAACTTTTAACCATCAAGAAATGCGATTTACCAGGAAAAGTGGGGATTTAGGATGATTTAGCATCAACTATATGTGGGTTCAAGTAGGAAAAACTGGATATAATATGATATAATGGAATGTATGAATATATATCCAGCAATATCCATTTGTGTGTGTGTCTGAATATTTAGGGGAACAGCAAATTTGATGGTTGACTATAGATTATAAATCTCTGTTCCCATCAACATGACAATTTGTTTCGGTATACTACTGTATACATACACAATTTTCGGACACACCCATGTGTTTTCGGCCTTGAACTGTGGGGTGCTTGAGATTTCGAACCTTGCTGGAGATCGGGGACATTTCTATTTGTCATTTATAGCGGCCTCATGGGGTTTGTGATATTTTTCCATATTTTTCCCAGAAAGATTGAGGGTTTTTTTTTTCAGTGGCGACAACTATGAGTGATGGATGGATATTGTGTTTGACTTGATATGGTGTTGAATTCATTCGGAGAAGATTACAACATATACCCTCTGGTGAATTAACATAGCCATGGTATAGATGGCCCATTTATAGTGGATTTTCCCATTAAAAATGGTGATTTTTTACAGTTATGTTAGTTTACCAGAGGGTAACATCCCCATGACAGCACTGCACATGTTGGGATCTATGATGGTCCACTTGTTCGTTGAACGTCCATGGGACGATCATCAGGGATTCAATGGCGCACATAGCCTCACCTCTGTGCAGTATGGCCCATGGTACCTTGCTCATCCACAAAGTGAGCAGAATACCCAGAGCATGCAGAAAAATATGATATGGATTTTGGACAAGTGAATGGATCATGGAAAAAATCATCACGCATTTCCATATCTAATCATAGCCACGGAAGCCCAGCCCCAGCAGAGTCATGATGGGATGTTCACGGATGCCCATTCGGATGGAGTTTCAGACGGATGGGCCGGGCCCACAATAGCCATCATGGTGTGACTGCCATGCTTGACACATCCCCTGCCAAACATCTGGGTAAATTTCATCACGACCTCACGTCGCGACCGAACCCTGGAATCATGGTTTATTTCAGGGAAATCATCCCCAAATGGCCCAACAATTCAGGTTAGTGAAATATTATACCCTCTGGTAATTTAACATAGCTATTGAAAATGACCATTTATAGTGGATTTTCCCATTGAAAATGGTGATTTTCCATAGTTATGTTCGTTTACCAGAGGGTAATTTACCCAGAAACACGCGCGAAACATGCAGGATTTGCTGCAAGCTCGAGCATGCTTGGACGAAATATTGACGAAGTTGAGGAATCGGCATCGCTATTGTGCCTTGCAAAAGAACGCGCTAACCATGTGGTAAACTAACATAGCTATGGAAAACCACCATTTTTAATGGGAAAATCCACTATTTCAATGGCCATTTTCAATAGCTATGTTAGTTTACCAGAGGGTAACATGTGGTTGTGTCTGAAAATAGGGTACCTCTAAATTTGATGCTTTATCATCATGTGCCCAATACAATTTTGCCCTAAATTGGTGGTTGATACCCAATTTTCAGGCACACCGATATTGGAGATGGTTGGTTATATATCCCATTTTATCCTCCTTCTTTCGTTATCTTATCATTTTCCTCAGTTAAATCTATATAATTCCCTAGCAACATGTTTCTTAGACATATTGCATGTGACCCTGAGGTGTTTATTGCGGCTGCGTCTTCCAGTCGGAAGAGGATATGACGATGAACTGTCCGGGCGCCACGAAGGAAGAGTGCCTTGGATGATTCGGATGGTTTCGGAGAGGGACATGGATAATGATAACCATGGGTTTATTACACTAACCTAGGGTACAATTTTTAAGAGTACCCTCTGGTTATTTAACATAGCCATGGTATAGATGGCCCATAGAAATAGATGGTTTACCTGTTAAAAATGGTGGATCTTTCCATGGCTATGTTAGTCATAGCCAGATGGTAATTTATCTCTACTATTGGGGGGATATCTCCCCAATAGTCAGCGTTTATCAATCCATCGTTGATCTTGCGGGTCAACGCCGAGGCATGAACGACCGCGGCAGGATGCCACAACTGCAACCACCACAGAGCTGGCTCAAGTTGAAGTGGATCCATTGGATGTTTTCATGTCGGGGATGGAGGATGAACTGACCAAAGAGCCTTGGTGATGTTCCCGGTTGATCATTTTGCTTGGGTTTGGCTACAGTTGTTGAGTACTGAAATACCATCTTTTACCCCTTACTGTAGTACATTTATCCATATTTATCCCAAACATTTGATATTTATTTGGTCAAGGAAGCGAAGATTGCCAACACTTTTGTGGCTTCATCGCTGACAAAGGGTCTTAAAAAAAACGGCCCCAAGTATGAGAATGTCATGGGATGCACATCCTGGGTCTTTTCCAGCCAAGCATGCCGTCCCGTGCACCGGGAGGGGTTTCTAATAGAAAACTGCGTAACTGCGCCTGAAAAGGTTGAAGAGCAAGTGGAACTGGAACTGGGCTTGAAGATCTTGAAGAAGTATATGGAATTTACAGGCATTTGCTGGTGAAAAAAAAAGGCATTTGCTGGTTTCCCAAGGCAACATATTGCTGAAACCTCGATTACAACTCAAGTGACAACTCCACATCGGAAGCGAAGATCATCTCTGGTCCTCAGATGTCCTCAGGACCTACGTAAGAGCTACAAGGCGACAAAGAATCGCCATATGCCTACAAAGGGCTGGTCCTTCCAACAGCAGGCGGAGATGATATGGATGTTGAAAATTCCTGAAAGAGCCATGGAATCTAGGGATAAGATGGGTAGCTCACAGTTGTTCAAAAGCTTTATGGATTGATAATTGTTATATTTTTAGGCAATTATATAAATGCTCAGCATCACCATTGATCATTAGCTTTAGAGGGTCGAGCCAGGGAAGAGCTAAGATTTTCACTGAATGGCTTTGCTTTTCCCATTTGGGGGTTCCATAAATGGAAATACCCTAAAATAGATGGTTTATAATGGACAATCCCATTAAAATGGATGATTTAGGGGTACCCCTATTTTAGGAAACCTTCATTTGATGAAGGGGTTTCCATTCAAACTAATTCTTAGAGTTGTGAAACTCGTGTGGCTAATTGGTGTGGATAATCATCTGCCCACAAAGAATTGTACGTATCATTGTCTGTACATCGTGGAAAAAAATACGCAACACTACGACCTACGAAACATCTAAAGATCATCTAAAGATCATTAAAGATCATTAAAGATCAAAGTTGTGCCATTTCATGGAAAAGGGATATTTCAAAGGCTACAGTTTTTTTTTCCGTTTTTTTTCACCCCATCCCTTGGGGACCAGTCACGAGTCGCGGCTGCGGAAACTCGGCCCATCTGGATCTTCCCAGGCACAACAAAACAAGAACGAGATGAAGCGGCTAGGTGGTCGAAAATAGTCACCCGGCCGAGTATACTGTATAATACTGTATATATATATAATTATAATTATATATATTATATATATTATATTATATATATATATATTATATATATATATATATATTATATTATACTGATTTTGTTTCGGCATCATTTTTTTGAGAGTATGTTGTATTTGTTTCCGTTTTGTCAAGTGTTCTGCACGTGTTTTTTCAAAAAATGAGGCCCAAACTGTGGGGAACTTGCAAGCATTGGTTCCAATCATGCAGCCCAGTTTTGCTAGTACATTCCTTTTGACAAAAGTTTTGTTTCATACCAAAATTCCAACAATTTGGAGCTTTGTTTCATCCCAAATGACACATTTTGGAGACTAGAAAATCTTTCCCAGCTAGGACAGAAACCAACATCCAAGGTGCTTCGAGATGATACAACGGACCTCCTGTGTGGAGACTGCCGTCCGTTGTTTCTGCGCGGAAAAATGCCAAAAAACTCTTCCGGTTGTGCAGTTACCCCATCTAAAGCAAATCATCCATCTTTATCCATCTTTGATTTGGCAAATGGGTTTGTCTGAAAATGTGGTATACCGCAATACTCCCAACATGGCTATTTTACCAAGATGATCGCCATCGACCAATATTTTTCGGGGTTGAAAGTTCACCGGTTACCAATGGAACCAGTACAGGTCCCCAAAAAATGATAGAACCATATTTTTAGGATGGACAGAAAATAGATGTTGTTTCCACCACAATTCTCAGCTCTTCAAGTAATTTCAAGTATATAATCTTGAATGTATCTGAAAACTGGGTACACCCCGCCATTTGAAGGGAATGATGATAGTGATGACAATCCATGTAGGCACCCGAATCGTATTGACCGTGACCAACTCATGTGGGGATTGCTTTAAATTCTTGACGTATACAATTAAGGAAGTTAACATTTTTCCCTATAAATCCATTAGGTGTTATATACTCTGTATATACTTATATACTGTTTAATATCTGGGTGTATATGTATATATATATATTGACATATGTAGATATATATGACTATATGACTCATTTAAATCATGTAAACCCCTTGAAGCCTTAATACTATACTGTTTTATACCTTGTAATAGTATTTAACATCCACATTTTATTTTTCACTATACCCTCCGGTGTCACAAATCATCATGTCCATTCAAATCCCATCAGAACCCCCATTAAAAATCCCATTACAACCCCCTAGTATCCCATTAAATCTCCATTAAATGGGCCATTTCACCATTTCATCCATGATATCTTCACCTTGGATCTGCTGATTCGATCTGAGGTGTCCACATTTGGAGGCGACCAACCATGTTTTTTGGGGAAGGGGTGTGTGTATGATATATGTATATTATATGTAGCTTTCTCTCTCTCTCTATATATATATATTGTACATATACACCATATATATATATATATATAAATAAACATATATATATATAATATGCGCATATATTATACACATACATACATATATATATATATATATCTTGCATTATACATATACACACACACATTTGTATAACCAAAATCTAGAGATCATATTGGTCAATAGTGATTTGTGTTGTGTTTTATCGCCTGAACTGGGATGATGATCCCAATTGACTAGTCTTCTTCAGGTGGACTTATCCTCAGGCACATCGGGAAAAACCGATGCGTTCTGAACAAGGAATTCTAATTGCCATATTTGTTGTTGGTGGTTGTTGGTGGTTGTTGGTGGTTGTTGGTGACGGTTGGTGGTTGTTGGTAGTACCAACTTATCCTGATTGCGAAAGTAGCTGTAGGCCCCACCTTTTGAAGGCCATGCAAGTACCTGTAGTCATATCTCACCAAATGAAGCGAACACACCATCCGCGCCGTCAAATTCCATCTGGTTTTGCCTCAACACTGTACTCAACACCGATTTGGGCCTTTTAGCTTGCCACTTTCCAAGACTAGTTGTATTTTTGGCACTTTCGCACAAACTCAATGACGGTACTCCCCCTTTTGCAAACCATCATGAACTTCTAACCATTTATTGCAACGTATTTTGCAAGATATGGGGATGGGTTCAACCCTATGGTACCGAGTATCATATTTTGGTGGAATAAGCATCCATTTACCCGCTATTTTGAGGGTCACCAGGGTACTGGGCCTAGGGCTTTGACCCACGCTGTCGCGATTTTGCAAGGAAATTGCTGAAGGATTACTCTCGGGTCTAGTTCCAGTTACACGTGGTTATGTAGCCACAGTGGGGCCCCATATCATATCATATCCCACTTATATCCACTTATGTGGGTTCAAATCCCAAGGTTATACCCTCTGGTAGATGAACATAGACCCTGAAAATAGCCAACAGTTTTAACGGTTTCACGAATCTTCCAACCCCGACAACTGCCAGGGTCTATGTTAATTTACCAGAGGCTAAATCCATGGATTTGTGGAAAATTGCCCATTTATAGATGATTTTCCCATTAAAATCTCCATTTATAAGAGATTTTCCATGGCTATGTTAGTCATAACCAGATGGTACCGTACCTATCAACGCACCCCCAACGCACCCCCAACGCACGCTGGTTACATGTTACCAGGTAGACGGATCGGGCGAGCAGAGCTGCCGCGATCAGGCGATAAATTCTTTCGATAAAATCTGGTCGGGATGGCTATCAGCAAAAAGACCGCATTTTTATTGGGATGTGAGGGGATATATTGGGATAATATATGATAATATATGTATATGTATATATATCTATATGTATTGTGAAACCACAAAGTATCCCAGTCTTTGTCCAGTTCTTTTGCAGGTCCTTCAAACATGATGCCATGCACTGCAGCCGGTTTAGGCTGAGGCAGCCAGAGGTGGGAGTGGAGCGGAAACCGCTTGGAGCCATTTGACTGTGGCCAGTCATCTTTGCCGTGGACGGCCTTTCCATTTGGGGTTCCTTAGAACCATTCTGGTCTTTGCAGCTGCCGCAGGTTACAACAGATCTTGTCGCTGTGCAGTTTGAGGGAAAACAGCCGTGGCGTGAGAGATCTGAGGTGTTTTCAGTTTTGCGTTACCAGTGCTGATTCCAATCACACTGGTAGCGGAACGCTACCAAGCTCCAGGGGATTCAAACGACCTTTGGAGTTTTCATGTCGCAAGCCAATGGCGAATCAGGGGAGGGAAACACTGCAACCTCCAACAACATGGCTACTTTGGTCCCTAGCTATGATCCTTCGAAAGATGACCTAGAGCAATACACACAGAAGGTGGAACTTCTTGCCGAAATTTGGCCATCAACAAAGATCAATGAACTGATTGCGCGTTTGGTGTTGAACACTACAGGTACTGCTTTTCAGAAACTCCAGCTGAATCGTGAAAAACTCATGACAGGTGATAAGGCTGGGGTGGAATTGCTTGTGTCTCTTCTTGGGGGACAATGGGGCAAAATAAATCTGGAGAGAAAGTACGAGATTGTGGAGAAGGCCTTGTTCAAGTGTGTGCAACGCCAAGATGAATCCAATGACTCATTTCTGGCAAGATGTGATGTGGTTTGGTCGGAGTTGAAAGCCAAAAAGATAGATCTGGATGCTGTTCATGCCTACATAGTGCTCAGGGGTTCACTGCTTAGCACTGACGACAAGAAGAGGGTCATTGTGGAGAGCGAGTCTTCAAAAGATGGCACATTGACCGTAGAGAAAGTGAGCCAAGCTGTACGAATGTTAGGCACTGCATTCTTCAATGATTTGATTGGTCAGAAGAAGTCCAAAGGAAAGATATATGATCATCAAGCGTTTGTGACCGAAGATGTTGATGAAACTGTTGGAGATGGAATGATCTACAATGCCGATGATGTGACTGAAGATGATTTCCTGGAACAATTGCTGCATGATGAGGACGAAGACGCCGTTCTTGTCGCCGACTATGAGGCGGCCATGACCGAGACCGTCCAGACGGACGAAGACCTGGCAGCAGCATTTTCATCCTACACCGAGGCACGGAAAAGGTTGTCAGATAGATTCAAGAATCGGGGATTCTGGCCCATCGGTTCCTCCAAGGGAAAAGGGAAGTTTCAGTCTTTCAAAGGTAAGGGAAAATCATTCAACCGTGGTCCCAAGAAGTCGTTACAACAAAGAATACTTGAGTCAACATGTAGATACTGTGGAAGAAAAGGACATTGGAAAGCCGAATGTCCGGATCGACAGAAAGGTAATGCCTCAGTGGGATCAACCAGCACATCAGCAGCCATGACGACTACTGCAGTAGCCTCCCATGACATGAATGAGCCGAACGCTTTGCTCATGGAATTCATGCAGCTCCCTTTTGTCCAAGAGCCAGTGCTTGACGCCACTTGCATGCATGATGTTAATACTATTAGTACCATTCCTCAAGGGCTCCGGGAACGTCTCCGAGTAAAGGGTAGTCGGGGTAACGTAATGCCAAACAACCTGAAGAGCCACTTTCCCAGGAATGAAGTCCATCGAACTGCACCAGCTGAGACATCCGTTGGCCGCAGCATTTCCGAGCCTGAGCTGATTTTCTTTGCATCTCACGGATCATGCGGAATCCTTGACACTGGAGCCACTAAGTCCGTGGTGGGCAGCAAACTGCTGCCTTCGCTGATTGAGAGCCTCCCTGCGGAAATCCAAAAGCAGTTGTTCAGAACCAATTGTGATATAACTTTCCGTTTTGGAAATCAAGGTACTCTTGACAGCCAGCAAGCTTTGGTCATTCCCATGCAGTCATTAGGTTTAGGACTTAAGATTGCGATAGTGAAGGGAGAGACTCCACTGCTTTTGTCAAATACATTGATCCGAACTCTCAAAGCCAGCATAAACACGGAACGACAGGTCCTCTCAAGTCCATTGCTGACACATGATGTTCACCTGAAGCTCAGCCCCAAAGGTTTGTACATGCTTGATGTAAGAGACCTGGTAATGTCACAGCATGGACAGTTTAAAAGAGCTGGATCTACCGTGGCCGAGACTTTCGTCAGCGTTTCTCCAACGAGCCAAAAAGCAGAGACACCTGAGTCCAGTGGGATTGAAGTCAGTCCTGAGAAGCAAGACAAATTGAATCAGTTGAAGTCACCTTCAGGAGCTCAACAAGAAGCTGTCGTGCATGTCACCTCCAGGTGCCAAGGGATAGCATCCGAAACAAGCCATGCAGAGATCTATAGGCCCAAAGCCGTGTCCCATAGTTTTGTGAAACTTGCGCAGTGTGCACATCCGAGTTTCAGCAATGAGCCTTTCGTCCCGCATCGATCGTGTGCTTCAGGGCAATCCCGAGGGACTCGAAGCATTCCAACAGCTGAGCCTGGCCGAGATGGCCGAGACACGTGTGACTTTCGGCAAAACTCATGTGGGAAAGACATACGAGGAGCTGTGGAATCAGGAGAAGGGATGGATCAAATGGTTCTGCAAGACGTATCAGGACAGTACCAAGGAAGAACACCGCAAGTTGCTGATCTATGTCGAAAAGAAGGTGGAACGTCTCGAACTGGAACACGAGCTGCCGACTTTGACAGAGCCAACAGTTCAACAAGGGATCGTCCGACCTCGCAGCAAAGCCATGCCAAAGGCCAAGTCTGCATCGAATCCACCAACGGAGACAGGGACTTTGGACGACACGAACATCAGCGAGGAGATCTGGGAACCGTGGGATGTGACCATGCCAATGGATGGAGCCGAATTGATCTCTCAACAGGAGAACATCGGAGCCTTGCAGACACGAGTTCTCAATATCGAGAACGCCTTGACGGAGATTCTCACGTTGATCCGCCCTCCGAACTGAGTGGCCCAGTAGATCCGATATGCATGGCCGGAGACTTTGATTGGGATTTCCGTGATAACACTCTCAAAGTCAATATCATGAATCAACGTCAGAGAACTTTCAATAAACTTGTTCAACAAATATCCCAGGAACTTCAAGAGGTCTCAGATTCAGTGGGAAGACGCCATGAGCCAGTGATCCAAGTGCTTGAAGTCTTTTGCGGACCTCAAAGTGAGCTGACCAAGCAAACCAGCCAGCTGGGGTACCGAGCATGTAGATTCGGGCTGCAAGAAGGTGATTTGTCAACAACTGTTGGTCGAAAATTGCTGTTTCAGAAAGTGATCACTAGCAGACCCCAACACTTATGGTACAGTCCAACATGCGGACCGTGGTGTTCATGGAGCCATCTGAATGAAGCCCGAAGTGAATCTGGATTTCAACATGTTCAACAGGAACGAGATGAGCACTTGTATCAACTAGCCTTGGGTCTTGTGCTGTATCGCCACCAGCAAGACCACTGCCGTCACATGCATTGGGAGCAGCCGGCTCGATCAATCATGCTTCGCACACCCATGCTTCAAGAAGTAACGATGGGGACCAAGATAGCCCAATTTGACATGTGTAAGGTAGGAGCCATGAGAGATCCACAAAACCAAATGTTGTACAAAAAGGGCATGGAGATTGCAACAACGTCACAACAGTTCTACTCTCAAATTCATGGAAGATTTTGCAACAAGCAGCATGACCATCAGCAGCTGTGTGGAGAGACCGTCCACAAGGGTCATCGTTTGAAAAGAACTGAGTTTTCCGAAAACTATTCCCGAAAGTTTTCCAGGACAGTTGCAAAAGTCTTGACATCCATCAAATGCATCAAGGAAAAGCCATTTCAATGTGAAACAGCCTTTGCAGCAATGCACAAAAGACCGAGCCGGACATCTGGTGGCACTCAGCCAAAGCGAGCGAAGCTGAGGAACAGTGAGCTGATCGAACCAAGCCAAATGCCAGCCAAGAGAAGGCGTATCCGTGAGAAGAGCACTGAGGAAATCAATATGCCGCAACTATGTGAAAGCATTTGTGCAAAAATCATGAACCAAGCCCCCAGAGTTGGTCGAAAAGAAATTCATGATCCAAAAATCCTTGAGGATATGCAGAACCTGTTTCATGATAAGAAAGTGGTGCGAATCATGATATGTAAGGGAACTGAACGAACAGTAGTACCACCAAAAGATATGGTCCCAGAGGAAGCTCCATTCAGAAGAGCCATAATCATCCAGCGTGTCACCAAGAAAATCCAAATTGAGGATGAATGGGAAGAATGGAAGTATCTGTCAGCCAGACAACAGTGGAGGAGATCACACCCCAGCTTTCTAAATATAACAGTGTTCGCTCGAAATCATGAGCTTGAATTTGCCAGCGACGTAATTCAGCCAGCCGAGCCAGCAAGAGCGACACAATCTCAGACCTTGGAAAGGTCTTCTGCAAGCAGCGTGCCAGAGGGGAACCTGGAAGCACCGTCGTCCTTGCCAAGTCCAATAATTCCTGAAGTCCCAATGATTCCAAGTCAAGTAGATGAGATCAGCCAGGATCATGGTCCCAAGTTTTTGTCGATGTCAGCTGAGAACCGTAGACTTGCACTCAGGTTGCATAAAAACTTAGGCCATCCTGAATCAGCCAAGCTTAGCAAGATCCTGCAGCAGCGTGGGTATAGCCAAGAACTGTCACAAGGAATCATGGACTTGAAGTGCTCCGTTTGCCAAATGCAGCAACGGCCAAAGTTGCAAAGGCCCAGTACACTCAAGGAGGAACTTGAATTTGGGGATAAGATAGCAATGGATGGTGTAAAGTGGACAAATAAGCAGGGTCAAGAATTTCACTTTTATCACTTCATTGACTATGGAACCAACTATCACACAGCAGTGATTGCCCCCAATCGTGCCGAAGCTCAAGATAGGTTAATCAATGGATGGCTCAACTGGGCTGGTCCACCAAATGAGATCCTTCTTGACTCCGCCACGGAGTTCCTGTCACAGCAGTTTGTCGAGTTTCTGCAGAGCATGAATGTGCGATGCCAAGTGATCCCGCCAGATGCACATTGGCAGTTGGGCCGCATTGAACGTCATGGAGGAGTGTTGCAACACATGTTGTCCAAGTATGAACTTGAACATGATGTTACCAACTATCAGTTGTTACAACAGGCACTGACACACTGTACCATGGCAAAGAATGCATGCAGCCTGAAGCAAGGGTACTCTCCTGAGACTTTGGTCTTTGGTCGTGGTTTGCGGGTGCCGGGTTCTATTGTAGGTGATGACAATTTGCCAGCACATGCACGAGCTGATAGTGAAGATCAACCAGGAATAAGGTTCCGAGACATGCTTGCCAAGCGTGAAACAGCCCGGAAAGCATTCCACGCCGCAGACAATGACATGGCTCTAAGACGAGCTGCCTTGAGACGTGATCGGCCGCACCGAGGTGCTTACAGTCCTGGGGAATGGGTGATGGTTTGGAAAAATACTCTCAACAAAGGGTCTTGGATTGGTCCAGCCAAAGTGATAATCCAAGATGGTAACAACACTGTTTTCTGCAATAACATGGGTTCTATAGTTCGGGCTGCACCAGAACATATCAGACCTGTGAGCGCTGTAGAGGCCAGGTTAATTCCTTTAGAGTCCCAAATCCAAGCCATGGGGACACAGCCCAGAACCAGGAGTGAAGCATGCCAAAATGAGCCAAGAGAGGATGTTAGTCTTCCAAATCCCGACACAAATAACAGCAATCAGTCATTCGAAAACCAACACATTCCTGAGACAAGCAATAATCAAAGACCTTCCAGCCACATGTCATCAGAACAACCCGATCAAGAGCCTGATAACAATTCCCAAGACCCGAATGAAAATAATTCCACTCCCAATAGTCCTGAACATAATAACGATAACCATCATGCCAATCCCGAGCTTCAACCCCATGAAATTCCTGTGCCCGACACAAGCAGCGACGAGCTGTTTTGCGACCTCCTGGTAAGTGTAGACGATGGCCACAACAATGTCATCGGCCCAGATGGCCAAGATGTTGTTTGGAGAGCAGAACTTGAATTTTCCAGAGATCAGCTGATTGCAGTGTGCCACGTCAGTCAGCAACCTTCTGAAGAAGAATTGGTGTTTCTTGCAACAGCATCAAAGAAGCAGAGAACCGAGGTTAAACTGAGCACACTAGATTCAGCCGAAAAGAAGGAATTTGAGTTGGCCAAGACCAAAGAAGTGAACAATTGGCTCCAAACTGGTACTGTAGCACGCATGTTCCGACACGAGCTGTCCCCTGAACAAGTGTTAAGATGCCGATGGTTGTATGTGTGGAAACCAGTGACTGAGCCAGCCGATCAGAAAGCCAATGGTGGCAAAAGCCGAGTTGCCAAAGCCAGACTGATAGTACTGGGATACCAAGACCCCCAACTGGATACCATTCCCAGAGACAGTCCAACTCTAGGGAGGACTTCCAAAATGTTGATTGCTCAAGTCATTGCCTCCATGCACTGGACACTCATGTCGTTTGATATCAAAGCAGCATTCCTTCAGGGGAGAACTCAAGAAAATAGAGTCATAGCGATTGAGCCAGTGCCTGAGATGGTCGATGCCATGAACTTGAAGCCGAACGAGGTATGCCGTTTGGTGAAATCAGCGTATGGCCTCATAGATGCACCTTTCCTGTGGTTCTCGGAATTGGACAAGACTTTAAGGTCTCTCAACTTTCTGCCTTCACCATTTGATCCTTGTTTGTACCTGTACTATCATGACTATTCCAAAGGACCTTCTGGAATCTTGGGTGTGCACGTAGACGATGGGCTTTGCGGTGGTGATGAACATTTTCAGAAAGCAATTCACGAGTTGGAAAAGAAATTCCCTTTTGGTGCAAAGAAATCACAGAATTTCGTGTTCACTGGCATTGAGATGAATCAACAAAATGACCACAGTATCGTCATGTCACAAGAAAAGTACATCACAAAGATCAACCCAATTCACATTCAACCTGAACGAAAAGCTCAACTTGAATTACCAGTCACTGAACGCGAACGTCAAGATCTTCGTGCACTCATTGGGTCTCTTCAGTATGCATCAGTGAATACGAGGCCTGACTTGGCTAGTCGATTAAGCTTCTTGCAGAGCGATATCAACAAAGCTACAATTGAAACTCTCATTCAAGCCAATAAAACTTTACATGAAGCCAAAAGACATAAAGAAACCTCCATCAAAATTCAGCCAATTCCCATGGACAAGATTCGTTTTCTTGCGTTTTCAGATGCATCATTTGCATCGAAGAAGCAGCCTGAATCCCATACTGGCACTATGATCATGACCACACATGAGGACATCGGCAAAAACCATGTTTGTGTTGTGAATCCGATCAGTTGGGGATGCAAGAAGATACAAAGAGTAGTCACCAGCACATTATCGGCTGAGACCACGTCATTGAACACTACGCTAGATCAACTTTCCTGGTTGCGTTTGTTTTGGAGCTGGATTCGTGACCCTCAGACCAATTGGAAAAATCCAACGGAAACCTTAAAGAAACTCCCAGAAACATTTGCCACTGCCACCTTCAAAGAAGATCCCGCAATTGCCATCACAGATTGCAAATCACTTTATGATTTGGTCACTCGGACCGCTCCTCCACAATGCCAAGAGTACAGAACGCAGCTCCAAGCTCGTGCCATCAAAGACCTTCTTGCCGAAGGAGTCACGTTGAGATGGGTTCACAGTGGAGCTCAGTTAGCGGATGCACTCACAAAGATCATGGAAAGTCACTTTTTGCGATACACACTTCAACATGGCCATTACAGCTTACATGACGAAAGTGAGATCCTGAAGCAACGAGCATCCATGCGAACTCGTGTCAAATGGCTGCAAACGTGTGAATCCAAAGAAAATGACACATAAAGTTTTGAAACTTCTTTTGGGAGTGTGAAACCACAAAGTATCCCAGTCTTTGTCCAGTTCTTTTGCAGGTCCTTCAAACATGATGCCATGCACTGCAGCCGGTTTAGGCTGAGGCAACCAGAGGTGGGAGTGGAGCGGAAACCGCTTGGAGCCATTTGACTGTGGCCAGTCATCTTTGCCGTGGACGGCCTTTCCATTTGGGGTTCCTTAGAACCATTCTGGTCTTTGCAGCTGCCGCAGGTTACAACAGATCTTGTCGCTGTGCAGTTTGAGGGAAAACAGCCGTGGCGTGAGAGATCTGAGGTGTTTTCAGTTTTGCGTTACCAGTGCTGATTCCAATCACAATGTATGTATATATATATATATTATATATATATAGAACCAAGCGTTGGGAATTTGGGAATGGGACGATTTGCCATCAAACATGTGGATTGACCAGGACAAATGGTGATATAGTGGGAATATGCTGGGGATACAATGCGGATATAGTGGGAATTAGTGGGATATATATATATAACCAACCATACGACAGTTGGGTTTGCCCAAAAACAGGGTATACTGTACCCTCCATAAATGGCATTTTTTCATGGGGAAAATTATGACACAAAAATCTAAAAAAATCATCATATGGGGTACCCTATTGTCAGACAAAGCCTGATGATTTGGGATGTGGAATGACCACTGGTGGGGGATTTCATGAGGTGACCGACTTCAAACGCGCTATCTTGCGCTTCCTAAACTTCGCCACTCGATTTGAGGGATACCCAAGAGCCCTGAAAAAGCTGTTTCATCCTGTACAGCTGTGGAGAATCTGTTGCACCTGGCAGATAACTTGTTCAAGTGAACAAACATCCTGAATTCATGTGGAAAACATCGCGGAACAAATCGATGATGCATATCAGATCCAGCAATTACCCTCTGGTAAACTAACAAAACTATGGAACATCACCATGTTTAATGGGAAAATCTATTTCTATGACCATTTTCCATAGCAAACTGTTAGTTTACCAGAGGGTAACTCTCCAGCTTGCCTCCTGATTAGATCTCATCTTTTGATGCTGAAGATGTAGCGCTGGCTCCCTGAACTCTGCAATCTATGTCCGCCGGTCATTGCATTTGTTCAAGGGAATGTGTTGCACGGAGATGTAGACTTGGCTATCAAATGTCAACCCTGGACTAAGAAACCCGGGTTGCTTAAATCGGTTCCGGCCAAATAGTGATAAGTGATATATAATTTGTTTCTTAGAATGTACCCGAAAAGAAAGACTACGGTGGATTTAAGCGGGGTTGACATTAGTTGTTTCATCTTGTTTTATGTGAACATTCAATGAATGGCACCTGAATGTGAATTAGCTGCTAATCTAGTGGTTTACAACCCTAATGTAAATTGGTTACTTGACCCGCAAGTTACACAGTAAAACCATGTAAAACCTGTTGGTCACTTGACCAACTAAATGTAATTCCCATCAAATCCCCGTTGATATCCCCCACTTATATCTCCATTAATATATCCGGCTGAATATCCTCCCATGAAATTAAGGTTAAATCCCCATGGTTAGCGTTTTTGGCGTAAAATTTTGAACATCACCCGGAATTCATCACCATGACCGTCACCATTAAAACATCCATATTGAACACCATTCATATCCATTAATCACCAAAAATATCATGATTATATCCGTGAAATATCCATTAATCATATAACATATAACACCATTAATCACCATTAATCACCATTATATCACCATTATATCAATGTTCATCATCAAATTTCTTAATCCCCATGAGCATCCAACACAACCCGCTTTCTTCGGTGAGGTGCGCCTTTCTTGGACGCCAAAACCATCGCTGCGCGAGGTCGTCGCGGGTTGCGATGATGAAACGTGGAGCGAGATGACGAATTTTGATGGATGGAGTGGGCGGATCCCTATTTTCAGACGAACCTACATAGTCTCAATGTACATGTGTACGTATATATATATATATAACTATATATGTATATGTATATATATATATATGTATAGATAGATGTATATATACATGGTATACTATAAAATATCACATTCCATGATCATGACGCATGACCATAATCATGGGGATCATGGATACATATCACCCAATTTCCCAGGGCACAACCCTTCCATGTTTGCTGATTCACTACCCGCAAGCATACCATTTCTGTTGGTCAAGTTTTATTTAAAAGTCGAACAAATCCTGGTTTTGGTGGTAACTTCCCGATTTTGGCTACTTAAGCCTCCATTTGTATCACTTTTGGTGGTTGAAACCGCTGCGCACTTCGCCGTCTGACAGTCTGACAGGTCTGGGTTCTGCGGGTTCTGCCGCTGCTGCGACCCTGGGCACACTGTGGGTAGCAGGCCGCTGGGGCATTTTTTTCTGTGTATATCAAATGTTCAGACAATACACATGCTTGATCATGCTTGTGGCACCTGTATGAGTACATTTCGTCATGTTACAGAATCTAATAATTCATGTATATTACTGTATGATTATTATTATGATCATTACTATATATATATATATATGTAAGATATGCTGTATATGAAAGGTTCAAACCTGTGATAAAGCCTAGGCCTAGGTGCATTCTCCTTTCTTTGGATGATTCTCATTTGCAATACTGTGACCTGGTGCCGCGTTCACCAGTAGGATGACACAGCAACTTTGGATCTGTGGTTGGAAGGAGGGACCCAGGTCACTTAGAAAGGCGATGAAAGGGGGTTGTTGGTGGCGGCAATGGCAATGGCAATGGAAAATCCACCATTTATAGATAATTTTCCCAGCTAGAAACCTCCATTTAGTTCGGGGATTTCCAAGCTGCTTGTCGCGACCGTGGCAGGTGTGAGACGACGGAGGCACGGGGGGGCGTTCTGGAGAAGCGGCTCAGTAGCAGGGTTCCCCATCAGCACCATGGGTGTATCAATGTTTAGGATCATTTTGCCATAGAATGACCATCATTTTTCTTGGGGGTAATGTTGGTAAAACAATGCCATTTGCACGCACCATCCCCGAGTCATCACTGTTTTTACAGGTATAAACTTACCATTCCCAGTCATGAGTGGTTTATACCTAGTAGTGAATCCACTGTCGCTATGCTGATGTTGCCGCTGGTCATCCAAGGCGTTGCAAGACATGGCGCCATGCCACAGATGAAGAAGATTTCGATTATGGAGTAGCGAAGCTCAGGGCCGATGCGAAGGAATTTTCACAGCATGTTTGAGGGATTTTCCGGGTTTGGGATGCATTTTTATGTATTTTCATGATCCATTGCAATGAGTATAAACAAGGAACTCAGTGGAAATCATATACAGCATTATCTGTCGTATGTTTCCCTAGCAATAGTATGTTCTATAAACCGGTGGATTTTGGGTTGCTTGGGAAAGTTCCCGAAAATCACATGCAGCCGGTCGCCTTTCGAGGCTGGGAAGGACTATTGGGACAAGCGCTACCAGGCTCGATCTATCAGGGAGCCAGTTGGAGCATGGTCAGGCGCTGTGCTCAAAAGGGCGAAAGGTGAAACTTTTGAAACTTGCAAAAGAAACAAAACCACCAGTTGGGACTCTGAACTTGTGAGATACCGGTACTTCAAACCCTCATCCCAGACCAACCCAGACCAACAAGTTTCCTGCACCCTTGGTGCACCATGAGCCCAGAACGAGATCGGCAACACGTACGACTGGCTGGGCGTCCTGGATCGGTGTTTCCAACTTGGCCATTTGATGTTTGATGACCTGTATATATTATGATATATGTTATAAATGATATATAAATGATATATCTGATATATGTCATAATATATCATTTGCATTGATACATTATGATATATGTCACTTGCATAAATTTGTTTGTTCATTGTCAAACCATTGTCCATTCTTCTCTGGTTGAAAAAACCAGGCTAGGAGGCTATGAGAAGTTTCAAGAGTACATTGAGTGGCTTGGCCTTGAGAAATGCGGGTGCAATCATGGGCCTCTGCTGCGAGAATTTCAATATTTTTGTTTGATAATGTTCAACTCACCGTTGGGAATGGGACGATTTACCATCAAACATTTGGACTTAATTGGGAAAACATGGTGATAACATGGGGGTATTATGGGGATATTATGGGCCTATTTCTCCAACATCATGATGATTGGGTGTGTCTGAAAATGGTGGATATATCACCACTTTCTGCTTATTTCAACAGGGAGGATAGTGATTCGTGATGAAATAACCAGTGGTTAGAGGTGCTCTATTTTCAGAAACCAAGCGGCCTTGTGTTTCACAATGGATTTATATAGTTTATAGATGTTTATAGATGTTTATAGATGTTTATAGATGTTTATAGATGTTTATAGATGTTTATAGATGTTTATAGATGATTATAGTAGGATGTAGGGTTGTAATCTCACTGCTTGGCGATTTTTCATGAACACGACTTAAAATGTGGCTCCCCCCGATCAACTCCTTGGCACAACGCCCCAGGAAAGCTACTGTCGACCTGCCGGAGTGGGGGGCCCAAAAAAGCCCAAATGTGTGGCATGGGATTTGAAGTCGTAGACGTAGAGCATGCAACTTAGTTAAGAAGTAGATATTCAGATTTTCAGGCGGGTCCATAAATGTTGGTCATTGTTCGAGACTCCTTACTTGCAGAAATAATTCATTAATCATCCACTTTTTATGACTTTAACGGGTTTCCTATGTCCTCCGCTGAATCAATTCAGCATCCAGCGGACGCCGACTTCAAATCTGACCAACGTTGAGGCCCAAGACAGCCCGTATCCTTGACTTGGGATGTGGCAATGCAAGGCTTTCCGAGGACACGGTGGGGTTAGTTAAGTTAGTTGGTTTTGGTGCTGGAATCATGGTGTACCCCTGAGTGATGGAACCTTGGACCTGGGTGAAACAAGTTTTTTTCAATCTTGGGAGAAGCCAAAATAACATTTCTGTTCCTAAGACATTTGTCGATGTACCTGGGGACTCTAATTGGGAAGGTCTTTCGCCCGCAATGCCAACGGCTATTTTTGGTGCATTATCATGGGATTGACATGGCTATGGGGGAATCTGGGGGATGGTGAAAGTCCATACCCTCTGAGAATCACCCGTCCAGGGCAATGGGAAATCCACTAGAAATAAGTAGAAATAGAGGTTTGTAGCTGGGGAAATCATCTATAAATTTCATGAAATTTCATGAAATTTCCATTGCCACGTTTGATTACTCTAGGGTAAAACTGATATCATCCTAGCTATCACCCGATTTGTCCGATCTTGGAGACTTCTTTTTGGAATCAATGGGCTGAGCTCTGGCAGAGATGGTCCAGAGATGGATTCCCTTTAGCGCCAGCTCGGCAGATGTCATCTAGACATCACTTTCAAGTATTTAAGTTGGAGATTACTTTTTTTTGCATCCCCAATAGTTGGGCGATGTTCACTGAAAGGACATTGACCAGGCGCCCTGAATTTTCCAAGTGCATGGTACGTGGTGCCTTCAGCATTTCAGCGAATCTGCCGCATCAGGACATGTACGACAATGGCTTCAAAGAGATCACGGGACTCGACATCTCAGATGCTCGGAAGCCTGCGGAAGCCTGCGGAAGCCTGGGAGACGAGCAACAAGAGACCAAGTGCTATGCATAGCCAGGGCATAGCTGTATGTTCCTTTGATTTCCTTTTCATGATTGAAACATAGGTATTTATGAAACTATGTACAGCTATATGGTAATCACAATAATACTATAATACACGTTCTATCGGCCGGCATGTTTTTCTTTTCGAAATTGGGTGAGAGCTATCACAGCATTCACAGCGCCCTGGGGAATTTTCGGGGATGGTGATGCTGGATTTGCCACATTGGAACATGAGGGTCATTTTATGTGCTCGCAACTCATAGAAGATGGGATAGATATGGATAGAATTGGATAGATACTTTATTGATTTTAGTGAAGACTTTGTGGGAATCCCGATTGACTTCCCACTGTTTGTTGTTTAAGTGTGACATATTGTGAATATACAATATACATCCTTTCTTAAAGCATCTTAAAGCTTTACTTTTTGTTGACGAACTAATGCGTCGGTTCGACTTCCACTAACAATCAACCCCCAATCATTGCATATAATATCATATAATTGCTGGTTGAATCAATCAACTTGAATCCAGTTCTTGGCTGGTGAAGTTTTCCCAGCTGGGATCCATGATCATCTTCCTTCCTGTGAGGTGGCCATCGATTCCATGCGTCTGGGCAGCCCAGCAGGCCCAGCAGGTCATTGGTTTGCGAAGCTGCGAAGTGAGTGGTGTCTTGGACTTTAGTTCTAGAACAATGAGACAAAAAGGGGTGTTCAGACCTCTAGGACTCTAGGTTTGGGTCTTGGGAGGTTGTTTTTCTTTGGGGCTAGCGGTGGGCTGATACGTTCTGCAATGAGCAAAAGAAGAATACTTGAAGAAACTCTCTCGACATGGCTAAGTCGCCACAGATATCAAGTTGCCACTCCACAGGCTCTCCCATGGGTTTAGTTGCAGCCACCCTTCAGCAACCTTCGGCGACTTTCAAACCCTTGGATATGCGGTCTGTTTCAACGGGGAGAACAGCTGGCTTCCAAACGACAGAATGAAACTGGTTATCCTGGAACTGGGTTGGGGTGTGACAAGATGTGATAAACATTGATAAACTAACTTTCAGAGCTTCCAAACATGTGAAGTTCAAAACTTCTCCAGTCCATGTTGCCCCCTCACAACATCTAACAACCCCTTGCACCCTCCGAGGTGTGCGGAATGCTGAAAAGCGTCCTGATATTGAATGGGTCTGGGTGGCACAGAAATTTCTCGTTTGGGTTCGTTCATGTTCGTTCAAAAATAGGGTACCCCAAAATTAAGTATAGTAAAAACTGCCAATTTTGTGTTTGTCTAGAATGGCCTACCCCAAAATCCAGCCCATTTTTAGAGACATCCATTTTGGGGCATATACCCATTCTGGGACCCACCTAGTGAAAGGGGACCCGATTTCCGGTTCTGGAGAGGACCATGGTGAAGTATTCCAGCGATTTGGAAAGGATGCGCAAATAATGTACCCTCCGGTGTGATCAACCGTGGCTGGCTGGGAAATCCCCGAACTAAATGGAGGTTTCAATAGGTTTAAATGAGAAAAGATTCTAGAAGTGTGCGATTTTCGATTGCTATGTTTGATTACTGGAGAGTACAACAGGTGTGTACATATTATCATTTGCTTGAAACGTGGTTAAGACAAGGAGATCACGTGAAGCTTACAGACCGTAGTGCTAGGCCCAAATATAGAAATTATATCATTATATATATATATATTATATTCAATACTAGTTATTACCTGGTAATTTAATTTCTATGATTGTATTACTGCAGCTACCATTAATGTAGTCAAGACCAGTACTTGTTACCTGGTATTTCTGATCCCCCAATAGCACCTTGGCACATGCAGGTATGAGCTGGGAGCATACTGAGTATTCATGGTGGCGTTTCTGTAAAAAGGTATCCTGACACAGAATTGGAGGAGCCGCTCCCAAAATGATTTTCGGCCCAAGATTGGATGGTTTACTGTATGGGCACATAGAACATCCAATAGTAGATTAAATACAGTATTACTTATGAATCTATATATATATATATATACTGTATATATATATATTTACACATACATATAAATATATATATATATACTGGTTGGTGGTTTGGAACATGGCTTTTATTTTTCCCATCATATTGGGAGATCTTCATCATCCCAACTGACAAGCTCCACTGGTGCCGCAGGTCGTTGGAGATGCCTTCAATCTGCCCTTCGAGGTGCGCATTAAGGATGCCACGTTTGGATTTTTTTTTTCGGGTAACCCATATGAGCTATGGTCAATACTCATGGTTAATAACCATTAATAGGGGCTAGTCATCCAATGGTTCATAGGGATTTATAACAACCATTATAAGGATCCTTATTATGGATGGGATATTGTCAATGATATATATATATATATATATATCTGGGTAAATTATAACGACCTCACGTCGCGACCGAACCCTGGAATCATGGTTAGTAAGGGAAATTATCGCCTTTTATGGCCCAACAATTCAGGTTAGTGAAATATTATAATTTACCCAGATATATGTCAGATGTACAAAATGTTTATGTACAACTATGTTACATTGATCCAACATGGACTGATGACCGATGTCATTTTGAAAAGTACATATGTCATAGGTATCATATGTTTACGATGGAATTGTGATGAATTGCCCATGTGGATACGTCAAGCCCCTCAAATTCTCAAATTCACGAGCTGATCAGTTTTCTTTCTCTTTTAAAGACCTGAAGCAATGTTTGAACATATTATTTGAGACGGTCCAATTTTGGGACTCACCAATATCCTGACACAGTCCAGAAATAAACGTCACCCGTTCTTATCACTTGGACCTGAAGACAACTTCTCAAAAAAGGCTACCCAAGGACGTATAGCCAGTGTCCAATGGTTTTTCAAGGGTTCCATTGTCAGAAAGGATACTTGCCCTAGCATGATTTCCCCCTACACATTTGAAGTTACACAGTATTGTCACATGTCATATGCACTTGGCTGATACCTTGGACTCGAACGGTGAGAAAAGTCGAGGTTGTCATCAGCTTGAATAATGAGTTTGTTGATCATTGGATTTCTGCTGTTCGGAGCAGAAACATGCCCTGATCAATGGTCATTGAGACAGTTGCAAATGGGTCAACATGGTACCACATTTCACCATGTTTCCATGTATTTTCCATGTAATATACATCCTACACACATATATATATACACATATATATATTTATATATATATATGTATATGTGTGTATACACACACACACACACTACATACCATAGGTATCCATAGCTATCCTTAGCTGTATGGCGAAGTCCCTTGAAATCTTCCGTCCCATGAGCCCAGGATGAGTCATTCGATCTGGTCATCGACAAGAGCACGTACGCGGTTACTGTTGTGGCATGGGGACGGTCTGAACAGAACATGGCTCAGAAATAATAGGTATCATCAGTTCCTGATATATCATGATTAATCAAGTATAACATGATATAACATGATTAATCAAGTATAACATGATATAATATGATATAACATGATATAATATGATATAATATGATATAATATGATATAATATGAATATCATCAGGTCCAGGCCAAAATCATGTGTTCATCCTAAATTGATGTTTTTTTTTAGGTTCTTCAATACAAACAGATCCTTTAGATTCTGAACTGAACCTGAAATTTTTCGCAGCTCAGCAAGCGCAAGCGACAGGACGGACGCCGTGTCTTGCGACAAGGACCACATCCATGAAAACATGTCCGGAAACCGAAAAACGCCCGGCTCACTGGCTCCGAACAAAATTCAGCTGAATTCAAACATGGAGCTACCTCGTAGTCACTCGAAAATTACAGCAGGAAAATGTGTCCCTCTTGAATGTATTACTAATATAATGTCATATATCATTATGGAATAGACGATGTTGCTATATGAAAAATCCTGAAGGATGTTATTTCCTGTGTATCTAGATGAGGAGAAAATAGTTTCCTGGAGGATGTGACCGGGGCCCTGTTGCATGACCGCAGCCTAGGACGAAGATGTACGGCGAAGTACAACGTGTTTTGAAGAAGGCGATGAGTTGGGGAAAGGACAGACTGGACAGATGTGTCCAATAATTAATCTTCATATGCAACATATTTCATCATATTTAGACACTATACATGCCATACACACACATATATATATATACACATAATTATATTTATATATCATATAGAATATCTATCTATATATATAGATCATACGTACATACGGTGAGGATCATGAACTCCGCTATGCTCAAGAGAAGTTGGTGCTGATCAGCACTCTTTCCGATGACTTCAACCACAGCTTCGATCCCTCTGGATCCCTCTGGTAGCTCCATGGCTGGAAAATCCCACAACATTGATGATTTTACCAGCTATAAACTTCATAAAACCTCCATTTATATTTTTCAGGGATTTCCAAGCTAGCCATGCTAGCCATGTTTGATGACACCAGAGCTGCGCCTCGATCACAGGGTGGAACGTTTTTGGTCTTCAGCGCGGTGGAGCATGCGCAACTGGCGCTGCTTGGGTGTGGACAAGAGCCGCTCGGAAAATAGGACGAACATATGTTTATAAACCCCAAATGGTGAAACATGATGAAACATGGTAACATAATGTAACATACATGCTAACGTATGAGGTGCATTTACAAAACATAAGATAAACATGAGATCTACATGGTTTATCCACCCATGCACCTGAACAAAACATCAACAACCCATGGAAATGGATATTCAGTCCTAATTGACACGGTCAGAACATGGCCATACATTTATTTTGAGACGAACCCATCTGCCACGTCGTGTTGGTGTTGGTGTTGTTGTTGTTCTTCTTCTTCTTCTTCTTGTTTTTGTTTTTTTTTGATATTCTTCTTGTGGTTGATAACAATGATAATGATAATGATAATGATGGTATGGTGTGAGTCTGCGGTGGCTGCGGTGTTTTTTTGGTGGCCGCTTCTGACCATGACAATGATTCATAGATGGTAGGTTGCGGACTATTTATAGAGGATACCCTCTGGTAAATTAACTTGTTGATCCTGAAAATAGCATTTCTTTTAGTAGAAACGAATCTTCCAAACCCTATCTGCCAGGGTCTATGTTAGGAGGATAGAGATGGATAGACTATAGATTGCATGCATGATTGCATATGATTTCATATGCATGTTATTTCTAAAGGACATAAACCCAACCACCCAAAGCGTCCCCATTCGTAATTCTCAGACATGGGTGGGAGTTCGACTTCAACCATCCCCCAACTGGGTGTAAAGATCCCCATGGTATGATCGTGTTTTGCTGAAATTGGTACGATTATAATGGTAATTTGCATAGTATCTCTGTATCATATTAGAATATATTAGACATATTATGCCATCTTGATGGATTAACCGGATTACCTCGGCGGTTTTTTTCCCATGTGTTTTTCCCCCCATCACTGCCAGGTGCCCCGCACGGGACTGCGACTTCCACACCTGTCCTTCGAAATCGAAGAGAAGGACCGGACCTGCGGTCGGAGGAATTTTCGGTGTTGCACTACCCAATGGTCGGAAGTTTCCTACAATGGGGGTAACCCAATAGCTGTTTAGAATGGAAAATCCATCTATAAAGGGATGATTTAGGGGTACCCCTATTTTAGGACACCTCCATATGATCCAATATGCTGGGGATGATCGTGATCTAGGGAATGCCGTTCTTAGACAGGATCAGTTCATTTTTGACGCCGTCAAAGGGGTTTTGAAGCGACGAAATGATCAAGTCATAGGGGCTGGGGCACTGTAGCCCAAACTTAAACTGGTTGGTGGTTTGGAACATTTTTTTTATTTTTCCATATATTGGGAATTTCATCATCCCAACTGACGAACTCCATCATTTTTCAGAGGGGTAGGTCAACCACCAACCAGTAAAGGTTGATCATCATCCTTCCTATTAAACCATATTAAACCTATGATTTGATGGCCATATTTCGACGCCCAAATGGATATTGTGGGTGAACATGTCCAACATATCCCCACATTGTATCACCAGTTTCCCTAGGCCCTAGTTCAATCTCCAATTTTTTATATGATTGATTATATTTGCTTGGTGGTTTGGAACATTTTTTTTTCCATCATATATGGGATAATCCTTCCCATTGACTAATATTTTTCAAGATGGTTAAAACCACCAACCAGTTATAGCCATGTCCCCACTTTCAGACATACACACATGGATACTTCTTGGTGAACTCTCCCCGAGAAATGTCACCGTAAAAATCTCCCTTCAAACCCCATAGGGTTGGATGGTAAATCCAGCATTCCTTCACCAGTTTTCAACGGTGCCAGGAACTGTACCTTCCCTTTGCCAGTCTTTGGGCCTTTGTGTCCGTGAAGACCCAACGTCCTGCATTGTCAAACGAGGAGGTGGGGACGAAAATAGGATGGACCAATTCATAGGACACCTCCATTGGAAAAAGAGGGGTACATCTCCCAAATTGGATCCCATTGGATGGTTTGATGTGTTTTCCGAAGCAAACAGACATCCAATCGCAAGGCGGAGTAGCGAGAAAAGTAGCGTTTCAGATCAGAGTTCTTTGCGTAGTCAGTCATTTAGTCGTTGATAGTTTCTGTATGTCTTTTGTTGCGAAAGCCTTCTTCAAACATAATAATCCAAAGAACTAATCTCTATATGCATATAAATATGATATAGACTAGTATATATTGGTCAATATCCACATGTTTGATGCTTGAAGTCCCAATTGTTGCAGGGTAAAATGCTTCACTCAACTTGCTTTTTCCAGGCCTTGAGGCAGGCGCAGATGGCAGATCTGCAGATGATTCAGGTGCGACCAATGTCACCCTGTTGTTTGGTTATGGTATATAACTGTTATGGATTGTTATGGGATATGGATAGTATCTTTATTAATGGATTATTATGTGGGATAGATTCTGGATTATTATGGCTTATCTATTGGCATGCTCAATAATTTAGTATAAATGCCGAATCTGAGATAATGTGTTGCGTCATCATACTACCTCTAAACGTTATTGGGGATTATGATCATGTATGATATCTGTCAATCCTCCTAAACATGCCCTCTATAAGATGAGGGGAAATGTGGGTTGTATCAAATCAGACTCTGCAGAAGACTAGTCTTGAACACTGCGCATGTGATTCTTAGTTATACGTTCTAGCCATTAATGGAGACGTGCTCATACCATGCAACTTGTCTGAAGTGTTGGCCGTGGGTGTTGTGCCCAGTGAAAGGCGTACCCCAAAAAGGCATAAAAAGGCAAGGAAGGAAGATATAAGACTAGTGGGAACTTACCTTTCTTTCCTTTCTTGGGACAACAAGGATAGTGGTTCCAGATTATTTGGGGATGTCTCTGTCAACAAGAATTGAGGGACCTCCAAAACACAGCTTCAGACCTTTACAAGTTCCCCTCTTGCTAACTCCAGATGCGAGTCTAGAAATGTCCAGTGCCAGCTGAATTGCATCCAACTCCACCACAACAAGCCTTTTCTGTGTCAACGGAGTGGTTTAAGGGGAAAAATTGCAGGAACCACCCCATAGTTCATGGGAAAATCGATGGTTTCCTGTCGATTTCTGTGGTCTTCCTGGTGAGTCCCAGCCATTTGTTTTCCGCCGAGCGTTGTCGTGAAACGTCAGGAACGCAAGCGTCAGCAAGAGGCGGAAGAGCTGGATACCCAGAGGGTTTTTTCTCGCTGGAATTATTGGGTCATTGGATTGGGGAAACTATCCCAATCTGTGAACCAATTTATGACTATTATCTGGTTGGTGGTTTGGAACATGGCTTTTATTTTTCCATATATATATTGGGAATATACATTGTGAATATATAATCATCATCCCAACTGACGAACTCATATTATAATTAGTTATTGGGTTACTATTTATGACTATGAATACCTAGGGTTATGATTATTCCAATGATGGGGATAATTTCCCATACTATTCCCAATCCGGAACTATTTCTGAAAAAACTAGGGGAAATAGTCTTATTCATTCAGATAGCTCCTGAAGCTCCTGGGAAAAACAGATGGGAATGAGATAATTTACATACCATCATTCTATGGGATAATTTACCCTCTGGTAATTTAACATAGCTATTGAAAATGGCCATAGAAATAGTGGATTTTCCCATGAAAAATGGTGATTTTCCAGTTCGCTACGTTAAATATCCAGAGGGTACATACCATAATGGGATAAGAAAGTTGGGATTTCACTGGGGATATGTCAATATATGTCATGATTCATGGAGATTCCCGTCGGGAATCTCCGACTGGGCCTGTCTGAGAAAGGAAAATTAGCCCACCAGCTATGGCAATTTTGATAGGGAACATGAGTGAAAATGATGATTATAACATATTATAACTAGTAAATCTCGGGGTACACAATGTTCAGACAAAATCTGGCAACAGATTTTTTCAGGCATTGCCAGTTTTTTGTTTTTGCAGGTTAGGTGGCCCAGATCATATGTGATGTTTGGAACATTTATACTGGTTGTTCTTGTGACATTGGGGGCTGAGGGAGAACGAGCGGCCAGGATTCTAGTGATATCTAGTGACTCGGCCCCAAAAACATGGCCATGGCCATAATTTGGGTGTTTCTGAATATAAGGGTGCCCCCAAATCATCCAGTACTTAATGACTTAGTATTGAAACCCATGGTGACAGTGGGATCCCCCGTTTTAGGAAACCCCGAAAAAATTGTGTCCGGTGGAGGTTTCTGCACTCTGAGGCGATTGAAGTCGACGGCCAGCTTCGGAGTTCTGGATTGATCGCGGCGTGCGAAAAACGACTGGGCGGCAGCATGCGGCAGCTGTGGATCTAAGATCGAAGCAGATCTGTTGGATGGGAAGTCAACCATTGGTTTACCACGTTTAGCCTATTAAAAAGGAGCAGCTGGTCTGGGAAATCCGCAGAGGCCAAGTCCTGAGATGTTATACTTCTTCTGGCTGGTGGTTGCTCGGTTCATGTTTATCCTGACCTTGGCCATTTCAGGTGCTTGCAACAGGTCGGTGTACTGTGCTAATGACTCAATCGGAGCTCAACGGGCAGTCAATGCTGGGCTCCAATATCCAGTGGTGGGTACCATGGGGTAAACCAACATAAAGGAAACTTATCTACAAATATGGTGTATTTTCCACATCTATTTTAGTTTGCAGGAGGGTAAAATGCTTACTTTCTGGGTGATAGTTGGCAATGCGTCAAGTATTGACAATGCACTTGTTCTGTTCTATTGTGCTTGATCCCTGCAGTGGAATACTCGCCGGATGGAAAGTATACAGATTGTATCCCCTGATGGCCAATATCTTTGGTCCTCGGGACTGTCCCATGATTTTTGTTGCTATACATTCCATTCATCCCACAATTTTCCACATGGGTTTGTCTGAGAATAGGGTGCATTGAAATTTGATGGCTGATCATCATTTTCCAAGGAAATGGCGATGTATTGGTATACCATGGTATACCGCCGTACACCATTTTAAGACATGTCGTTCCAACATTTCTCGCTGCGACCGTTGCCAATATCTCACAGATGACCCGGAAGCAGTTTGATGATGATCGTTGTCTATACGTATATATCATCATATTGTAGTATGTATAATATATGTACTGTATAGATATATGATATATCTATACGGGAAGCAAATGGGAAACCAGGGCAACATGGGCCTATACTTCATGAGATTTCATGAGATTTCAGGTTTGAGAATGATTGAAATTGGCCAAGGTGGATAGAATCTCTAAGGGAGATGGGTTCATCAAACTCAAGCGACAAAGCGCCTCAAAGCCCGCAGATGGACCCACCAACTGGATACCGGCTGCTTCTAACCCCATATGTTCATGCATTACCATCAATCATCAATCCTTATAGCTCATTATAATATATCCGCACATCCTCCCACAACTTGCTAGCTTTTATCATACCCCCAAAAAAATGTACGTATATATCCTCATATGTTTCTGGGTGAAGTTAACATCAGTTAACATGAGTTAACATCAGTTACCCTCTGGTAAACTAACATAACTATGGAAAATCACCATTTTTCATGGGAAAATCCACTATAAATGGTGATTTCCCATAGTTATGTTAGTTTACCAGAGGGTAACCCCTGGTTTCAGCCCACCTTTGAACGTTTAAAAGTCCCAACAAAAATCGCTGAGAACTGCTGCACCATGCCATGGCCCACCTCGTCCTGGCCCTTCTTTGGGGCGTCAACGCGGCGCCCGTGCTTCGGAGCTGCCATGACGCCGACTGGCGATTTGCCTTTGGGAAGTGTCGCGAGGTTCCCGGACCGGGGTATATGATGATATATATGTATAATTGTATATACATATAGAATCATATAGAATCATATACATAATAATGCTATATATATACATATATGTATATATATAGTTTTTTTTACTGTATGGTTTATTAATGGTTATATACATATATAATGTGAGTATATATAATGTGAGTATATATATATGGTGAATATTCCCCAATAATGGATATGGGTGATGTATAGGTTGTTTTTTCCCCTTTGGGGTATGTGAACATAATCTTATATATATATAATATACACAAAGGTGCCAGCAAAAGATAGAACAGTTTTTCTTGATGGGTTTGTTGATGATGTTTTTCCTCTTTAAAAAATAATGTAAATAATTTCTAGGTGTGCGTAACTTTTCGGCATTGGGAGGGAACTGTTGCGATGTTCGGGGGGATGTTGAGGCGATGTGGGGAATAAGTTGGGGGGTAATCCAAGTTTTGATCATTTTTGATATTGTCTTGAAACAAATACTTTGGCATTTTGCGAATAAGAATATGTTTCTACATGTTTCGAATTGTCTTTTTTATTGGGAATGGTCTTTTCAAGAAATTGAAGGATGACACCCGAACAATGATGGGTCTTGATGTTATATATATATATATTACATGTTTTTTAGTAGATGTCCATCCTTATTAGGGGTTGAATGATTATTAGACTTTTCGGTTGCTCGTGCTTAGGAGTATCTTCAGAGAACCAAATCAGCAGGGCTTCCGGCGTAGCAGGGCTATGGGTGGTGAAACACACTTTTTCCACCTGAGCACTGATACAAAACACGAAATAGCCTTTATGTGCGAAAGTGCCTGTCCCATGGTCATGGCAGATGCCCCTTTGTAATTAGGGCAGAAAAACAAATCTTGCTTTCCTTAGGCTCACTTTTCTGCTTGGTTTCAGCTTTTTTGGAATGTGTAGAATGAGAAGAGGCCTCGGACGATGCAAGACAAATGATGGTGGACACGACGTTTGGGGGTCATTAGGCCATGGTCGTCCGCGGGGGTCTTCGAGTCGCCTATGAACCAGAAAGTTTTAGGCATTGTTCCCGACAGAAGTGGACACAGAAGACAGTGCGGCAAGCTTAGCAGTATACAAATGTATACTCTCTTTATTGATCATGTGGTTGTCTGGGTGTGAGGCCCTGAAAAGGTTTTAAAGTTTTACCTTCCTAGGTGCCGGGTGAAAGGCTTTATTTCTTGCCATCAGCATGTGACGGCTTTTTCTTTTGAAAGATTCTTCTTCTCCCGGTGAAAGGATTCCTCTTTCCCGGCGCTGGGCTGGGGGATTCTCTTTTCCAAACAGCGTTGTGCAAAGCTTTGGCACCCAAGCCACTGCTCCCTGTCTGCTCTTTCCTGTGGCCTCCGCTTTTCTAGGGCTGGCATTTTGATATTTCCCGCTTAGCAAGCAAAAATGGAATTGGTAGTGTTCTGCAAGCCGGGCCTGAAACAGCTATATACTGGAATGAGCATGAGGGTTGAATGAGAGGGCATTGCTGCAGCTTGCTGCTCCCAATGGCTCGGGCGTGCCTTGACAGCAAGCTTGCCCAAGTTGCGGACCTTTTCCCATGAAGGTTAGGATTCGAACGCCGTGACGAAAGCAACTGCCTCTAACACTCTTGGTGTTGCCTGTGTTAGCCTTCTCCGCGGCAGTGCCCAGCGCAGGGTCGAATGTGAAATATGGCTTTCATATGGTACTGGCTCTCCTCGCAAGAATTGAAGGCCACATTGCGAAAGAAACAAGTGGCCACTGAGATCAAGTTGTACATACGGTTTCATGCATGTTGATTTTCACAAGTACATGGTGTTGAAGTAGCCTCGCATGGACAAGAAGTGCCCAAGCAAAGGCTAAGGATTTGCTAGTGCTCAATTGCATGGGTCTGTTCTGTGTTGGCCAGTGCCTTGTCATAAGACAAGCCTACATTGCAATAGCAGAGGTTGTGGTTGACCCAAACTACATGGGGTCTTGAAATGCGTTCGGGCAGAAGATTCAGGGAACGTTTGCAAGGCTATTTAATCAGAAATATTTGTTGAATGTAGCAAAACCTACCAAAAGCCCCGCTCCACTCAGTGCCCTGCAAATTCCTTCCTCCAATATCTTGCGCACCCAAATCTAGCATGCAGTTACGGGGCAATAGCACCTCGAATTTGGATAACTTGGATGATTGGCGATCTGCTTGCAATTAGCTGATGATTATTCTGATATAACACCCCTAATGATAAACCCGCTTTGAGCCCCCACAATGAAGAGATCCACTAAAGTGTGATTAAGCTCGGAGCATCATTTCGTCGTAAGGTGCTGAACTGTGAATGTCCCCATCTGGTAATTCATCGAATTCCGAAACTGATTTAAGGGACAGTGTGCAGATTCTCCCATATTTGGTGGTAAACTTAAAATCCCATCGCTTTCCCACAAAAAACCTGAATAAAACAGCTCAATGATTGAACATGAAGTTCAACAAAACACTTTTCCTAGAAGCAAATCCTTCACAGTAAATTTAAAAAACGCACGCAACATAATCACATTTGTGTTGTGTCAGTTTGATTATGAATGTTTTTTGTTTCAGGTTTTCCTTCAGATATTTCTTGAATCAATCCATGTTTGCTCCATGTCAACAGGACACCCGCAATGTCTACCCCTACGTACGCTTCTGCAAGCCCGATGCGCCGGTGGCACCCCTGCTGGATGTGCCCTGCAAACAGAGCTGTCCGGCAGGACAACACCTAGGCCTTCCCGGGGGATCATCCATTCGTAAGTGGTTAAAAACCAGAGCTATCACCCATTTATGAATGGATAAATTATGACGACCTCGTGAATCATTGTAACTTACTAAATTTACACAGATTTATAGATGGGTGAAGAAATTAATGATATTCAAGAACCGTAGGAACATCACCCATTTTCAAGATGGGTTAAGTGTTAAGAACCCTCGTCATCACCCAGTTATGCTTGGCTTATAATGACCATTTCGCCAGGATTCATGGTAGATACTAGATATATCTATGGTCAATGTTGGTTTTAAACCAACTTGCTAGATGGTCTAGAGCCATAGTGATCACCCATTTATAGATGGGTTAAAACAAGTGAATCGGCTGTTTCGCCACCCTGGACGTCGACATGATTTTTTTCACCCTGAAAGTCAATTGCTAAAAAACGCATGGTGTTTTGCGTTTTTATTTTTGGAATCAAATGAAGGACCATCATTTTACTCCATTTAGAAAATGGATGGCGCTAATTTTTGAAATGCGCCATCTATAGACCACTTGAGGGATGGGATGTTTTGCGCCATCTATAGGTTCCCGACACGCGTGGTTGAAAACAACCTGTTTTCCTCTAGGTTAGTTTAAACTTAGTATTAAGATCTGGGGTCCATTTTCTTTTGGGAAAACCATAGCTTTGGATTGCGCCATCTATAGGTTACGCCTGCGTTCCATTTGTAAAGGGAAAGGGAAAGGAGGAGGGAAAGGAAAAAGGGAGAAAGGAGAAAGGAGAAAAAGAAAGGGAAAGGAGAAAGGGAAAGGGAAAGGGAAAAGGACAAAAAGGAGAAAAAGAAGGGGAAAGGGAAAGGAGGAAGGGAAAGGAGAAAGGAGAAAGGGGAAAGGGGAAAGGTAAAAGGGACAGGAAAAGGGGAAAGGGGGAAGGCAATGAGAAAGTTAAAGGAGACAGGAGAAAGGGGAAAGGGAAAGGGAAAGGAAAAAGGATAAGGAGGAGAAGAGAAGAAGAGGAGAAGAGAAGAAGAGGAGAAGAGGAGAAGAGGGAAGGGAAAGAAGAAAGGAAAAGGCAAAGGGAGAGGGAAAGGAGAAAGGGAAAGGAGAAAGGAGGAGGGACAGGAGCTAGGAGAAAAAGGAAAGGAGAAAGTGAAATGGGAAAGGGAAAGGAGAAGAGGAAAGGAGAAAGGAGAAAGGAGTAAGGGGAAAGGGGAAGGGGAATGAGAAAGGGAAAGGAGAAAGGAGAAAGGGGAAATGGGGAAAAGAGAAAGGGAAAGGGGAAAGGGAAAGGAGAAGGCAAAAGGAGAAGGCAAAAGGAGAAGGCACAAAGGGACAGTGAAAGGAGGAAAAGGGGAAAGGAGAAAGGGAAAGGGACAGGGAACGCGATCTTTCCATAACTGTGGATTGTGCCATCTATAGGTTACCACTGCGTTCCATTTGTAAAGGGAAAGGAAAAGGAGGAGGGAAAGGAGAAAGGAGAAAGGGAAAGGGGAAAGAGAAAGGGACAGGGGAAAGGGAAAGGAGAACGGGAAAGGGAAAGGAGGAAGGGAAAGGGGAAAGGGAAAGGAGACAGGGAAAGGAGAAAGGGAAAGGAGAAAGGGGAAAGGGACAGGAGAAAGGAGAAAGGGGACAAGATTTTTTTTTGGGAAACCACAACTGTGAATTGCGCCACCTTTATGTTACCACTGCATTCCATTTGTAAAGGGAACGGGAAAGGAAGAGGGAAAGGAAACAAGGAGAAAGGAGAGGGGAGAAAGGGAAAGGGAAAAGAAGAAAGGGACAGGGGAAAGGGAAAGGAAAGAAAGGAGAAAAAGAAGGGGAAAGGGAAAGGAGAAAGAGAAAGGAGAAAGGAGAAAGGGAAAGGAAAAGGAGGAGGGAAAGGAGAAAGGAGAAAAGGAAAGGGGAAAGGGGAAAGGGACAGGGGAAAGGGAAAGGAGAAAGGGAAAGGAGAAAGGGAATGAAGAAAGGGAAAGGAGAAAGGGAAAGGGAAAGGGGAAAGGGAAAGGAGAAAGGAGAAAGGGGACATGATTTTTCTTTGGGAAACCACAACTGTGCTGTGGATTGCGCCATCTATAGGTTACCACTGCATTCCATCTGTACAGGAAAAGGGAAAGGAGGAGGGAAAGGAAAAACGGAGAAAGGAGCAAGGAGAAAAAGAAAGGGAAAAGGAGAAAGGGAAAGAAGAAAGTAAAAAGGAAAAAAAGGAGAAAAAGAAGGGGAAAGGAAAAGGAGAAAGGGAAAGGAGAAAGGAGAAAGGGAAAGGAAAAGGAGGAGGGAAAGGAGAAAGGAGAAAGGGAAAGGGGAAAGGAGAAAGGGACAGGGGAAAGGAGAAAGGAGCAAGGGGAAAGGGGAAAGGAGAAAGGGAAAGGAAAAGGGAAAGGAGAAAGGGAAAGGAGAAAGGGGAAAGGAGAAAGGGGACATGATTTTTCTTTAGAAAACCACAACTGTGGATTGCGCCATCTATAGGTTACCACTGCGTTCCATTTGTAAAGGGAAAGGGAAAGGAGGAGGGAAAGGAAAAAAGGAGAAAGGAGAAAGGAGAAAATGACAGGGACCGGAGAAAGGGGAAAGGGAAAGGGGAAAGGGGAAAGGAGAAAGGGACAGGGGAAACGGAAAGGATAAGGGGAAAGGGAAAGGAGAAAGGGAGAGGAGAAAGGGAAAGGAGACAGGGAAAGGAGAAAGGGAAGGGGGAAAGGGAAAAGAGAAAGGAGAAAGGGAAGGAGAAAGGGGACATGATTTTTCTTTGGGAAACCACAACTGTGGATTGCGCCATCTCTAGGTTACCACTGCATCCAAAAGTGAATTGCGCCATCTTCAGTGCACAGTTACAGTTAGAGTGTGTGTGTGTGCGTGCATATGATCTAGAATCTAGGCTCAATTGCCCAGTTTCGGTGAGTTTTTCCGGGTGAACTGTGTTATTTACAGCTCGCTGTGTGTATTTTATGTCTCCCAAAGTGAATTGCGCCATCTAAAGTGCACAGTTTGTGTGTGTGTGTGTGCGCGTGGATATGATCTAAGGTAAATTGCCCTATTTCCGCGAGTTTTGCCTGGTGAACTGTGTTATTTACAGCTCGCTGTCTGTGTATTTTATGTCTCCCAAAATGAGTTGCGCCATGTAAGTTCGCTGTGTGCATTTATGCTTCCCAAAGTGAATTGCGCCATCTACAGTGCACAGTTTGTGTGTGTGTGTGCGTGGATATGATCTAAGGTAAATTGCCCTATTTCCGTGAGTTTTGCCTGGTGAACTGTGTTATTAAATTTCACGAGCTCCTGGGATTTAGTGATTTTTAGGGAATATTGGATATCAAGGTCAAGATGCAATATTTGGTGCAGTGGGTGGCACCAAAAAACTTAAGCGTCATGGTTTGCACGGGTTTGCACTGGATCAGCCTTCCATAAATGGAAGTGGTCCAATAAATCGTTAGAAAAAATGAAACGGTCGGAAACGGTCGGAAACAGTTGGAAACGGTCGGAAACGGTCGGAAACATGATCAGGCCAAAACTTGTTCAACCAGCATTTTTTTTTAAATAAGCATTTCCGCGCAACGCCGTTTTTTTTTTTGAAGGTCCAAAGGTGTCCAAGGGGAAACGGTTGGAAACAGTCGGAGATCGCACCTTCGCGCGGCAAAAAAGACACGTTTTTACACAATTTTCAAACATTTTTCATGAACATAGCTACAAAACAACTACTTTTTTGCCGAGCGAAGGTGCGATCTCCGACTGTTTCCAACCGTTTCCCCTTGGACACCTTTGGACCTTCAAAAAAAAAACAGCGTTGCGCGGAATTGCTTATTTTAAAAAAAATGCGGGTTGAACAAATTTTGGCCTGATCATGTTTCCGACCGTTTCCGACCATTTCCGACTGTTTCCGACCGTTTCCGACCGTTTCATTTTCTCTGAACGATTTGTTGGACCACTTCCATTTATGGAAGGCTGATCCAGTGCAAACCCGTGTAAACCATGACGCTTAAGTTTTTTGGTGCCACCCACTGCACCAAATATTGCATCTTGACCTTGATATCCAATATTCCCTAAAAATCACTAAATCCCAGGAGCTCGTGAAATTTAATAAACTGTGTTAGTTACAGCTCGCTGTCTGTGTATTTTATGTCTCCCAAAATGAGTTGCGCCATGTAAGTTCGCTGTGTGCATTTATGCTTCCCAAAGTGAATTGCGCCATCTACAGTGCACAGTTTGTGTGTGTGTGGATATGATCTAGGGTAAATTGCCCTATTTCCGTGAGTTTTGCCTGGTGAACTGTGTGCGCATTTTATGTCTCCCAAAGTGAATCGCGCCATCTACAGTGCATGGTTAGTGTGTGTGTGTGTGTGCGTGCATGTGATCTAGGGTGGATTGCCTTGTGTCTTTTTTGCCTCCCAAAATGCATTGCGCCATCTACAGTGGGCAGTTAGTGTGTGTGTGTGAGCCACATGGCTTTGAATATGGCTGCATTGAGTTGGAACATGGCAGCTCCACCGGCAGTAGCCCTGGTGCAAAATTTGGTGAGAATCAAAAGAAAAAGAAAGCAATCGCTATTTACCAAATGTGATGCTATTCGGGGTTGCGCCATCTGCCAAAAATAACGATTTTAGGGCCAGGCTGCGCCATCTACCGTCGTTTTTTTTTTTTGCGCCATGTATTTTCTACGCGGTGTATACTGCGTGGGCCAATTCAAAATGAACGAAATAGTACTTCGCTGAGGCGAAACTACCATGTTTTGATCACATCCGGAAAAACAAAAAATGTAAATGTGTGTTGATGTGACGCATCATAGCCAGCGTGGGTCAAGAACCTCTTTTCTCAACTCTGCCACAAGCATTCGGGAAGTTCTTGTGAGATCGGATTCATGTTGCCATAGCATGGAACATTATAACCATCACGCAGGGCACAGGAACGCTATTAGCCTACCCCACCCCACTCCGCTGTAACATGACAAAAACATACCTTGCACAACATCCAATTACACAGCAAGATGACAGATGAAAAAAACATGTCAACCCTTCTGGGGCGGCGAGTCGGCTGATACCCTAAAGCAAGGCTATGGCGCGGTTAGCGACCCGGGGTAATTCATGGATTTTTCATGATGCTTGGTTCACCAAATCATGGTATTGGCAAGGTTTTGTAAAAATGTGATAAAAACGTCAAGTCGTAGTTACACTGGGGCCAACTACCAAAAGTGCGTTTCGTGCGGAACGTTCATCGATTTTCAATACGTCTGAAAAGAATTATTGTTTTTTTTTTGTTTTGTTGGACAGACTCAGCTACATCTGATCACCAGTCATTCAGCAAAAACAAATTCAACTCACCCTTGCACATGACGTCAGTTGTGCATGTGACGCAAGTTAACATGAACGTTAACATCCCCACCCCACCCCAACCCAGTGACGTGACGTCAGTTGTGCATGTGACGCAAGTTAACATGAACGTTAACATCCCCACCCCACCCCAACCCAGTGACGTGACGTCAGTTGTGCATGTGACGCAAGTTAACATGAACGTTAACATCCCCACCCCACCCCAACCCAGTGACGTGACGTCAGTTGCGCATGCATCAATTTCAGGAGCAACTTGCATCCAATCAGCAAAAATGACAAAAACGCAGGGGTCGTTAATGGCGCCGTAGGCTAAAACGACCAATGATATCACATGTTATCACCCATTTATAGAGGATTAAACGGTTAAACCATGATCCAGCCACATCACCCTCTTTCGGCGCTGGGTTAGTCCACGAATACAGGGGGTTTGCTAACATCTGACCAGGATTATTTCAGGGGCTGATGTAGGGGGATGCAAGTCTGGATGGATTCCGGGGGGCTTCTTCGAAGCTGAAAAGATGAATTTTGCCACTTAGAAGCTCTTAGAAGCAGAAGGGTTCTAAGAAGCTAAACATACAATTTAAATCAAAAAGAAAACTTATCTTCTAAGAAGGCCTCTACTTCTAAGAGGCTGCTTCTAAGAAGCAAAACCCTTCTAAGAAGCCCATGCAGCTTCTAAGTGCTTCCGCGAAGCAAAAAACGCATCCATCCCGCGTTCCCACCAGAACTGCGTCCCCTTAGATTGGGCCCTCATTATTAACTTATCAAGCGGAGTGATTTGATCCTCCAAGTGCAAGGGAGTGTTGCTGTATCAATGGTTTTTGTTTAAATGTTGTGTATCTATGTATGTGTTTAATTTATATTGCTGGAGTATGCGTACATGTATAATGGCAAATCGCAGCGTTTACATTTATGACATGTAGGTAGGCATTTTTGCACACAACATCCGGAGGCCCTAATTCAGATGGTAAGGCCTATGTCAGCATCAGTTTTGATACTCTCTCCACCAAAAAATTGATCCTTCAGCTCCCCAAAATCCGAAGTGTTTGCCTTCGGCCTTCCTTTTCCCCCAAAAAAGTGTTAATCATTTCTTTGGACAAATCTACAATAGACAATAATATATTATTCCATTGCCTTTCTTTTGTGTTGTTCCTCGCAATCCTGCGATTCCAGGGTTTCTACAGAGGAAAATCAGCCCATTCCTATCCTATCGCAGGGGTCAAGATGAAGAATTCCAGAGCGCAGCTGCAATGTATCGACTGCCCCGCTGGGAAGTTCTCTCTTGGTGGAGGCCGATGGTTAGCTGGTTAGCGGCTTTTATGCTCGTATGGAGGTTCCCTAAAATGGGGATACCCCTAAAACATCCATTTTGATAGGATGTTCCATGATAAACCATCCGGCTATTGAGGACACCATTTTAGGAAACTTCCATATCCCTATCAATATCCCCTAAGATCCCGAAAAATGGACCCGAAAACAGCACCATGGATCTGCGAGCTGAGATCCTCATGAATGTACGGTGGTAGAGAGTACAGTATGCAGTACAGAAATGTACAATATATAGACGTATATATACATAATCATACATATACACACATATTGTACGCACATTAGCATTTATGCACAGACATTGTGTGTAGTATATATATATACACAAATTCTATGCATATCTCAGTATATCCATGTACGTATAGCGATGTTTTCAGATTGAATTAGTAACCCCAAGAACGATAGAAAGGTATTTTGTCACTATTTTGGTATGAGTTCACTTCTCTATCTTTTTGGGATTGTTATATCCGAACTATATTTGTGTGTAATGTATATTTCTACAATGTGTATTTCTGTTGTGTATAATCTGTACTAGTATTTCTATTAGTGTGTATTTATTTGGTGTATATTTTGGTATGAATTCTATTCTTGTGGGGTGGTGATTTTCATGAATAGAACTGCAGATATAGATAAATATGTCTATATGTTTAGTATGAGTTCATTTGCTTTCCCTATTAATTCTAAAATATATTGTTGTTATTATTCACAACATTAACTAAATATAAACATATATTGATACACTTTTCCGGACTACCTATTATACTATACAATTATTCAATAGTACAATAGTTCTATCATTACGGCTATTCTATGAATTAACATGAATTAACAATACACTAATTGACAATTCACTGATATCCTATTGACAATTTTGTGATAGTTAATCATCAGTTCATAGTTTGTTCTTAATTATCAGTGAACAAATTACGCCATTCTTCTTAGCAAAAAGCATTTGCTAATTACTTTTTATACTTATGTATCTTATAATCTTATAACTTATACCAGGATTATTATCTAAAGTTATTTGCTAATGACTTTTTTATACACTAATATTGGTTCAACATATGCCGTACGAAGAAAAAACGACTTGTTGTTGAGGTTTGCTGATTTCTGGTGTGGCCGGCGACTGGCACAAGAGCTGGCCGGAAGCATGGCCGAAAGGGTGGGTCCTTCATGGTCCTTCTGGCGCTGCCCTGGGAGCCACGGATGGTTCGTTAAACATCGATAAAAATGTGATATGAAAAGTTTCAGAAATCAGGATTTAAGATGATTTAAGCTGATTTGAACAGTTTGAGAATTGGTTTGATAGTGAAGAAAATTGGAGTTCGCACCATTGAATCCGGACAAGGGATGGTTAGTTGGTGGTCAAGATGGTGCCAGACCAACGGCTCTCTTGAAGATCATGAACAAATCCGATATGGGCAGCTATCAACTAACTATTTCACATTGGAATATTAATACAATTTATATCCAGCAAAAAACCAGTAAAGGTAGTTGGAGATCTATTGGTTCCGGAAAGCCGTATCAAAGAACCAGTACAAGGGGAGCACTGTTTCGTAGGGAGCCAGCGACTTTGAATGTGACGGAAAGCATGGGGTAGCGCTCTCCAAACAATCTGAATATATGCGGTAAACCCAATGTCATAAACCTCCCATTTGAGGATCCGTTACACCACCCACTTATGACAAATCATTGGGGATGCTTCATGATGAATTAATGGGTCTACCACATTCTCAACTCTCAACCAACAGAAATGAGGATTTGATCTTGTTGAAATTGCAAGAATTAGTAATATGGTCCAGAAGTGCTGGGTAAATTGTTGCCCATTGTCTAATCACAAGCACAGGTGAGAATGAAAATTGCCAAGACAACCATGAAATCGCTGATGGAACCACTGATAGGATCCTGGAAATCATTAAACGGATAACGGATGATGTGTAATATGTCGTAAAGGGGTCATGACCCTAGATTATTTGCGTTATGTCTAGTCTAGAGGTTTTTATAGCCGAATCTTCGTACATCCCCATGTTTGCTGGTCATCTCCCCTTTCGTGTTGGTGATATCCCCTTGGACCCAAACCGCAGCGATTGTCTTGATCAAAGTGAGGTTGGCCTGCGCAGTAGCTGCTCTTATCAACTTCCAGACGGCAGCATGCAGCATGGGAAAGGCTGGGCAGTATACATATATAACACATACAGTAACACACACGGGTATATATATATATATATCTATAATTATATATATATATATCTATAATTATATATATATAATTATATATATATATCTATCATTATATATATATATATCTTTAATTATATATATATCTATAATTATATATATATGTCTAATTATATATATATGTATAATTATATATATATGTATATATATATATAAAGGAGACCGTGACCGCTGGTTGGCTGGTTGGTGGTTGCAGCTTCAATTCAAGGCTTTCACATAGCGTTGGTATTTTTGGAAGAATCAACCCGATTGATTTGGGCTTGTCTCCACATGGAATTTAGGGATTCAAATTTGGAGATGACCCCATTCTGCAAAATGATACATGCCCACATCCTTACCATTGTTTAGCATCGCCCAAAGTATTGCCTTTCTAGAACGTCTCAGAATTCATGACACCCCCCTCTGTCTTGTTGGTCATAATGCCTCACATTCTTGCTGCTTCAGGATCCAAAAATGGAGGTTGTCTCAAAATTGGGGAGCCCAAATATCGCTTGACGCCAGGTAGCACTACCGGCCTCAGTGGCACATGCGAAATGCAAATCTTGGCACCCGAGGCAGTCGCCGGAAAGTGCGCTGGGAGCCAGTTGATTTTGGGAAGTGGGGATAAGTCAGAAGTGTGTGGATCATCTAAATGTGGGTGTATCCAATTTGAAGCCATACCATTTTCTTATTTTCTTTCAAGTGGTCGTGAAAAGGGGTAAAAGCTGGCTACTAAATGAGCTGCGATCCAGGGCCTTGCAGCTCTCAGGTGGGCTCGTACGTACCGTTTGAAGTTTCAGGCCCTTCGCCTGAAAACAGGGTAATGTGGGTAAAACAATGCCATAAACCACCCATGACTGGGAATGGTAACCATACCACCTGTAAAAATGGTGATGAAATGTGATGAATGGGGGATGGTGCAAGTGCAAAATGGCATTGGGAATTACCCAAATCCCATGATGGAAATTGTCTGATTCATTGAACAAAGATGATTGTCTCAAAATTTGGATCCCAGAAAGCCCATCCATTGTTTGCTATTTAAGTTGGGTAGTAGCCCCCAGTCTGACACACACCCACAAAAGCTCCAGTTGTTTGTGGATTTCATGATACTTCATGCTGACAAGATCCCAGCCAGCAGGTTTAATCCTCCTGAATCTGTTCCAGGATGAATCACCATTTCCATCCATGTTCCATTTATTGCGGATGAAGAAACATCGGACAAAATTGGATGATCCCATTGTTGGTGGTGATTTTTTTCCTCGTATTCTTGCTGATCTTTTTGTTGTAGCCAGTATTTCTATGCAGGGTGGCGCCCCAGTTCGTTAGCTAAGTTGGTTTATAAGTCCAATAACTATGGTTTATAGATGATATGTCTATAGTTCATGGGATTATAACCTATTTATAATTGGGACCACCACGCTGTGTATTTCTTGCATTTGTTCGACGAAACTTGTGGATCTTGTATTTCCCCGTTCAAGGTGGTGCCCCCAGTTGAGAGTTGGTAAACTCATCTAACTATAGATATACCCTCTGCTTATGGCTAACATAGCCATGGTATAGATGGCCCATAGAAATAGATAGCTTACCTATTAATAGCATGGTGGATCTTTCCATGGCTATGTGAGTCATAACCAGATGGTAATAAATAAAAATAAATATATCCCCATTAGATATACGTATATATACATATATATATAATATTTATATTTACATATGTATATATATATATATATTTGATATACTATATATATATATTTGATATACTATAGATACATCTACCATAAGCCCAATCATTAACTCACTGAACTCATCCAACTGAGCAATTCTGACCTGCGACACCTCGGAGCGAATTTCTCGTTCTTCACAAAGAAACTTGGATAGTGTTGGTCATACAATGTCATACATCAAAAATCCCCACTATATCCTGATTTTTCCAGTTAAATATATACATTTTTTTTGATGGTATATAATTAAATCATTCCATTTCCAGTGGTTGGTTACACACATCATATACCAATAAGAACCCCAGTTATATCCCCTTATACCCTATTGTATCCGACAAAAAATCTCAATAGCAATCCCAATTAAATCCACTAAATTTCAGTGAATCCAACATCTTCCCAGGTAGATTACAATGAAATCCCATTATATCCCCGGAAAATCCACTATAGCCCAATCAAATCCCAACAACAATTCCAAATTTAGATCTCCTGGTATCCCCATCATATGGTCACAATTCACCATTATTTATTACCATCTGGTTATGACTCACAGTTCGCCATGGGAAGATCCACCATGCTATTAATAGGTAAACCATCTATTTCTATGGGCCATCTATACCATGGCTATGTTAGTCATAACCAGAGGGTATATTAATAGTAATGGTGGTTGTACAGGGTGGTATCCCAATAGCTGGTTGGTTTATTTCATGGAAAATCACCTCTATAAATGGATGATTTAGGGATACCCCCATTTCAGGATATTCACATTATTGTATATCTATAGTTAAATAACCAGAGGGTATATTATAAATAGGTTATAATCCCATTAACTATAGACATATCACCTATAAACCATAGTTATTGGACTTATAAACCAACTTAGCTAACGAACTGGGGCGCCACCCTGCATAGAAATCCTGGCTACAACAAAAAGATCAGCAAGAATACGAGGAAAAAAATCACTATCAACAATGGGATCATCCAAAAAAATCACCTATAAACCATAGTTATTCTCCCTTCTAAGAGGTATATCCCATTAAATCCCATTAAACCACCATAAAAAGTCTTTAAACCACCATTTTCCTATGGTTTTCCTATGGTAAATTCTAAGAATCCTCATTTTTCCAGCCGAAGGTACCTGATCCGCGCCCTCCTTCCCGCCCGCCCCGCGCGGGCTGGGCGTCTGCAAGCGCCCGTGGCGCGGTTGCTGCTGGCGCCGGGGGATCGACGCCTCTGCGGCTTGGGCCGGGCGATGTGGTTCCCAAAACATGTTGGGATTTAATGGGAATATATGGGAATATATGGGATAATATGGGAATATATAGGATACAAGAAATGATGGATTGTACACCCAGCTCGCGGGCGATGGCTTGTTTTCAATGGGATTTTATGATTCACTGTTATCAACAGTTAGATGATATGTTGGATTGTTTTCCATAAGGGTCTAGCTGATATTGGGGTACGGTATACCCCCAAATATAGCCATTGAATGGAACATTATGATTACCCACCAAATATTGGTGTACCCTATTTTCAGGCAAATCGATTCAACATGGATTTTTTGATTGATGGGTAGATGGGACATTAACGGGGATATCATGGAATGTGCAACCAACTGTATATAGTGAAACTTGGACTATATACCATGATATACCCATATTGGTGGACGGTCATCAAGCCATGAGCCGATAGGGATTTAGATTAGCCGCTAAGCCGATTATGTTTGGATGCCCATTGTGGATGGATGAACCATAAAGCATACACCATGTTTGACCCTGGCACACATATGCATGCAGATATATAATTAATTATATGATCATATATAATCATATATAATCAGATATAATCAGGTATAATCATATTTTATCAGATATAATCAGATATAATCACATATAATCACATATAATCACATATAACCACATATAATCGCGTATAGTCACATATAATCACATATAATCACATATAATAACATATAGTCATATATAATCATATATAATCAGGTATAATCAGATATAATCACATATAATCAGATATAATCAGAGATAATCAGAGATAATCAGATATAATCATATATAATCATATATAAAATCATTTATAATCATATATAATCAGATATAATCAGATATAATCATATATAATCAGGTATAATCAGATATAATCACATATAATCAGATATAATCATTTATAATCAGATATAATCATATATAATCATATATAAAATCATTTATAATCATATATAATCAGATATAATCATATATAATCATATATAATCATATACAAAATCATTTATAATCAGATATAATCATTTATAATCAGATATAATCATATATAATCATATATAATCATTTATAATCATATAAAACCCCTTTATATATATATGTAAATGCATAAAGTTACGGGTCGCTATCCCCAAATGGCCAAACTTGAGGTCAGTGAATTGTTTTGATTTATCTAGATATATGGGCTTATATAATCGTTGAATCGTTGCAAGGATGGGGGCTAAACCAGCCGTAAATGGTGAACTGAACCAAAAACCAGAGGAAAGAACAACAATGAACAATGGTGTGTGTATATGATTATATATATGTATATTATACATTTGGATCTGTTTTTACAATGCGAACTTTCGTGTATTTTTCACAAATTTGGGAAACATGGGAATTAATTGCAATATTTGGCGAATGAAGAAAATTAGGTTTTGGACTAGGGGATTGGGGGTTTCTGAATTTTGAGACAACCCTCTTTTTGCCATCAACCACCTGCGAGTCCTCAGCAGCAAAAAATGTGGATTTATGGCCGCCAAAGACTATCAAGCGTAGTATGCAATGTGTGCACGCAGTAAAAGACGAGCAGCAATGGGAATGTCAACCAGTCTTTAAAAAAACACTGGATATTGACAGAAAAAGGGCGTGACGAACAGCAGAATTTGAGAAGACAAACGATTGATTTTGGGAAAATTAGTCAAACTATTCTAGATTTTATACCACAATAAGTCAGGATACTTGGCCACGAAGAATGGAGGATAGAAGCAGCAACAATTTAGCGATTTTTAGCCAACTTGACGAGCCCCGGCTTGGGTCCATTGACTTGTTGGCATAGCTGTACATTTGGTGGCATTGATCAAACCAAATGCAACAACGATGGAGATGCAACAAAATCTGGAGAAAATCATAGCAACCTTGACCGACTTTTTTTCATGTTTTTTTCACATCGACCCAATTATATAGATGTCCATTGTATCCTGTTCTATCCTTATTTAATATCCCATGATGGTTAGAAATTGTCTCAGATTTCTTTCCACCACTAAGATTGTAGTTTTGGGGTGTCCCCCATTGTCAGACCGCCAACAAAAAGGTACCCGCCCCAAGCGATCGGAGCTCTCTGCTTTTGGGCACCCGCGGCTCTTGCAGTCGAAAACACGGCAGCGGCCGATGAATGGTCGCGGGCCCGGTGGTCCACATGCGCAGGCGATGGCCGGCACAGGGGCCCCTAAATCGACTGCCTTGTTATGCTTAGTCATCATGTTCCATTCTTGGGGGTCTCCATTTTCAGACACACCTCTATATATACGTATATATAGTATATATAAATTGATTATATAGTCATGGATTTCAACAAAAAAATCAACCCTTTGTGGGACATCTGTCAGGCAGCGCCGCTCTTCCGGCACTTTTGGCTGTTGGCGGTGATGGGCGGTTGCCCCATCAGCACCAAAGCCAGCGCGGCGGCAGCCATTGGCGCAGAAGGTGGTATGGGTCAAGTCCTTCGGGTACCACTATGGCCAGAAAATTGACATGATGGAGACATCATATACATATCATATGTATATATATATGTGTGTATATGTATGTGTGTATATATATATACATACTTGTATTTGCATGATTCTGAAAAAATCCCAGATGAGAGCCTATTGGCCCAGCTACAAGTCTGATGAGATGCTGATTAGTAATTAGTGTGTCCAACAACTGGGTAGCACCCCAAGATCCAATCGGATTGGTTGCTTGGAGATCCCGGAAATGGTTCCTGGGGGAAGATCAAAATCTGCCATTTGTCACACCTGAAAATCTGCAGGACCTGATTTTTCAGTGGTTAAAAACATTTAAACATCCATGGATTCCTGATTTTGAATGCTAACAATCCATCTTAAAAAAGACAACAGCTCCATAGGACCTCGCCAGGTGTTTTGCTCGCAGCTCCAGCTGCTGTGGCCTTTGGTGCGGGCGACATGTACCGGCCGCCGATGCTTGCAGGAGAAGTTGGAGCCATGTTTTGGTACAAATAAGCCATGAAACATAGCATTTTAATGGGGGATGTACCCACCAAATGTGGGTTTTAAGCCGCAAGAAATGTACATGATGGTTGGTTGGCCATGAACTAGTGGGCTGTTGACCGGCTTGGTTTATTGGGAATGTTGAAACATGTTGAAACTATTTGAACCTGTTTGAAACTGTTGGAACCCATAACTGGAATTCCTATTCACGAACCAGCTCAATGGGATGGGAACTAGGTGCATTTTTCATGGCTCGAATGGGTTCAACATGGTACTCGCACCTGGCGATGGGAAATCCCCTGCATCTGATAAATTTCCCATTGAACAGGGGTGCTCCAATCTATGAAAGCCACGAAGGGGGGAAACTGTGTTATCTTGCCTCGTTATCCAACCATATTCCCGTATATTTAAGGGGTGTTCGGTGTTGAGAGCAACCCTGTTGCGGGGTTTTGTCTTCTTCAAGCCACTGGCGGGAATAGCTCTTAACTCAGTATTGTAAATCGCTGACAGTTGATTTGTGGAATATGATCCAAATTTATCCAAATTTATGGTTTGATGACATAGGATTAAAGTTTTACTGTTTCAGACCATTTGGGAAGTCCCTCTAAGGGGGACACCCTGAGTTCTGTGAAACCGGGAAGCCAATCTTTGCACTCTAGTACTGGCAGGTGTTTATGCATTTTAGATCTAGTACCTTGAGACATCATCTTCGTTGGACCTGAAATGAATGAACAATCCAGTCATACCCCCAATTATATAACAAGTTCGATATATCACCTATTCGTAATGAAATAGTAGACAACTTACCTAACGAACTGCCGCACATTATAAGATGGCCATGACGTGGGGGTATCTTCAGTTGTTAATCATAATTCGCAACATAAACAATGGCAAAATTGTATGGAGTTAAGCCCCTATTTTAACATATTTTAAACACACCAATATCATATTGTTCGTGATGTCCCCTAATGATACACGCACTATATCATACTATATCACCATTTTCCCCAGTGGATTCCCAATTCATTCTGGATGGTAAATTCACCATGGTTTACATTACTAGATGAAGAATGATGAAGATGACAAATTTCTTTACATGTCTTACCCAACTGAGGGAATCATAAAGTTCTCAAGTTAGGCTAGCAACTTAACTCCGCTGGTTAATCAGCATTTTCCGTATTACAGAAAGTGTCCATGTATGGGGGTATACTGACCATTTTCAGACACCCATTTATCATATCATATTGTTGACATATTGTTGACATATTTCTACTACATCCAAGTTACATCGCCATTGCCCCCAGTTAAATCCCAATCAGCAATGTTTCAATCCACCATGGTTGACATCACTACTCTGTGGAAATCAAACACGACAATCGTTTCAAAGTCCCCATTTCGCACGATAATTTCAGCAGCACCAAGAACCTCATGGGGACTTCAGCGGGATTTCCCAGCGGCCATGATGACACTTCAGGGTAGATCTTCAGACCCCCGGCTCCGAGGAACCGCAGCGGCACGCGAAACATGAACCTCACACGCCTGGCAGCGAGCTTTGTGATGCTGGAGGATCGGGATTCTCAACTGCTGGCCTCGGGTTGCTTGGTTCCTTGATGCTGCTGCTTTACCCGATACAAAAAATGATGGATTTACCTGAACTAGATGGGATTTAACTGGAATTTGATTCGGATATCATGGGATGTTTTTTCGGACACAATGGGATACAATGTGGTTTTAAGGTGATTTTTGTTGGGATTTTTATTGGGGTGTAATGGGATTTACTGGGACTTTTATTGTGATGATTATTTGGATAGGGATGCAGTAATGTGTAACCAACCATTTGGAATGGGATGATTTACCATATAACAATGGGATTCAAATAGCAACGAATGATATCATGGCGATATAACGGGATATATTTATATGTATCATATAACATAATATAATATGATTAATGTTTATATATTAAAATGCTTTATATTATATTATGTTCTATTAATTAAACTAGATTAAACTATATTAAACTATATTAAACTATATTATATTATATTATACTATATTGTATTATATCATATGTTATATTATGTTATGATATGTTATCTTATATTATATTCTATTCTGTTATATTATGTCATATGTTATTATATTATATTATATTATATTTTATTCTATACTATTTATATATGTCACAAGACATCAGAAATGCTTCGTAGGCCCAGAAAAAATGATCCAAAAACCATGGGGAACATGTTTTTTTTTTGTTTTGTTTTTTCACCTCGGTCAAGCCAGAGAGGGGGAAAACACAGCCACTGCTCCCCTGTGATCCATGGGGAATCTCCGAAGGAAATGGAGGTTTCATGTTTCACTAACAATAGATCAATGGAGGTTTTATGTATAATTGGGGCATTTTCCCATGGCTATGTTAGTTTGCTGGAGTTTAAAATGGGTATTCTGTGAAGTATTTTGCGGCAGACCAGACGTTTGCCGGTGACGGATCTCGCTTATCCTTTGACAAATCCCTTTGTAGGGTCTCTGTTTTTGATGTCAATAGCAGCAAATCTCAAACAATAAACAACTTAACCCTGAAACACGAAACCTAAAGCTTAGTTAGAAGCATAAGGTCAAAATCACCACGTAGAGCCAATGTTTTCCTTCATCCTTTCGTCACAAATACATAAGAATCACATTGTTATGTTTTGGTGTACATAAGATGTGGGGTTGGGCGAACGTCTGGCTTGGTGCGAAGTATTTGAGAATCAATTTTGGGGTCGGTGATTTCGATCCAGATGTGGCTTGGTTGGCGGGTCGTGGCAACTGCCACACTGACATTCAAGACTTGGACAATTTCTAGACTCCTCGACTTCTGTGGGCTCAAAACCCACAGTTACCAGCATGAGGTTTTGTCTAATCAGTCTAATCAGACTAGATGATAGCATATATTGATAACAAATGACCACGATCATCATGATGAACCACCGCAGGTCAACAAGATCCAAATGGACCCCTGGCCCAACTTGGCCGACTTTGGCACTGCTAAGGCATTAGTACCTTGCAGGAAGGCATCCTGATCAACAACACGGCGCCGCGGAGCGAGATGGGGATCACCCATGAATCTATTCAGTTGATGGTCAGAACCACATCGTCAACCACATAAATCATCATAAAACCATCAGACAAAAACAACAACTGATTTCTACAAAACATTACAAACCACTATCTATAAATATATATATATATATACATACACAAACTATATATATACGTATATAAGTTATATAAGTATATATATATACTATATTAAACTATATAATACACACATATTTAAACCATTATACACTCAGGCGATGCACGCCTGTGCTGCGGTGAAGCCGGCAGCACGGCGGCCACGGACGCCGGTGACGCCAGGGCTGGGCGCGGAGCCCGTAGAGTGGGGCGACCCAATGGAGGATCAATGGATTTTGTTCCCAAAAATGGATCTATGAAAAGGGCAGACATAGGGAAAACATGGATCGAATTTGGACAAATTCCTAACTTTTCGATTTTGGTTTGAACTTGGAAGATGGATTTTTTTGTGGAATTTTTCGGGGGATGCTGGTGTTTTTGGGGTATCATGGGTGAAATTGTGAGGGTGTAAGAGTTTGGCCAAATGTAAATTCCGGCAGAATGATTGGTCTAGTACTGATTCTGCTCATTTTTCACAACCCCCCCTAGTTAGGGTTTATTCTTAGAGAGTTATTACTGTGACGAAGATGATCCCATTACAACCATCCACTATGAACAGACCATCGTTTGACGATCCCAGATCCGGGATCCCTAGCCTTATCCAATCTGATCCAAGGTTCGGTTGTGAACCTTGGGTCCCGGATGAGTTGGGCACAAGTATCCATTCAGGAGCCGCCTGAGCAGCTGGGCCATGAGATTTTCCAGTTGACTACAACCGAAGTGAAAGATTTCGGATGGACATGTTTTTTATTATCATGTTTTAATGTATCTTAGTCTTATTCTTGATTTTTCTTGATCAAGTCTCAAACTTTTGATGCTTTCAGAAGAGAGAACACGGAACAAAGGTGACACAGGGAGGGTTGGAAAAAATTGGCAAAAAAACATTAGGTACCCCAAAAAAATGACGCTTAATGATGGTTAATGATGGTTAATTAATGCTGAACATATCTGAACGTGACATTTCGTTTGCTGTGGGTTTTGGATGGTTTTGGTGTCAAACAGATTCATGCCAGTACCTTCTAAAGGAACAAAATGAACCTTGCAGTCCTTGTGAAATCAAGCCTAAGCTCCTCGCTTGCCTTTGCATCTTCCGTAATCCCAAGGAAGGCACTTGGTGATTTCCACCTCTTCGTGTGAACCTTCCGCACCTCTGAATAGCCTCCAGTAATTCAACAGGCGCTGGAAAATCCCATGGAAAATCCCCCGAGGCTTAGTTGGATGATTTTTCCATGACCTCCCAGATCCAACCAGCAATGTTTGATTGCCAAAGGGTAAACGGATAGGAAGTGTTACGAGATTCTATCGGCTATTGACAAATATATGTATATATAATATTATATAAGTATATAACTGGTGGACATATTATAATAAGTGGGATAATAGTATTATATACGTATATTATTATTATTATTATCATTATTATTATTATAAGAAGTGGGATATTCTCAACTGGTGGACCCACAGGGATTTAGGCATGGTGACACGTGACCACTTGAGTGGAATGCTCCAGGAGAGAACCGCAACTTCAATCGAGTTGTTTCTTGCAGTCAGAAGGGGTGGTTAAAAACCGAGGGATCGTCATCCCGCTATGTATGGCTATATGATGTTATACCCTAACATAGCTGTGGAAAATCACAATGTTTAATGGGTAATTCCACTATAAATGGCTATTTTCAATAGCTATGTTTGTTTACCAGAGGGTATATAATGCTATATGTGGCTATCTTTATAGGGACAATGATGCAAAATGATGATCAATCATGGATGATGCCAATGTTTTGGGGTCACCTGCCCCCGCTGAGAACCGTGGGGGCAGGTGGATCTTAGAGATATCTGGTTCTAACAGAACCGTTGTTGGTTTCCAGAAGTCTGATACAATCCTCCAAGGGCCAACATTTATGGTTGTTCCTAGACTATACTTTCCTACACAGCTTGAGTTTTTTTTCCCCCTGCAGAGTCCAAGGTGGACTAAAAACTTTCTGTTTTTTTTTGGCTCCGTTGGAAGGGGTACTACCCGTATTGGCTTATTCCTGGAGTGGTTGGTGGTTTGGAACATGGCTTTTATTTGTCCATATATTGGGAAGTTCGTAACCCCAACCGACGATGCTTGGATGATCCCAGTGGATCCCGTCGTCGATCAGTCCCGTCATGTTTATTCAGAAGGGCCCAACAAAGAGTGTTCGACATTCAGCATGTTGGTTGATGGTTTGGAGGGTTACCCTCTGGTAATTTAACATAGCTATGGAAAATGTACCATTTATAGTTGATTCACCCATTCAAAATGGTGATTTCCAATAGCTATGTTAATTTACCAGAGGGTATACTATCCAAAAAAAAAATTGGATATCAACATATCCAATATCTAGTGGAGATCATCAGAATCCAGGAACTGGGAATCTGAATGGATGGTGCCTCGGTTGTGCACGCGAAAACCGACTCGGTTGTGCACGCGAAAAACAACTCAGTTGTGCACGCGGATGCTGCTGCTGCTGATGATGATGACGATGATGATGATGATGATGATGACGATGACGATGATGATGATGATGCTGATGATGATGATGATGATGACGACGATGATGCTGATGATGATGACGATGATGATGACGATGACGATGACGATGATGATGATGATGATGATGATGATGACGATGACGATGATGATGCATTCGCGACCTTGGATTTCAGCTGTGCTGTGTTTTCATGTCAGTCGTTTTGCACTTTTGTTATTTATATATATATATAATATAACGCGACGGTTGATATATTGTTTATAAATACCGTGGCGATAGCCTCACGTTAGGTAAATATAGAACGGCGCGACCGCGACTAGATTTGTAATTGTTGAGCGGGTGTTCATTATCCGGAGTGCTTCATTTACGTTATTACCCCGCCCCACCCCACCCCACCGGTAACTGATCATGAATGAGCAGTGCCTGTGTCTGCTGGACAGCAAGAAAGATGATAAGGTTGCTGTGCCTGTGTGTGCACAGGAACATGAACGTTATTACCCCACCCCAACCCACCGGTAACTGATCATGAATGAGCAGTGCCTGTGTCTGCTGGACAGCAAGAAGATGATAAGGTTGCTGTGCCTGTGTGTGCACAGGAACATGAACGTTATTACCCCACCCCAACCCAACCCACCATTAATCTCATCAGGTGCCTGTGTCTGCTGAACAGCAAGAAAGATAATGACGTTAACGAGCCCCACCCCATCCCCCGAAGGCTCTGTGTGTATAACTTGGACACTTTTGTGCGCCAAGTGAGTCAGAATCCTGTGCGCGCCGCTGAGTCAATTTTGTATGCGCGAGTGATTCGCCGTCCAATCTTGAATGGACTGACATTTCTCAGAGAACCAAATCAGCAGGGCTTCCAGCGTAGCAGGGCTATGGGTGGTGAAACACACGTTTTCCACCCGAGCACTGATACAAAACAAGAAATAGCCGTTATGTGCGAAAGTACTTGTCCCGTGGTCATGGCAGATGCCCATTTACAATTAGGGCGGGACAAACAAATCTTGCTTCCCTTAGGCTCACTTTTCTGCTTAGTTTCAACTTTTTTGGAATGTGTAGAATGAGAAGAGGCCTCGGACGGTGCAAGCTAAATGATGGTGGACACAACGTTTGGGGGTCATTAGGCCATCGTCGTCCGCGGGTGTCTTCGAGTCGGCTATGAACCAGCTAGTTTTTGGCATTGTTCCCGACAGAAGTGGACACAGAAGACAGCGCGGCAAGCTCAACAGTATATAAATGTATACTATGTTCATTGATCATGTGGTTGTCCGTGTGTGAGGCCCTGAAAAGGTTTTTAAGTTTTATCTTTCTAGGTGCTGGGAGAAACGCTCTATTTCTTGCCATCAGCATGTGACGATTTCTTCTTTTGAAAGATTCTTCTTCTCCCGGTGAAAGGATTCCTCCTTCCCGGCGCCGGGTTGGGAGGATTCTCTTTTTCCCGGCGCCGGGTCTCCCTCCCGGCGCCGGCTCTCCTCCCGGCGCCGGCTGAAGCCTTCCTCCTTTCCCAGTGCGGGGTGGAAGCTTTCTTCTCTTGCTGGCAGAAAGACCAGCAACCGCGGCGACATACTGACAACCGTGGCTGGATTACACCCACACCCAGTGGCTGCGTGGCTTTTGAACATCCCAATTCGTTGTCACCGTTGGTTTGTCAGATCCCCTTTCTCATATTTGTTCCCGTTAATTATTACCATGCTATTCCCATTAGATCCTTCAGTTACCACTTACCATCTACTGGACGGAACCATGGATTGTTTTCCTATGATGATAGATGATAACTAATGGTACTGTAGTAACTCTATAATAATAAGTAGTAATAATAATAACCATATTTACACATATATATATAATATGTATCCAATGGATTCTAATGGTAGATCCAATGATCACATATTATAACCTAAGTTAGCCATTAGAATTAGATCATCGATTCACTGGATGATCTTCTAGGAATCCCTTAGGTTTCCACGCTGGAGCTCATGGTCAACATCGTCCGCGAGCACGGCCCTGGACCCAGGGGACCCAGGACATCCCAGGACCAAGAAGGATATTGCTGGGGATATGCTGGGGAACAAAAAAAACATGATCAACATGGGGAGATGGGGGTTTCCATAGGTGTACCTCAAAATTGGATGGTTTGTAATGGAACATCCATCTATAAATGGATGATTTAGGAGTACCCCCCATTTTAGGAAACCTCCATTTTGCTAGGGAGAATCATTTCTCCAGGTTTCACCTGATGTTTCACTGTCAGACATTTCCCGATGGGAAGTTGAGCGAAAAAACATTGACGACAGAGGATCCTGTCAGCGACTCATTGCCCGAATTGATGGAACGAGTTTTTGATCGTCAACAAACCGGAGTCCTTGATTGAGACTACACTGACTACACAAACACAATCAAATGTAGCCAAGAAATGCCAAGAAAACATGGGTAACATGGGTAGCATGGGATACTGATGGATACTTGCTTTTAAAAGTCCAAGCCAACAAGTACGTGGATACAAGCCACACAGAAGTTTGCCGGCACAGTTGATAGATGTTGATAGCGACCCTCATAGCAAGCTGCACCATCAACTTGGGGCCTGGGTCGCCTGGGTCGCCTGGGTCCGAGGCTACGTTCTCTTCCGGTACCAGGTCGACAGCGAGGAGTGAATCCATGTAGTTCGATTGCTGACCGAAGAGTAAGATTTTATGACCAATGTCCCAAAACATAAACCAAAGGTGTTTTAAATGCAATATGGATCTATGTTTTGACATGGTAATTCCAATAAGCCTCTTGGGGTAGTTTGTACCAGAAATTGCTGCTTGAACAGAGGATGGTGTATGATTGAGTTTGCAGTAAACCGCTTTATGTTGCTGGTTGTGATTAATGTTTGATCCGTAGTTTTCATTACTATATGTTTTGTTTTATTGGTGTGAAATTAAGTGTTGAAGTTTTTTTGGATCCGCGGGTGGCAGCCAGTGAGGTTCGACCAGACTTCTTTTTTGCGAACATTTCAACAACTTCGGAGAACCTCAGCTCATTTTGCCACGCAATTTTCACAATTCCATTCATACTGCGAAAAAAGGGGAGGGATTCAGCCAAGGAATCATGTGGTTTGAATGGAATTATGATGAATTTATGGATGAATTCTGTGGATTTTTTGTGGAAATCAGGTGAATTCCATTCAACCAAGCTATTTCAATCTCTTTGTGGATCTGGAATCAGCTGGGATTCGAAATTTTCGGCACAGGAGGGCTACGATGGGCTCCGCTTTGAGGTCGATTGGTCCGAGGCCGGAGGTGGCCTTGTAGATGCTATGCCCATGGCTGGATTAAAACGCTGGATTAAAACTCAATGGGGATTCCATCGGAATATTATCATAGGATGATTAAATGATAATATAGGACTTAGTATGATTTAATGGGGATAATTATATTGGTGATAGTGGGGATCTACAATGGGGATATAATGCAATATCACAACGAATATGATATGGGATGGGTCAAAACCTCTTAAACAATGAAATGCAAGAGTTTTTGGGTCGCTGACCATCCATAAATGCCAGCTATTTTGATTTGAACAGAAGAATACTTGATGGAGTTGGATTCATGGCCAATTTTTTCTAGTCATCCAGGATCTTGCATGGGGATTGGTAAACTTCTGTTGACTTCAAAGATCACTCATGGTGTATAATTAGTTTATTCAAATCCAATCAGCCAGACATTATTCCAAAGATGATCTGGTTTAGTAAAGACTGATTTGTTAAAGACCCCATATTGATTACCCTCTGGTGAACTAACATAGCAATGGAAAATCACCATTTTTAATGGGAAATTCCACTATAAATGGTCATTTTCAATTGCTATGTTAGTTCACCAGAGGGTATTGGTTTTGTTAAATCCAATATATTGATGTGGGATTTCATTATCATATAATTATGATTGGTGTACATTAAAAAAAACATTATCCATTTTGACCATTGGTGTAACTGTATTCTTGGTGTATCCTGGCTAGTTTGTTCTTAACATCTACACACTGTTGTATTATTACTTTATCAACAAATCATTAGTTTATTATTGACATCCAATAGACCATGGATTATCATTGAACTAGTTGCTCTATCAAAATGATTACTGAAAATGTCGTCATGTTTGCTTTAGTTTTATTGATTTTATCATATGAATATTGACATGTTTGCTACTATAACGGTTCATCTACTGAGATCCAATACAGAAATCGGTAATTCTTCACTTCATAATGAATATCATTATGTATTAGTATTGACATGGTCAGTTATTATGAGACTATCACTTTATCATTCATTGTAATATATTATAATCATATTAGCAGTGTTCAAAACATTTCAAAACCAAAGTGTCATCCCGTCAAACTGACTGACTAGTTAACCACGAACTTCCCTGGGGTAAACCAAGATAGATGTGGAAAATCCACCATGAAAGTCGATCATTTTCCGAACCGGAAACCATTGCTTTTCCACATGTTTTTCTATGTTTATCCCAGGGTATATCCCATAATTTCCCCATCAGATCATGATTTTCCTAGTCAAATCCTTATCTTGAGATGAGAAATCATCCCATTCCCAATTCTGATCATCAACCTCTAGGGATAGATCCCTTGGATCGCTTGGATCGCGGATGGATCGCTTGGATTGCTTGCCAGGCACTGCCCCAGATTTCGCGCCAATTGACCTGGCGGGAGCTTCGGGTGAACCTGACGCAAGGCCGGAGCCAACGAGGATATGGGATTCAATGAGGATATGGGATCCACAAATCCGGGATATCCCCTTTATCCCATTGATGGCCGGTGTGTCTGAAAAGGGTATACTCCCCAGTTATGGCCATTTAACAAGGAAGATGATGAAACCAAATCGGATTTGGGGGAGCCTATTTTCAGACAAAGCCATATCCATGCCATGGTTGTGCCATGGTCAAGTTAGTTGGATTTTATAATATTTTATAATATTTTATACCCGGCTCTTGGGGTATGGTCCGGTATGGCGGAAATCAATCCAGACAAAAAACCCACAGGATGGTATGACCATGGTCCGGTGAAACCACACGACCCGATGGGGAGATCATGGGCATTTTTAAGCAAGAAGAATTCAGAATGATATGGATACCCTCTGGTAAACTAACATAACTATGGAATTCACCATTTTTAATGGGAAAACTCACTATAAATGGCGATTTTCAATGGCTATGTTAGTTTACCAGAGGGTAATGATCACATATGTGTTGTTGTTTTTAACCTCAGAATGAGGAAAATAAGTTGAAAATGGGTATCATACCCTGATGTGTCAGGTAGAACTAAGAATAATCAGAATGTAGAACATGATACTCACGATCTGTGGCTGGTGGTTTTCAAGTGATATTTGTTGCCTGCCCCCTGGCTGGGAAAGAGGATCCCCTGGCCCAAATTCTGCACGGTTGAATTGAAGCTGGACACTGGCTGCGACCCACAGATGTTTGCCGAAAAAAACCATTAGACTTGGTGGGCATCTTGAATCATGAAAAATGCTACCATATCTACATAGATTAATTGCCAACAAACCTCTTGACACTCGAGGCACTCCAGAAGATGCTTGAGTTTCGGGACCACGTCTTTGGGGGGTTTTGCAAGTTGGGGGGTGGGATTCTCATTGCAGATGCGCTGGCAGGTTCTCATTTTCTTCGGTGGCAGTATGTCAAGGACAGCGGTTCCGCAGCTCACCTGGCGTTTCTTGTTCCTTTGCTTTGAGATATATTGTATTATATTATATCATATTGCATTATATAATATTATATTATTATATTGTTATATTATATTATATTAAATTATACTATATTATATTATGTAATACTAAATTATATTGTATTATATTATATTATCTTATATTATATTATCTTATATTATATTAAATTAAATTATTTTGTATTATATTATATTATATTATGTTATATTATATTATATTATACTATATTTTAATGTATTATATTGTATCATATTGCATTCTATTATATTAAATTAAATTATATTATATTAAATTAAATTATATTACATTATATTGTATTATATTATCTTATGTTATATTATTTTATATTATATTATGTTATGTTATATTATATTATATTATCTTATGTTATATTATGTTATATTATATTATGTTATATTGTATTATATTATATTGTATTATATTATATTATATTATCTTATGTTATATTATGTTATATTATATTATGTTATATTGTATTATATTATATTGTATTATATTATATTATATTGTATTATATTATATTGTATTATATTATTATATTATATTTTATTATACTATATTGTATTATTATATTATATTATATTATATTATTTTATATTATATTTTATTATATTATATCATATTATATTATATTATATTATATTATATTATCTTATGTTATATTATGTTATATGATATTTATTTGTTCACATCCTCAGAATTGTTGGTGAGCTCAATCGCAATGTTCAGGACTCCAGCGATGCGGGTGGCATGGACCGAGCTCAGCTGCAGTGAGTTTCTCCCAGTCTGGTGGGGATGGGTTTCCCCCAGAGGAATTACCATGACAACTCCCGGGATTTAATAGTGGAATTTTATGAAGGATTTCTTGGGATATGATTGCCCTCTGGTAAATTGGATGGTTAATGATGGTTAATAGTGGTTAATGGTGGTTAATGGATATTATTAGCCTCTGGTAAATAAACAGTTGGACCCTGAAAATCACCAATTTTTAATGGAAACTAGCCTTCCAACCCCGATGACTGCCAGGGTCTATGTTAATTTACCAGAGGGTAATGGATATTAATGGGGATAGAATGGGATTTATAATCCACTTTTTGGCAGAGTTTTAAACATGAAAACCTCTATTGGTTGATGATTATAGGGGATTATGCTTGCCCAATATATTGGGGGTTATTTCAGATGAGGCTTTCCCAATGGGAATTTCACCAAAATCGGAGAATCCAATAGTTTTTTTTTTTTGAGGGGGGAGGGTTGTCTTAAGCAAATCCAAGAACTGTAGGAAAATTGATGAGGCTTGTTTTTTCCATTGGAATATGATTTGGAATCTATCTTGCTCATATTCAAAGAATTACATATTGGAATTACTCCATGTTACTCAATTGGAATCTATTTTACTCAAGTAAACTATTGTGTTGTTGAAAGGAACACTCGGAGGAAACCTACGGTTCTTCCCATGGCTTTTGTCGATGAGAGTTTCCCTTCAAGTTGACCGTAGATCTGGTTTCAGTGGGGATCCTTCATCCAGTGGGGGTAGCAGCAAACTTAGGGAATTTCCCTTTCAATGTGGTATCATCGCAAGGACCCGGAATCAAATCAGCGATCTGGGCAACTCTCAAATATGTGCAGCAACTTTGCTATCCTAAACGGAACCCCACCAGGTCACCATCAACGGACCCAAGGGATTGAAGTTGTTGCCAAGGCTGGTTCAAGTAATTGGCACCTCTTTCTCCGATTTGGAGTGCTTCCACTGCCACGGTGCGCAGCTGGTTTTTTGGTGGTCGAAAATGGGGGGGAACTTGGCAGCTTGGCAGAGATGGTGATGATATGATATGCAATGGGGATAGAATGGGATATGAAGCCAACAATATCCAAGTGGGTGTGTCTGAAATGGGGGATTGACTATCAATTTATGGCAATCTGCGGAAGGGATAAACCAATGGACTTGGGGAGTAGCCGCGTAGCCTAGTTTCAGACAAACCCAAATAAGCAGTGGCTGAAGGCCCAGTGATATGTTTGTGTATTTTCTGGATGATATGTGTTATGGTCTTCACATGGATTGTTTTCCCACATTGGAATCATGCTCATCAATCCATGCATAGGCGCTTGTATACCCATTATGAGGATTTCCCATGTGGGATGGATGAGCATAAACTATGTATACCAGGTGTTCAGCATTAGACATATGGGATATATGGGACCAGATTGACGATCTACTGCCATATTTGTATTGATCTGCTATCACCGTTCTTGTGAAAAACTACCATATCCCGGGTAAACATAGGAGCACCATCCATTCATGGCATGCCAAGGTATCCATGTTTAAAATGAACATGTTGGGGAGGTCGGTAAGTTCACCATAAACATCTACGAATGTTATCGCATGATATCGTATGTATATATTAATATATTATATATATTATATTATAAATTATAATATAGTATATTATAGTATATTATATTATATCATACTTGGTATTATATTATACTTGGTATTATATTAGACTGGCATTAGACTGGGTATTATATTAGACTGGGTATTATATTATACTGGGTATTATATTATACTGGGTATTCTGTTAGACTGGGTATTATATTATACTGGGTATTCTATCATACTTGGTATTATATTATACTGGGTATTATATTATACTGGGCATTATACTATACTATACTATATTATACTATATAATATAATATAACATAACATAACATAACATAATATAATATAATAATATACTCTAATGTAATATAATATAGTAACAGTATAATATAATAATAATATAAATATTATATAATATCATATGATATTTGATATATATATATATATACAACATGCATCAATATGTATAATGTGGATATATTATCAGTGTACGTGAAAATGATGACATGATATATGTGGAGATTATACACATATATTATGTACGGTTATGCTGAGATTCTCATCCACAGCCGGCAGGGAGCGGAACACATAGTGCCGGTGGTGCCGACCACTGCAATGCCCCTGGGCGTCTCAAACATGGCTGGGAAATCCCCGAAGGAATGGAAATTGACATCTTATGTATATATATATATACACATATGGGAAATATTTGGGAGATGTTCCATTGCCAAGTTTGACTACCTATATATATATATATATACATATGTTAAGAAGACAACTGTAGTGATTAGGTGATATGGTATATCGACATATATATATATATATGTGGTATTGATACGTTCTAACTATTGCGTGATGAATTGGATGAATCCATGTATTATGTACTGTAGGTGCAATGGACACGTGCCCAATTTTGGGGTTCTCCAGGGCCCGTGAGTGTCATAGTTGTGCCGTTGTGACCTGATATTGGGAAGGGGCAGCAAAACACATAAAAAACGGGATTCAACTTGGAAATGGTGATATAGTGGGGAGATGAGATAAGTGAATGGGATGTAGAACCCAAACTATCCAATTGGAATTCTATAAAACTTTGCTGGTATCTCGCTATCTCTTGTTCTTCATGCTTTGCTCAGCAAAATGACGATTTAGGCTGTGATTTAGGGTTCCCAAGCGTGATATGTTCTTTGTGCAGTCTTTGTGCCGGGTTCTTGTTTCCCAGATAATTGGATGAAGGGACAGTTGATAGGACGTCTCTGTATTTGGGAATATGTAAGACATGTAAAAAATACAATTTCCTTTGAATGTTCCTTTAAATCAATCCACAAATTTGACCACATTTCTTGATTATCCCATGCTATCGCCATTCTATCCCCATCCATTGATTGTCCAGGCTTGCGGTCCCAATCAGCACGGCAGCCGAGGGCTCGCGAACTGGAAGAACTGGAAGCCATGGCGAGTTCCATTCACCTATAAGAAATGGTGAATTTCCGTAGAAAACTGTTAGTTTACTAGTGTACTTTGCATAATATGTTACCATGTTGACGAAGTAGGAATCTAGTGATCTTATGGGGATAGAATGGGATGTATAACCAACATTAACCAACAATATCGAGCAGTGTGTGTCTGAAAATGAAGGATACCTAGTATTGTCACGATAGTAATGGGTAAATGATACTCCGCATGAAATTTGGGGTACCAGGAACCCAACATAGAAACAGAAACCCTTCTGCTCTTCAGTGCAGTTTAGACAACTTTAGAGTTTAGACATGTTCAAATGGCTTGTGTATGTTTGTATTCTACTTTCAGAAGGGCAAGCTGTGTTGCTGGCGTTGCTGTCAAACAGCCAATAACTCCAGGTGAGCAAGGGGCGTCCAGAGCCTTTGTAGAAACTGTGGTATTTTTCATTTTCATTCTGACACGGCTCCTATTATATGCTCCTATGGAGTTTGCACCCCCCATGGCGGACAGATGGCTCAATGATTAAGGATTGGATGGTTGATCTGCTGAAAATGACACGTCAAAGTGCTGGAACACGGCGAGAAGAAATGACACATACCATTCAGTATGCACACTTTGGATTCCGTTTGTTCCTCTGGTTGATACTAAGGGCTCCCTTAATATGTCATTTCTTGTGGTGTTCAAGTTGCATCATCTTTGGCAGTCCAAAAAAGTAGGAAATGTCCAGCTGGAAGTGGCTGGAAGCCTAGAAAAGTTCAGGGAATCCCCCATTTCAGCTGGTTAACAGCCCAATTCACAACCCCAATTCTACTGGTGAAGTTTTGATTCCCACCAGCCCATCAGGTACTTAGTGCACGATGGGGCGGATCTGTCACAATGCAGGCGCCTCGGGCTGCCGGAACCAGGACAGCATCTATTGCGGGTTTTGCAAGGTTTCGTTCAAAGGGAGACTTGGTGGATTGTTTCTTTCAACGTTGATTGCTACAAATGATAATAAATACATGTATAAAATTATAAACATGAACAACACTTTATGATTTGAATACTGAGATCATCTGAGGTCTTTCGAAGTGGATGTGATGCCCAGTGGGATCCTTGGGCCAATCGTTGACGTGGGATCCTGGCAGGCCATGCCCGGCGGGCCGCTGGTCTATGCCCGGGACCGTGGGAGTTGGATCCTGCATGGCCTTGAGGAATTGCACTGAACGCGATGTCAAGGTGGAGCGCTTGGGAGCTGTGTCTCCGGCATAGTCCCTTTAAACAAAAAAAACAACGGGGAGCCAGTTGGAGCTACGGATAGAGTTTTCCAGAAGATTGGGAATTGATTGCTGGGAACTCGGGTTATATATGATTGATATAACTTATGTCTTAAAAGACTACTACGGTTTCAATGGGATACACCGAGGACAAGCCCATTTACAAATTGCTGCCCCATAAGTAGTTTGCTGAGTTTGTTTGTAAGTCGGTTCACTAGTGTTTAGTAAACTAGTTACTAGTTCTTGTATATCTAACCCTATACTGGTTGGTGATTTGGAACATGTTTATTTTTCCATATATTGGGAATAATAATCCCAACTGACTAATATTTTTCAGAGGGTTAAAACCACCAACCAGTATAGTAAGATAATTCTGTTGGGTTAACCCGCTGGTTCTGCCATAAAACTTTAGATATGATATATCTATACTTAGATGGCTGAAACTACGCAAACAAACAGAACTCGGGGGCACTAATGCCATGCCCTCCAAGTGGTAGCACCAAAAAAGGTGGTTTGGTGATGTCGTGGCCATAAAATCATATGGAGATGGTAGGTGACTTACTTAAAAATTGATGGCTGATTTTTGTTGTCATTTTGATGCACTTCAAGCACTTCCGAGAAATCTTTGGGATCCCGCTTTAGCGTGTCACGCTTCTTGTGGGGTCTGCAGCCAAGACTAATGCTACCCAGCTTGGACTCCACCCATGCGAGTCACTACGACGACCTCAGAAGTCACTAACATGGTCTTAATTCAGGTTGGAGTATTGTGATTTATCCAGATCATGTAGACAACTACCAATTCATCCGTAGCCAAGCATGAACAAATTCAGGCTGCATGTTGGACGTTGGTGAGGACTGGGCATCAGTGGGTCCTCACTGAAGTTCACATGGCCAAAGGAGATCCAAATTCAGGATGGTTTAGCGGTTTAGCCTTTGGCAATCGAACATAGCTATGGAACACGGCCCATTTATAGATGACTTACCTATGAAAAAGCCTTGATTTTCCATAGCAAACTGAAGGGGTCATTACCAGAGGGTTCAGCGGCCAAACAGGTTTCGCTCACGACCTGCATCAAGGGCAAACAGCAACAGAAGAGGCGACCAGACCGGCTGGGCTATGGCTTTTTAACCGGTCGGCCGGGCCGGTTAGTCATCGATAAAACTTATGGGTAGATGGGTATGGTCCATAACTGGCCAACAAAGGTTGATCTAATTCAGAACATATTCCCAAGGTGGGTCAAAATGGACAGTGGGAGTGCGATTTGTTGGGATTGGCACGGCACAAGCCAGAGAAATTGTGACCGGTCTTGGGTCGTGTGCTTCCATTGACCAGTTGGTATGGCCTCTCGTTAGGATAAACCATGAGATTGGGATTGGTGGTGCCGAGTTTGGTCATATGGTTCCAGATTCTACCAGCAAACCAAAGACCAACAAATCCCACCCAATGATTGGTTCCTCCAGCTAGAAGTGGGTTGAACAAGTTCAGACCACGTCTTCTGACTCATGCAAAAACATGTTTCAACCCTTTTTGGTGTCCTATAGTTATAGGATGTTATATAGGATGTTATATAGGATGTTATATAGGATGTTATATAGGATGTTATATAGGATGTTATATAGGATGTTATAGATGTTATATAGGATGTTATAGGGCTCTATAATGCTATATAGTTTTTGGATGTTTTTGGTTTCAACATCTGTGCCATGCCTAACAAAGGAGTTGGCTGGAGCCCGTTCGTTGCGACGCGCGGCATCTCAGGGGAGCCAGCAGGGAACAGATTGATTTATCCCATCCAAACATGACCCTCTGGTGAACTAACATAGCTATGGAAAATCACCATTTTTAATGGGAAAATCCACTATAAATGGCCATTTTCAATAGCTATGTTAAATTACCAGAGGGTAAACACCCCCCGTTTACGAAACCATGTTTTTTTTGGTATCGTTGGTTTTTGGGATGTTAAATATATTAATTTTTTTTGGGACCCACATTTCGGGAATGGACCTTGGGAATTTCCACATTTTTTTGGGGACGAAAAATGGGAGTGTTAAATATTGGGATAGGATTTACCACTGGAATGGGGTCCCCTATCTTCAGACAAACCCATTTTATCGTCAGTTGAATTTCTATGCTGGTTGGTGACATTCTCACGTTTGTCAATATGAAGTACAGTATCAATCAGAATCTTGGTGACCCAGGATTGAAATTGCATGCAAAAAAAAGCAATTGAATTCCCTGTTGACTGGTTTCATTCAGCTGATGCAATATACGGCAGATAATAAAGATTGCCACACTTGCGTTTGCCATATTGACCTCGATGACCGATTGGTTGGTGGGTTACCGTATGCTTCAGACATGGTTGAGTCATTTTGATGGAGGAATATTTCAACATTTAATGTCTCATTGGATATTTTTTTCGTCCCCGGGAAGAAGCTTTGCAATGGCTATAGCCTCTTGCAACCGACTCTATCAGCCAAAATCGCCATGATCAATTTGAAAAGAATCTTCATCATTCTGCAAATCATGATGATGATGATGATGATCATCATCATCATCATCATTCCGCTTAAAATGATGCATCATCTCGTTCAGGGCTCTATGCTGTATACCATGGTTTCAAACATGGTTATACTCCCCATAATAGTTATCCTGTAAATTTGGGCAAAATCACATTATATCACCATTATATTCACATTTTCCTAATGGTGTATATCGACATCATCCCTTCTGCCTATAGAATTTAGTCATTGTTCCGAACCGAGAGGTGACTGTGGCACAGTGGTTCTGAGGTGAACGCCACAGGAGCTCATTCTCTCTTGAGCTCGGGCAAGGCACGACTGGGGAATCGAAAAAAAGGGACGGGTAAACTAACATAGTGAAAATGGTCATTTATATAATGTCATTTATACCATTTATGATTACAGGTTGATTTACCTGAGAATATTAAAACAGGTGATGTTCATTGATTTTCCATAGTTAGTTTACCAGAGGGTATGTTTTTGTTTTCTTTGTGGTTCCTTCAGCAAACACAAGGAAGGGATTGAACATAATAATGATGGACCATGGAAGAAAATGAGTAAGAGACAATATAGTTTTTTTCCTAATGGTTTGATTTATCAATGGAATTTAGCGGGTTTTCAATGGCAATGTTCAATGTGAAGATTGATAGGATATTACTTTTTGCATGGGCGTTTAACAGACATTAGATGAAATTTGTGTGGGTTTTAGCATGGCGTTTTTTCAATTGTGTTTTGGTATCTGATTCACAGAATCCAAAACCAAAGATTCTTGATGTTCGTTCTCCGCTTGCTAAGTGCGAGATGGTTTTTTCGGGTAACTAACTCACCCTGCAATTCTGTTCCATATTAGCTGGTTCTATTTGGGTAGTGGGGGGACACAATGCCAGATAATCCCAGATACTGGATGAACATGATGATTGTTGACTCATCTCAGATACTGGGTGTTTGTGTATGATTATTGAACATCTCCACCAATCAGCACCCCAAGATTTCACGAGGCCTTGGAGCCCATGGTTATAATATATGATATATGTATATATAAACATAGCTGGAACTGCACTTCCAAGTAGGCTTGATGCTGAAAATCACCAAGTTTCTTGTGAGCCCGACTGGGTCTGCAATTTTGTTTGATAAACAATCGAACCACTAAACATAGTAAATATATGTAAATATACCCCCTATACCGTCGCGTGACACTGGCTGGTTCATAGGTATGCCATGGCGAAAAAAAGGGTGAGTTCACAACCCACTAATTCATAACCAAGCATCATTTAAACTCATCAATTCTATCCTCATTTGTTGATGTCATTGTTACTCCCAATAATGAGGATGGTTGATGGTTGATATTTGATATAATTGCCGAGCGCATTTCTGGCAAGAGATTGTGGTTGGTTAGTTTTATGATTGGCTTTACAACATTACCCTCTGGTTATTTAACATAGCCATGGAAAATGGCCCATTTATAGATGATTTTCCGATTAAAACCTCCATTTATAAGGGTTTTCCATGGCTATGTTAAATAACCAGATGCTATTGCTCATGGCTCATGGCTGAGGTTCAGTATAACTAACTGGTGATTTTCCACTTCGCGTTCGGTGAAATCATCAGAGAGTACCCGAATGGGTCATTTTTCACGTAGCGGTCATCATAATTCAGGGGTTGGTAACTGTCCCATTTTGGGAATATTGGACATCACCTTATAGTAGCCATTATAGACCATATAATGGTTGGGTGATGTTCAATGGGGACATTTAATGACCCATGTAATTTACCATTTTGAATGGGTAAATCAGCTATTTCTATGTCGACATTCAGCCATTTTCAATAGTTATGTTAGTACGTTGACCAGAGGGTAAATCGTTCAATCGTGTTCAATCCAAATCACAATGGAAGTCACCATAAACCCTAATTAATCCCATGAAATCCACATTTTCAGAGGGTACCATGGTTAATAATGGTTAGTAATAGTTAATGATGGTTATGATGGTGACATTATTGATATGGTTAATGATGGTTAATAATGTTTTTTTCAGCCATTGCAAGAAGCATCAAGAAACCACCATCCGCGGCCTGCAGATTCAGCCTTGCACGGCCTGCGAACCCAACACTGCGCGAGCCAGCAGCGGTACGGGTGCTTGCAGGCGTCCGGTGCATGTGGATAAGCCTGGTAATTGAAAGCTATATGATAACACATCAATATAACATTATATATATATGATTATATCTTATGTTATATATACATATGTAACTCTATATAGATATAATATAATATTATATATATATATAGTTTTACATATGTCTTTCAAAATACGTCTAGTTATAGGTTAGTTCTACACTATATAAGTGTTTTGCTTGGGACACCTGAGGGGAAACCCAACATTCAGGACGTAACTCAGATGAAACAATCTTGTCGCAGTCTGAATATGTTTGATTTAGGTATTGATTTGGTTCAGGCAAGAAATCCACATTTCATGACAGACACCATCACCATTTTATTGCGTATGTCCATTTGTTTTTTTTGAAGTTCTTTTTCAGAGTTCATCCGACGATTTCAACCATCTCAAAGCTTGGATACGTTTGGTTACAGTATATATTTATATTTAATATACAGTTATAACACCGTTCCATGCCCAGTATTATATTCCATTAAACCATATGACAGATGTTATTCTTTATATCACATTCAACCATGAAGAATATTAACCATAGTATATCCCATTAAACCATATATATATATGGGTATGGGTCAATACCTATAGATACATTTTTAGTGGGATGAACATCCATTTACTAGCTATTTTGATGTTCACCAGGGGTACAGGGTTTTGACCCATCTTCATATATATATATATATATCACCATTCAAATTAAACCAGTATCATTGGAACCCCAGCGTCCAGGCCGAAAAGCCTCACCTGTCCAGCTGGTGAATTCTCCGCCGGGGATAGCAGGTTTTTTGCGATGAGAAGTCTGGGAAGATACCATGAACAACTGGTTTTAGAAACCTATTGGAATAAGTGTTTTGATAAAATTATGTTTTTTTGTTTACGTGTAATCTGGTGGTTGTACCATGAAGGTGATTCTCCCAATTTCAATTCAATCTGTTCAGTTGATACCTGAGTGAACGCTTTTTCTAATGCACCCTTCTTGGCAGAAAAAGAAACAAGGATCTTAACCAACAAATATGGTGAATCAATAATGTTAGAGGATAATCATCAAAACATATATATATATACATATATATATATATATCTGGTTGGTGGTTTCAAACATTTTTTATTTTCTCTACTTTATAGGATAATCCTTCCCATTGACGTTCATATTTTTCAGAGGGGTGGCCAAAAACCACCAACCAGATATGGTCAAATCTTAACCACCAGACTCTGGAGATCGCCGGGATGATGGATGGTGGAGTTCCAATATTCAGAGCATTTTTTTTGGAGCTCTCAAACTGGTGAAGGTTTTGGGTTATGGATGGTTATGGACTATGAGCCTTTGGTAAACAGCCACATGACTATGGGAAATCACCATGTTTGACAATGTTTGATGGGTAAATCGGTAAATCAACTATTTCTATGGTCATTTTCAATAGCTTTGTGTATGTTTACCAGGCCGGGTAGTCCATCAGACCTAGTGGACCATTGGGCACCGGGATCATCCAAGGTCACCCAACTGGTGCTGGAAAACTGGGACGAGTGGCCTCTGAACTTATCACAACAGGTACCAAAAAGGGCTGGGAGCCGGGAGCTGATTGAAATCGTGGTAAACATATCTAGAAAAAACACATACTGAGGCTGATGATCATTAATTTCATCAAACGTGGCCGGGTTGCTGGAAAATCCTTGAACTAAATGATGGTTAGCGAAAATCATCGAAAACCTGAAACCTATGTTTTAAATCATCGTCATCCTCATCCCTTTCTCTTCTCGCCACCATCATCATTCAGCGCTGCTGAAGGCATTTGCCATTGGGACTTGGCACACAATTTGCCAACTTTCGCTGAATCTTCACAACTTTGCCAACTTAGCCTGGGATGAAGAGCTCCAGTCGATCATGTTTTTTCTACAACAAGCACAAACCAAACATTATTTTGGGACATTTTGGGTGTTATCTCCTGATCAGATCATATTATATGACCTCCCATCTGATGGATAGCTGAACTTGAACCATGTTTGCTGGTGAAATCGCGCGCAGGTCAAATCCCAATTTCAGCTGGCCAAATCCAGGTTTTTGCTGCTCAGATCCAATATTCTTCATTATTCTTCTGGTTCTTATCGTGGCTATTTTTGATTATTTTTGGCTAACATCCCACAACATCCCATATTTTTTTTGTGATGGTTATTTTGGCTAACACCCCATCATTAATAACCATTAATAGCCATTAATAACCAGTTTTTATTGTGAATGTTGGTTGTATCAAGTGACACCCCATGTTGCAGCTAAAAAAACCCACCACTTGGCGCCGATGGTGGCCAGGTCATCACCGCCACGGGAGAGGAGCTGGGGAATGTGGTGGACCCAGCGCCGAGTTTGTACCTCTTGATGCAGTCAGATATGTATATGACTATATTGTACACAACTATATATGTATATATATATATATGTATATACATATTAGTCTCCAAGTTCAGATGCATATGTTAGTAAGATCTAATTCGAAAACTTACTGAGCAGTTGCTGTATGTGTGCATACAAGTATTTTCCCATCAAATGGATATCTTTATCCGAAAATCATCATTTCACCATAATTTCACCAGGAATCTGGCAAAAGGTGGGTACTGGACTTCAATAGCGCTTGGCGATTTTAACAAAATACAGCAGGGATTCACCAAACAATCATAAAGTTGAAGGGTCTGGGTCCAAGTTTTAGACCAAGGGACCATGGGACTGGAGGATGAGGATGATGATGATAATGATGATGATGATGATGATGAACCATATTGTGATAATGACCACTGTTATCATCATGTTCATTGATGTTCATTGACCAGGTTGATCTTGGTCGCTTGGTCCGAGGACACCATCCCAGGCGGATGGAAACTGCGACCCAACCAGGAAGCTGGAATTGGCATAGGCCGGGTGCAGGACATCAGTAACAACCTGGATTTCACCCAAGAGACTTACGGAACAAGCACTGGCAGGGCGGTGAAGAAGTGCATGAATGGCATGAAATGCTTACATTTGCGGTGATTGAAGGTGATTTGTTATTTTCCCCTGGGTTAGTTCACCAGTTGCGGAATTCACTGGGATATTTGTTGGTTGTTTTTTTGGTGGCTCTTTAAGCAAATCCAAGAATAACATGAAATCAATATGAATGAATGGGGGTCAATGGTTGAAACATGTTGGAACTGGAATGAATTCGCCAAATTGAGACATGTCCTTGACTCCTCTCTGAGGTGGTTTCAGGAGTTGAGCCCCAATGAAGCACCAAGTTCTTTCACCAGTGGCGATCCCATTTCTGGCGCCCAGAACGGTTGATCTTGGGCGAGTTGGAAAGTCGTCTCCACTTGGATGTGAAAGTCCTACTGTCGCCGGGGAGCCCTGAGAGTCTGAGAGCTGTGATGGTTTATGATGGTTTGTAAGTAGATACCCTCCGGTAAATGAACATAGCTATGAAATCCACGGGTTTCCCGTTCGGCCTTTTTTTCTACCAAATGGTGGATTTTCCAGATCTTTGTTAGTAAAAGGATGGTATTTGCTATTTGCTGTATGTTTTCTATATACAAAGCCACAGGTTTATTCTGCAACTATATGGGTGTATCCAAAAAGATGTGGAAGATGTCAGCTGTGTTTAGGGTCGGTCAGGTGTTTTTTTGGGTGAGGCCCTAGAGAATATTTGGCAGGAGAAGTCCAGTGCTATCTTGTTGGAGTACGTAGACCCTCAGATGGTGGGTTTTGGTGTTCCTGCCTTTTGATTGGAGTTTACTAAATTTATCTAGATTGTCTGAACTTGTTGTACATCAATCTGCCAACTTTACTATCATGAAACACAACTACACAACTATAAACTATAGGGGTCTCCCCCAAAAAAAGAGTGTTTAATATACTGTGATAGAGTTTCCTAATTTCTGTTTCCTAAGTTCTGTTGAATAATTTCAGGTTGGTGGTTTGGAACAGTTTTTATTTTTCCATATATTGGGAATGTCATCACTGACTTTCATATTTTTCAGAGGGGTAGGTATACCACCAACCAGATTATTATTAACCATCATTAACCATATAATAACCATATCATAACCATTATTAACCTTATATTAATAATATATTGCTGTTGACTTTCTAGGTGTTTAACTGAGGCCTGGACGCTTGGAGTTTATACTGGAGGTGAGTCCGCAAAGCGAGTGCCTGGCCATGGCTGTTGGGAGCTATTGGGATGGCTACCCGTGGTACCCCCAAAGTTACTGGTCAATCATCATCCTCATCAAAGTCTGGTCATTCTGTTGCTATATATATATTTTGATATATTTTGTGGGTATATGAATGTAATATGAATGTATATCATACATTTTGTGGGTATATCAATGGATTATATCATATATATATATATATATATCCCATGTTCAGACAAACCCGTATGACAGTGGCTTTTTTCAACCCCTGTTGATTGATGATTATATAAGGTTGTACCAGCCTTTATGTATTTTGGATGATCACAGTCTGCTATTCAACATCTTTGTATAGGGACGACAGAGGGTCTGATCTCCTGCTCTATCTCCTAGCCATGGCGGTTTGTAGCTGAGAACATCAGCTTCCACAATGGATTGTTAAGTGGGATTTAACTCATCATCGAACATTGAGAATTCGCCCATTCAGCCGTACTCGGGGTCGGATTGGGAATCACAGTTTGGGATTCTGATTCCTTCAGTTTTTGGGAGGTAATCAATCTAGTCAATTCTCATCATTTTTGGGACTTTAATATTGGGGGAGCGACTATGGGGAAGGATGCTGAAACTGGAACATTTGGAAGCCCGTCAATGAGGGCAGTGGTAACCCGGAAAGTGGTCTGAACTTCCACGGCAACTGTTTTCCACTCAAGATGCTGGGGAATCAACAGTTGCAGGTTTGAAATGGACGAGTTCCGCATGTTTTCCTATGAGAAGTCCTGTTGTTATTGCTCAAGTGCTTGCAGATAGAGCAACATGGAGAGTCCAGTTTACAATATATCACTTGATAAATACTTATGATTTCCCCAAGCGTAAATAGGCTATTATACACTATCATACACTCTTTTGGAGCAGACTGCCATCCAAGTCATGTCATGATTGGCAGAAGGCCATGCCAATTGCCAATAAGAGACGGGTGATGTACAGTATACAGTATACATTCGATGTAGTTATATTATAGTTCAAACGGTTTAACACTACACCTAGTCTAATCTATATATTCTACATTTCTACATCTACATGTCTACATCTTTTACATTTCATCCTAGACAGAATACAGATACCTCTACCTACTTACCTAACCTAAGCTAACCCAATCCGACCCAACCTAACTTAACCTGACCAAGTCAAATATTTCCATAACATAAGTACATCCCCAGGCTTTCAAGCATACATCAAACATACGTCAAACATCCCTAGGTGGGGCAGCGATGTTCAGTTCCTGCTGGACAACGTGGAAGCCTCGCATGTCTACGGCTTGCAGATGAATAGGACCCGGGTTGCTGCAACAAAAATATTGTGTTTTTGTTGCTGCGGTTCATGGGATTTTACCAAATTTTCTGACTGATTGAGGTTTCTAAGTTGCTAATCAATGAAATTTGGTGGTTTGACGAAGTTGTTTCGGGTTGTTGAAAACACCAGTCTGATGGTGGTTTATTGGGGAATTACACTCCTATTTCTAGGGGAATTGTCACTATGGATTCCAGACATTTTAACCTTGCTCTTCTGAGGTTTCCTGTACAGATGTCCCAGCGGATTGGCGAAGAGTTGCCATTTAGTTGCATCCATGGAAAACTTTAGAGTCGAGAAGCCAAATTTCAAAAGTACCAGGCCAGTGTTTCGATCGCCCAGGTTAAACCATGAAAATTTGAATAACCATGATGTTCCAAATTAGAATAACCATAATATTTTTCAAGATGGTTAAAACCACCAACCAGTTGATGCCGGAAATTTCCCATGGATTTTCCATCATCTCTTGCCACGACTCCAACTATGACCGGAAGGAGCTCAACCCCTCGGCAATGGAGGCGTATCCAGGTCTGCGATGTTTTTTCATCTGCAACATTCATGAAGTCTAAACTGGCAAATTTGGGTCTTTACTTGCAAAATACATATAGAATCATATAGAATCATATCGACTCAACATATTTTTTTTTCAGAAAAGAACATGTTGGCATTACAGTAGCTGTTTCCAGCAAAAAAAATAGGGAACAAGTGATTCAGTTCAACCCGCAACGTGGTTGTCTAAACCGTTTGAACGCATGGTTGAGACTGAATTATATATCCGAACTGCCGGGTCCAGGATCATCCTTGTGGCTATTATACAAAATTAAGATATCGGTATGTAAGTAATTGCAAGCAACAAGATTTGAGTGTTTCCAGCTTCGATGGACTCCTCCGGTCTCAGGAAGGCATATTACTATAATATATCTATAATATATATATAATATCTATAATATATATATAATATAGAGAGAGAGATATGAGTATGCTATAGTATGGCCATTCTTGTCAAATCAAGGGGATACAAGTATGAGTCAAACCCTGGTAAGTACCGCAAAAAATGGGACGATGGAGTAGTGCTCAGCCATATTGAAGAATGCTTGGTTTTCGAACAAAAGGTGCAACCAACAAAGGACACCCCATCGAGGAGCTTTGCCAGGATCTTTAGGGACTTTCCTAGGGGCTAGGATCCTTGGGGTTCGTTTATAGAAAATCTTGAGACTTGTTTCTGGCTTCCACCCTGAAGAGTGCAAGTGAAACAGAACACAAAACATGGTGCAAGGAAACATGATGAAACATGTTTTCCCCCTTTCGTGGATCACCCCACTTAGTGGTGACAAAACCCCAGAAGTGGATGAACTCTACTTATCCCATGTCAATCACTGGGGTTCTAACCCACTTACGAGCCACTGCTGCCAGGTGTCTGCTCCGCTCTACCCGGGGCTTCATCGGCTCACGTGGAGATGTCGGGAGAACTCGGCCGAGAATTTTCTCCAGAAACGGGCCCTGGTTTTTTCTCCACAAAAAGGGATGGTTGATGTCAGATGTTGATCATTTATTTGATGATATTTGATGATTGATCTTATTGATACAGTTGACAGGGTTGACTTGTTGGTTGACTTGATTGTTTTCCGATAATTTCACATGTTGTTTTTTGTTCCCTCCACAAAAGCGCGAAATTTAGCCCATGAGCAAAAGCCGTTTTCTTGTAACAGACCGACATCGGTTTTTTCCAGGAACATCCACTGACAGATTAATCCCATCCCTCCTGATATTACTAGTTACACTCCCATGGTATGGTCCCTATGTCAATTCATCGAGGAAGAAGCTCTGGTTTCTGCGGGGTGTTGATGTGGACAACCACGGTGAATCCCAGAATTTTCGTTGCCGGAATATGGCAAGATGGCAACGGAGAATCCCAAAAACATTCCCCAATTTACAGATGATTTTTTTCCGATGTTCCGATGTTCCGATGTTCCCATGAAAACATCTTCGAATCCCAATTTACTGTTGCTTGTTTTTGGATTAAAAACGATGATTTTCCAGCCAGGTTTGACCAGTTAACTGGTCGGTCGGTGCTCCCGAGGTCTGTATCCCGTTCAAGGGGATGCCACATCCTCAATGGCCGGCAGTTTGCTGGTGGCGGCCTAGTTTCTTTAAGGTAAACCATCCAAAATACCTGGGCCATCCATGGGTCATTTTCCATTTTGCGATTTTTTTCACACCAAGAAAAAGAATGATTGTACATTCGAAATCTGCAGACAAGCATGTATTCTGCGCACTCCAAGTATAATCATCATTAATCTAACAGAATTATAATCCCAAATGTGGGAAAGGTACAAATGTAGTTTGACCTGACAATCGTTGGTCATGCTTTTGTTGGGCGTATAGATTTTCTCAGCCCTAGAACGCCAGGGCAGACACTATTGGCCAGCGTTCACTCTTGTAGGGCTCAGATTTTCTGGTGCAGCGTTGGCTAGATTTGTGTAAATACCACCACAGCTATTTGTTATCAAAACTGGCGTTGCTTAAATCCCCATTTTCAATGGTTATATTCGCTCCTTTGCTTGTTTTCATCTGGATTTTTGGTGCTTACTCTTTGGTAATTTGATGTAACTTGACATGGAAAATCATGGCAAATCATGGAAAATCATGGAAAATCACCTTTGTTTAAAGGCAAACCATCTATACATGGGCCATTTTGAGCCCATGAAAAAAGTGTGCACATTCTCCAGTGAGGTCAGGTTTAAGACCCAGGAAACCACATTGATTTCGATCTATGTCTATCCTATCCCCATGTTCCGGTTGCTTAAAAGCCGACATCATTTAATGTTGTCAATGTTGTTTACAGATCCAATATAGTATTAATTATATAGGTATATTGTGAATCCACATCATTGCAGTACCCCACAAAGAGCCTTGCATACCATGTCCTCAACCTGCCAGGTGTTTTCCAAGTTCAACAAAACCTTAGGGGATACCGCTAGCACTTGAGGCTCAGGGAAGCCAAGGAGCGGATAGAGGGTGGGATTCAATAGTGCTTGTGAAGCCATAGAAGTTTACCTTTGGTTGGACGAGGACGTCCTTGAGCCGGGGGCTCACGCTGGTCAACCTGGGCCCATAGCCCTTTTGCAATCCCGATTCTGCTTAGATTGGTAAGCCTTGCAGCCGTGACCTTTTGTGGCGGATCCAAAAGAGAAGAGAGCGTATTCAGGTGGGAAGATCCTGTTGGAAGCTACCAGGTGGTTAGGTCAAAGACCAACTACACTGGTAGCGGAGCTACCGTTACCACAAGACGGAAAATCCAGGGGAAGTTGAAGAACCGGCTGCTCGATCGCAGCCCATGTCGGAGTCATCAGAAGGGCCTACCAATGTCCCGAACCAACTGGCTATCCTTGTGCCGTCATATGACCCTAGCAAGGATGACTTACAGGTGTACTCTCAAAAGGTGATGTTGCTTTTGGAGGCCTGGCCTACTGGAAAATATACAGAACTAGCTACTCGCCTGATTCTGAACAGCAGTGGATCAGCTTTCAAGAAGTTGCAATTACACCAGACCGAGGTGACTCAGAATGACCGAAAATCAATTCTGAAAATCCTAGAGCTGTTGGGAAGCCACTGGGGTCAAATTGACCTTGAGCAGCGTTATGAGTATGCCGAGAGGGCGTTGTACAGGTGCCAACAAAAGTCCGATGAAAGCGCAGATAGTTTTCTTGCGCGAGCTGACATCATGTGGACGGAACTTAACAGCCGTAAGTTTCAACTCAGTGATCTGCAAGCCTATGTCACTCTTCGTGGATCAACGTTATCTCCGGAGGACAAAAAGCGAGTGCTTTTGGATGCAGACGCAGCCAACAAGGGATCACTGACCGTTGACAAGGTGAGCTCAGCTATCCGGATGCTGGGCGCTGGTTTTTCCATGAGATGACCGCTGGACGTAAGACAACGAAGTTGAAAACCTATGATCAGTCGGCCTTGATGGCTGAGGAGATGGACGAGGTCGAACCTGACCAACCGACCTTGTCGATGGAAACCATGGAAGAGGATGATGACCAAGTGGTCGCCGCCCTTGCCCAGGAGGGTGACGCAGATGCGTCACTTGTGGCCGATTTTGAGGCCGCAGCAAGTGAGTTGCTTCAGAATGATGATGAGCTAGCAGCTGCCTACACGGCGTATCATGACGCCAGACGCCGCCTCAATGACAAAGTCCGCAACCGTGGATTCTGGCCTATTGGTCAAAAGGGCCGGGGAAAAGGGTTTCAGAAAGAGGTCAAAGGAAAGTTTACCAAGGGACACCAGTCCTCCAGAAAGTCACTGCAGCAGAGAATCTTAGAGTCACGTTGCCGGTTGTGTGGAAAGGTTGGGCATTGGAAAGCCGAGTGCCCGAGTCGTGGCGATCCAAGTGTTTCAGCCAATCGAGGGTCTCAAGCTCCCACATCATTCGTGCAAGTTGCCTCCATGGATGCTGACAAGCATGATGGACTGCCTTTGGAATTCCTGAACCTGCCAATTCATGATGGAACTACGTTGGATGCCACTCAGTACAGTTTTGGGGAAGTTTTCACGGCAATGTCCCAAGATAATACCCGAAATAATCTGAGGAATTCCCTAAACCGATGGCAACACATGCAAGAATCACAGCCGACCGTGACCAGGACTGATGAGCCAAGACCTGATTGGCGACTCCGATTGCAGCAGAGAGCCCATCCGCCTGTGCCTGCCATCACTCCTGAGATGCCTGAGTTGGATTCCGTTTGTTTTGCCTCACATGGTAGCTTTGGGATAGTTGATCTTGGGGCCACAAAGACGGTCATAGGGAGTAATTTGGTTCCAGGGTTATTAGAACACTTGCAACCTAGCATCCGTAGCCAAATCACCAGGTGTCCATGTCATGTCACGTTTCGTTTTGGTAATCACGGCACATTGCAGAGCAAACAAGCCATTGTGATTCCCATACATGGCCTGCTTTTGAAGATCGCAGTGGTCCCCGGATCCACACCGTTGCTGCTGTCGAACACCCTGCTGAGAACGTTAGGAGCCACGATTGACACTGAATCGCAGATGTTGCATTCGAAAAAGCTCAATCAAAGTTTTTCCCTGACATTGACCAGCAAGGGTTTGTTTCTCCTCGATTTAAATGATCTAGCCCAACAACAACCGGGCCAGACACAATTCTTCGGAGCCGAAACACATCCGACCATTGATGTACCGAATCCGGACCAGAGCAGACAAGCCAAAATGATGCCGAATGCTCCAGAGAAGTCAGAACACGACCAGCTCATGTTCCAAGGTCGAGGTCAACATAATCTTCCACCACAGTGTGACATGAGCATGCATGATTTGGTAACTCTAAGCACAGATAGGCCCAAGACCCTGCCTGCGAGTTTTCGTGTGATCCCCAAAGATCGCCATGTCCAACCTCAGTCAGCGACTTCAGAAGGTGCAGATCCCATTCCTGGAGAGCCAGCCGGATCTCTCACACCTCTCCCTGCAGGACTTGATGGAGAAGAAGATCAGCTTCGGCAAGGCACACCATGGAAAGACATTCGAAGAAGTCTGGCAGAACGAACAGACATGGGTGAGTTGGTTCGTCAACCGATTTGCCAACTCCACCAAGGCCGAGCATGCGATTTTTCTGAAGTTCGTGGAACTGAAAGTGGAACGTGCCGAGATCACCGGAGCAGCTGTGCCCCTGACCAGTCAAAAGGAGGTCGAGAAGATCCTTCATGTGAGCCAGACCCCGACGGCTTCCATGAGCAAGGGGCCAATCCCCAAAGCCAAGGCCAAGCCCATGGCGAGGAACCAGATGGAAGCCACAGTGTGGGATCTGGAAGAGGAAGACCCGGAGCTCTTCGAGGTGATCCACGAGGACATGCCGTCGGAGAACATCAATCAGATCCAGAGCCTGGAGAACCGCATGCAGGGAGTCGAAAGTGCTCTGGCCAGCATTCTCCATCATTTGGAGAGCATGAGCGTCGCAACCGCGATCCCGCAGTGAGTGCAGCAGAATGCCCAAGTGTTCAAGCCATGATCACTGCTGGCGACCACAGTGCAGATTGTTTCCAAGCCACAACCATGCCTGAATCACCAGAAACTCACCATGAACGAGTCAAACTTCAACAACTCATCCGTCAATATACTCATGAACTTGATAACATTGAAAAGACCACATCCAGTCACCATACACGCTTAGATGTTTTGGAAGTTTTCTGTGGACCGAGAAGCCAGCTGACCCAACAGTCTCAGCAACTGGGACTTAGGGCCGATCGTTTTGGTTTTGAGCAAGGGGACTTGCAAACAAGCCAGGGCCGGCAACTTCTCTTTCAGCGTTTGTGTCAGAGTAAACCCAAGAATGCCTGGTTCAGCCCAACATGTGGGCCCTGGAGTGGGTTTGCCTGCTTGAATGGAAGCAAGTCTCTGGAGGCCTGGGACGAATTACAACGTCTGCGCCTGAGTAGCCTTGAACAGATCGCCCTGGGAATTGCCATCCTTCGTTTTCAACGTAAACATGGTAATCACTTTCACTGGGAACAACCGAAGGGGTCATTGATGTTCAAGCTACCATATTTGCAAGAGGTGCTGTACTATCTGCTTGCCGTGGATATCGATCTGTGTGTGGCCGGAGAGTTGAAAGACCCAGTGAACGGTAAACTCATCAAGAAAAGCCTCACAATTTTGTCCACTTCACAAAATCTTGTTAACATGTTGACTGGATTGCGATGTGACCACAAACATGAGCACCACGTGATTGAGGGACAGGTGAGTTACCAAGGTCAGACGATCAACAGGTCCACATTTACTGAAAATTATCCTCGCAAATTTGCCAGACGACTGGCCAAGTGCTTTGGAAAATTTCAGTATCCAAAGGAGACCCCATATCGAAATGACATGTGGGCAATCCTGGCCACTGAAGATCACCCAGAGGCACCAGCCTCAAAACGTCCACGACGGGAGAGATATACCTCCTTGAAGCTCAGCCGAGCGTGCGAGGTGTCCCGACTGCCATGGGGAAAGCGGAGAAAACTAGCTGGTAAAACCACACCAATAGATGCGAAACAGCAATGGGAAGTAATCTTCAATAAGTTAGGTCAGATAGTTCCTCGGGTAGG